ATAATTGCATGAATAATTAGGTGCATAGCTGTAAACAGCGAAGTGGCTGACACATATTACCCGTTCGCCTGCCCCTTCCCCAGCTACTACAAGTGTCGATGGAGCTCGGCACAAAGTGCTAAGAATCAATGAGCCACTTGTCAGGGACATCGGCGAGTCAGTTGACAATTTTCTGGAACATCAATTGGAGGTACAGAGAAAAAAAGTCTACATATAAAGGTAATCTTATCACGCAGTTTAAAAAAAAAAAACAACATACAAGAAAAAAGAGTTGGAAAACCAGTATTAGAAGTAATGTAGAATATAATATTTAATCAAAATCTGAAAAAATACACTTGCTTCTTGAACCAACAACCACAGTCAGACCAGTAGAGCGGGGGCTTTTTTCTATGCTTGGCCCACAATCCTAAAAAATCACATTTGATATGCAGAGCAGTTGTGAGTTACAAAGCATAGGAGCTAGAAGTTTTTACTGCTGTGGGAGATTGGAGGTGAAGCAAGGATGTTCTCAGCCTTTCCGCAAGGGACAAAGCGCACCGTAAATTAGGAATGCGCTTTTAATGCATCGAACTGCATCCATTCTTGCTTTCCCAGAGAAAGTTCCATTGTGCACAAGGACACCTGTGAAGGCTCCCCCTATACATGTATTTTTATACCTTAAATCTGCAAACTGACTATCTGCCAGATTTAATTTATGCAAAAGTAGCACTTTTCAGAGCAGGCCCGCAGCTGGGAAGGTCGACTGCCTTGGCCTGGTCTAACGCAGGAGCAAGGAAGGAGCCCGGAAAGGCAGTTTACTGTCGATACAGATGGTCAAAATTAACAAGTTCCAGCGCATGTCCCTGGTTTCTCTATTTCTCAAGCACCCGTATTTGTGTGTGTTTGGGAGCACAAGCAATTTGTTGCAAACTTTTTTGATGCTGGCTTTTGTTATGCCTCTCTCTGGCTCGAGACTACACCACCACCATCTTCTCGGTCTTGAACCTCTGCAGGAATCTGGAGCGAGTCCAAAGGCAGCTACACTCAAATAAAGTTCCCTCCTGCTGGGAACGATGAAGATGATTACTTAAAACTGTGAAAAAGGAAAACCCAATAAAACAAAATAAATTCAAATAATATTTGGATAAGTTAAACATTTTTTCGGACCCTTCACTTTTTTAATAAAGAAGCTGCCTATAGATCTATAGGGTTTCTGGACGCACATTACCTTCCGTGTTTTTTGGAGATTATCTTTGCTAGCTTTGCAGGAAACTTTTAAAAGATCGTAAATTTCTGTTGTTTTGTAAAATTGATGAAGTAATTTGTTTGGTGATTCGCAAACTTTACGTGTCAATATTTTTAAAATACAGCAAAGTTACCCAAACTGTGCGTACATACACAACAGTCTTGAGGGAGTCAACAGGGACACGACCACTTGAAGTGGGAGGCGAAGAGAGATGGACTGGTCAAAGTCTGTTCTGTCTGGCCAATAAGCCGTTTGCATTTTTAATGACTCGAAATTGTGCAAAGTGCCACAACTCGGTCTGAAAGGAAGCAAACGGAGGTGAAGTGGCAGGAAGGACAGCAAGCCAGAGAGACATTCGAGAATATTTGATTTGAGTTATGCTTTTATCGCTGTGGCACCCCTGACTAAGTTTTTACTTGAGTTTTGGAAAGTGAAAAAAAGTTGCTCGGGGAACTGATTCTATTTACCACCTATACAACAGGTCCTCAGAAACCACATTGCTTAGGAAAATTACTGAAAAGGGTGCAGGGAACTCAGGATGCAAACGTTGGAAAACAGCAAAAGCTCAACAGGAAAAAAAAGTTTACTCTGTTTACCCTCAAATAGTTATAGAAATAATATTGTGGATAATGCAAATAGATTTGGGCTTGTAACTGGGTTAAGCGCTTAACTTAAGTCGGCAGTGCCTTTAAAATGTCAGGATGACTTCGCGCGACCCCGCAGAAAATCAGAATTTTACAATTGGATTGTTTCCACCCACTTGGAGCTAGCGAAGGGCGGCACTTGAGTGTATTTTTATAAAGTATTTATCAAGGAAATCAATATGTCGCCTAACCGATTGCCCATCCCGTCCATATGTACGTACATATCTGTATCTGGGTATCTGCCTACTCCTAGAAGCTTCCGCTCATATCGGGCATATGAAATCGTGAGCATTTACTTCCGGCCATTTATCCGCCCTGCACCCTCCGCACACCCTCCGCACTCCCTACGGACACAATTGAAATTGAATAAAATTACTTTTCATATTATTTGCGATTCAACGAGAGACAGAGACGGCAAATGGTGGTGCCAGAAGTGCTTATCTATGGGAAAATGTTAACTGTATGAGAGCCATAAACTGTAGATATGCAAAGCTCCCGCCATTCTATCGGAAGAAGGCTGAGAATACGTAAAAACAAATAACAATTTTGCGCTCAAAATAGAACACAAACAACACAAAAGACAAAGGGGATGGGATATCGATGGAAGGTGGGGAGCAGAAGTCTGCAGCCAATCTCATTCACATATCTTGGTGGAGGTAGTAAGGGGTAGTAAGAATAAGAAGGCAGCCAAGTATCGATTTATGCATATTAAATTACACGCACTGCCTTTACAGTTCTCGCTCGAATTCGTATACGCACACTGAGAAAAACATGGGGTTTTCTCTTTAAAATAAAAATATACCTAACCCATTGGAGCCCTTCCATTAGGTTGAATTAGAGATTATTTATCTCAAAAGAAGAAAGTGTACATTTATCCAACTAATTATTAGCCCTTCAAGTTTATCAAAAACAATAAATTTGCCCACATTCCACATTATCTTTTGCAATTTAGAAATTCATATTTTTTCGATGACTTTACGCTTTTTATTTATCTGTGTACGCCGAAGCAATTTATATTTCCTTATTGCGTGTGTATTTCTGACATCTCAGTTGAATAGCCTGGACTCGCACTCCTTTCCGCTAGCGCCTTCAAAATCATTACCATTGGGATTTAATACATACTAGCGCCCAATTTATTAACGTTTGCCTGTTTCCCTTATCTGGGATGGTCCTGCCCTGGAACCGTTCTTTTACGTTGGCAGGACACATGGCGAGTCCAAAGAAAGGAAGAAAGCGCTCCGCAAAAGATGCAGTAGCACGGATAAGAGCAAGGCAGAGCAGGCAAACAAATGCCCCAGCAGAGGCAGAAATTTATTTCAAATTGAAAATTCTTTCCGACGGAAAAAATGTTTTACTCCCACTAAGCCAGTGGGTCCGCTCCATCTCAATCCAAATTCCAAGCCGCGGAGTGCATATTTTAGAAAAACTTACTGATGGTTGGAGAAGGTGGAATCACTTTCCTCTGCAGCAAGCGGGAATTGGAAAACTATCCAGGCTCAGAGGAGTTGACTTTGTAGCACCAGCGGCAGTCATAACTCACGCAATCTCCAACAACACATAGAAACAAGGAAGCCGCCAAGGAAGCCTCGAAAAACGTTTAATTTTTAATGAGCACTTTTCGCTATGAAGTGGGTTGAGATGAAAAAAAAAGGGCGGAGACAGTTAGGGTTCAAGTAGTTGTTCCTGCTCGGCAATGCTAATGGTAGCCAGGATCTACACCCAAAACGTTTCCAGTGTCAGACCAGTGGAGGCATCCCGGATGGGGGCATTCGGGTCACTCGAACCCACTCTTAATTATTCTGGTCACATCTGTAATGTAAACTGCGACCGGGCCATAAAAGTTTCTACCCACACAACATCGAAGGCGGAGGCCAACATGATTATTTTTTGGGATTAGAAGACAAAGCTCAAACTTAAAGGGGCGGCGGGTGTCCGCCCTCAAGCGTTGAAAAAATTAAAAACGATATGGCTTCACAGTGATACCGAAATTTGCAAGGTTTTTTCATACTCTACTTTTTTATGGTATCCTATCACAATTACAATTTATACTTTTTGCTACTATGAATATATATATTTTATCAACGAAAAATTTTACCTATTTACAATTATAACACCACATCTAACTTTAAAAAAAAACACTGCGTCAGCTTTTGTGTGACACAGCGATTTAAACTCTGGCCAGCTTAGGCTGCTTTTCCCATCACCTTTCCCTTTATTTTCATTAGGGCCACGGTCATTAACAGTTTACAACTTAATTTGATCCGCTGTTTCATCGTTTGTGCCCTACAGGTAAAAAAGCGCTGTCCAGCACAACCACTATCCCGTTCTCGTCCTGGGACATCTGCCTGGGTCACCCTCATCAGCAATCATAATTATAACTTTTCAGACTTATTTTTAACTACTATTAAATTACTATCTACATTTTATAAAAACGGACGACATACAACTTCATTATGAATAGCAGACGATGGAAAACATCCAAGTCTTTGTATCCACAAGGATACGTATCATTCAGCTTGTCGAATCTACATTCCTTTCTTGCTTTTAATTAATGTTGACCGTAATTAATGCCGAGTCTGCAGCCGTTCTTCGTTCCCCGCATGTTATCAGGAACAGTATGGACCATTAGCAGGTAGCGACAAGAAACCGAGATCCTAGCCTTTGGGTTATAAAGGAATTCATAAAAAAGCTGGTCGTTGGCCCACCAAGTGCTAGAAATGGCCAAGATGGTCAACAAAGTTTGCAATTGGCAGCAAAATTGCCCAATGCGCCGGCAAGTACGCGCCGCTTTTAGCGGTCAATGAAACCAATTAACTGTACTATAAGTGGTTTTGGCTAAAAAGGTCTGCATCCATCCGTGGCCATCCGCAGCCAGAGCTCCAATCCTCTTCTGCCAACTTTCGCAGACCAGACCGCAAGGGTTTCGTGGAGCAGGCATATGGAATATCAATTACTTGCGGTGGCTCGCCCGCTTCCTGGTAGCTAGCAGAACCTGAAAAGTAGCTCAATAACCAGCTCCCATCTCGGAGAGGCCAGCTAACTTCTGTATAAGAGCTTCCTGGAGACTTTGAAACTCGTTCTGCACAGACGAGACCAGAACAAAAACATAACATAAACATACACGGTGTAAATAGCTGTGCCTTGCTAGCAAATACAATACATTTCAAGAGATGTGATTTCACAAAATGTACATATATTTACTTAGATGGTTAACCATGGACTTGTCGATAGAAAGACCAGCTGGGATCGTCGGATCAGCATCTACTTCAACTTCTTCTTGGGGCGCAGATTGTTGGTGTGTCCGCACTTCTTCTTACGGCAGTTGGTGGCACGCGGGTGCAGGCGGGCGTAGCACTTGCGGCAGATCATCTTGTCGCAGTTGTACTTCTGGGCCAGGATTCTCAGCGAGGGCTCAATAATACCACCACGCAGGCGAAGCACCAAGTGGAGGGTCGACTCCTTCTGGATGTTGTAGTCGGACAGGGTGCGTCCATCCTCCAGCTGTTTGCCGGCGAAGATGAGACGCTGCTGATCTGGGGGGATTCCCTCCTTATCCTGAATCTTGGCCTTCACATTCTCGATGGTGTCCGAAGGTTCCACCTCCAAGGTAATGGTCTTGCCGGTAAGGGTTTTAACGAAGATTTGCATGGTGGCGGCTTCGCTGCAAAGCACAATACTGTAGTAAGACCTACTGAGATTTTCAAGAATACTTTGTTCCGAAAGCATCACATTTCTTGTTTGTGTGGCGCGGCTTCGAGGTTAGGTCCGACCCTCTGGCATGTTTCCCATTGTAGGAATGTCAGCTAGGATCTTCAGCCTCGGTTTTACGCATTTCTCATTTACAAACACATCACTTTATTATAGGATAACAGTTTGCTGCCATGCCTTCGGGTTTTTTCACGTATTTTTTCTTTATTTTAGTAACTTACCAGAAGAAACGTGCAACCAAATGCTATTCACAAGAGAAAAGAAAGTGTGCCCGCCGCTTGGCACTTAAAATATACCGCTCAGACTTGAAATAAATACTGAAATTTAAAGGGCACTGGCGTGAGTACACAGGCGATATTTGTCAAGTGTTTGCCTTCATCACTTTGTAAAGAAAACAACGAAAAGGTTACAACAACAGCCATTAAGTTTCAACAAGAAAACCTACTAAATAACATCGGTAAAATATTATCGGCACAATATCGAGTGTCACGAAGTAATATGTGTTGATGGTGTAAAAAGTACATATTTAAAAACCGGATGATTATATTTACTTTCGAGATACGGGCACACTGTTTTCAACTATTTGGGCAACTGGAGCGCAAGACTTGCGGAAAAAGGGAAAAAGGGGATAGCGTGGATTACCTTTAAAAACACAACATGTCGAAAGCAGGTGAAGGGCTGCCCGCAGAGGAGGGAGCGGTAAGTAGTCGGGAATGAATCCAATCTTTGCCCCCCCGACTGCCTGAAATGCCGACCTGGTTTTGTGATTTTTCTAGGTGGTTGCTGGGAACGGGAACGCTGAGCTGGCCAACAAAAATGCGGGCGGCGCTGAAGGTCAGCAGCAGCCCCCTCAAAATCAGCCCACCCGCATGGAGTCATTCTTTGCGATGACTAAGTCCCTGATCCTGCGCGCTCTGATCATCTACTTCGTGAGTTCTTTCTTCCGGCGTCCTGCTCCTGATGCCACCTCACAGGACAAAAGCGTGACCAATGCCGGTCCCAAAATTACGGCGTGGAATTACTTCGAGAATGGAACGAACTTTGACCTGCACGTGTGGTTATCGGAACATCCAGATGTAGTTAACTTTCAGCAGAAGGCGAATCTTCTTTGGCTTCAGGAGGACCTTACTTATGGAGATTGGATCTCAGGCGCCAACGGCGATGGCATCTATACACACAGTCTAAAACTAAAGACAAGTCAGCATCTAATGAACAACGGTAGTGTTTACCTGCATGCATTCGTGACGCGTTCTGGAAAGAGTCCCGATCCCAAATCCCCACACTATGCGACCAACGGGCATATGGGCCACCAGCACCATCAGCTGAACAAGTTTAAGAAGCTGCGCGTCAACCGAAACTATAATCTCCTGGCTAGCGAAAAAGAGAAACTAGAACACGAGCTGAAGCACGCTAATCTTAAGGACACTATTGTCTCCCACTGGCATCCCAATCTCACCGTTAACTTGGTGGTGGACCAAACAAACTGGGCCCAAGGATCGGTGCCGCCGCCACTCGACGAGTACGTGAAGTTCGTTGATGGAGGAAAGACTTATCTGCCCATTGTTTTCGTTAACGATTACTGGAACCTGCAGCGAGAGTACCAACCCATCAATGAAACTACTCCCGAACTTGAGCTTCACCTAACGTTCCAACCGCTTGGCATGTTTAAATGGCAGTTGTATGCCGCCAAGCAGATGAAAAACAAATGGGCCGGCAACATGCTCGGTGAGCTGATGGCCGCCAGCCAGCCGGAGGAGAGCGATGAGGACCAGGACTCTTTGAAGGAAACGCTATTAGACACGAACATATATTTGCTTGGTATAACGGTGGCCGTGTCTATCCTGCACTCGGTGTTCGAGCTGCTGGCCTTCAAAAACGACATCCAGTTTTGGAATAACCGCAAGTCATTAGAAGGACTGTCCGTACGGTCCGTGTTCTTTGGGGTCTTCCAGTCCCTTATCATTCTGCTGTACGTACTGGACAACGAGACGAATTTCATGATTCGCATATCCTGCTTCGTGGGCCTAGGCATCGAGGTGTGGAAGATTCACAAGGTGGTGGACGTAAATTATGACCATGGCCAGAAGCTGCTAGGCGTGTTCCCGCGAATAAGCTTTCAAGACAAGGGCTCCTACTCAGAGAGCTCCACCAAAGACTACGACAAATTGGCCTTTAAGTACCTGGGCTGGGCCTGCTTCCCGCTGCTAGTGGCTTACTTTGTCTACTCCCTCATCTACAACGAGCATAAGGGCTGGTACTCGTTTGTGCTTAATATGCTTTACGGCTACCTGTTGACATTTGGCTTTATCCTAATGACACCGCAGCTGTTCATCAACTACAAACTTAAATCGGTGGCCCACATGCCGTGGCGCATGATGACCTACAAGTTCCTCAATACCTTCATTGACGACATCTTTGCGTTCGTCATAAAGATGCCCACCATGTACCGGCTGGGGTGCTTCCGCGACGACATTATCTTTTTTGTGTTTCTGTACCAGCGCTGGCAGTACCGCGTTGATCTCAAGCGAGTGAATGAGTTCGGTTTCTCTGGCGAGATGGAGCAGCTGCAAGCCACCAAGAAGCTAGAGGGACAAACTCCCAACGGAGCTATCGAGGCTCCTGCATCGGTACCTGCCTCTAACACGTCAACGAACAAAAAGACAGCCGCACAAAAAAAGCAGGACTAGAAGGAGTATCACTATTAGCCACATTATGCAATAGCATTAGAAGACTCGTTAGGGGAAGACGCAATACCCATATACTCCACTCCCAATATGTATGTAATCACTCTCCAGTATACATAGTCAAGTAACCCGCTTGCATCATTCTTAGGGCTAATTGTATGTACGCATGTTTGTGTTTTTGTTTTTTCCGTTCCTTCGCGCTTTTTACAGCAGCGCTGAAAGATCAAATAAATTAAGTGTGAGATGAGCCATGTGCGTCGTGTTATCTAATCTTTCAAATATTGCGCGGGGTCATAAGTATCTAAGAGATAAGCAGCTCTTCAGATATAGATAATGGGATGTAACTGGGTGGTTGAGATTAAAGTTGCCTGGGTAAAGGGAATTGTTAAATTTTTAAATTTTATTTTAAGCTATTCTGATTTGAAGAAGCCGGTTAATAACAAACAAAATAAAAAGATTTTACAACACTATACATCGTCAATTTACAGCACTGGGGATTAAGCGCGCATTCATTTGAATTCAATAACAGTTTTTTACTTAAATCTGATTGCAATTAATATGTTATAATCAAAATATTAAAGCGGAATAATGTTTTTGTTTAATTAGCCAATTAGCCTACACAAAGAAACAAAATAGAAAAACAAATTAAGGGTGGCTAATTGTGGGTCAAAACTATGCCTTCGTAAGAGGAACTACAGAATCACACCTACAAAAACGCTACGGAGCAGCCTCTGGACTTGATACCGACTTGGAATTCGTATGGGTTCACTTCCAAAGCATCGCCCACACCTCCTCAGGTTGTGCGATTAAGTCGGAAATGGAACCGAACCAGCGGTACCTGATGTGGTAGAAGTAAGAGAACTCGCGAATTGAGTTCTGAAATCGAAAGAGCCACAATAAATGCAACAACAACATGTTGCGTCTTAGGCTCAACTATTTTTATTGCTTTGCCTTGGTGACTCCAGCTATGCCAGTACTTGGAGCTGGAGCTGGACTTTTGCGTGTTCTTGTAATATTTCTCAAAAGATAAGAATGCGACTAGACCAGGCTGCTGCTGCTGAAGTTTCTCTTGCCGAGAAGGCATTTGGCCTGGCATTTAGGCACCGACCACGACCAAGACGACATTCATAAAGAAATAAAATCGGACAAAACTCTTGTTATGCTCTTTTTACTGCACTAAGTGACAGTTTTACGAGCCAGCCAGCAAGTCGCGGACTCGGTTTAGGTTGCCTTTTTGATTCGCCGATTCTGTGGCTCTCTGAGTCCCAATCTCCCAGAAAGGTACATGTGGTATGTTTGCACCCGACCCTATTCCCTAAGCATTGTAGAATCCCTGAATTTTCACACAGATAACAATCAATGCAAAATCGGCGGTCCGTTGCTTAGTGCTTTTTAGAGTGCTTTGAGGTATTCCTGGAATTTCTCCAGTCTCAGATTCGAATTTCCAGCCTAATAAGAATAAATATGGCTAGCCAGCTTTCAGACCAGACAAAATCTCATTCTTTGTTGATTCTTTTCTTGAATACACTGAGAAAAGATTAAAAAGCAATCCTCGAAAAAAATAAACTTCATTTTGACCAGCGATTGCCTGATAGATTAGTTTATCCAAATCTTTAAATTGTTACTTAAAGGAGGAAATCCAAGTGAGGATTGGTTTGGAGAACCTAATTATTTTTACTGTACGCTTACACGTTTAGGGCGCCCAATGCACGCATGGAAAGGGAAGATTTGAAGCAGAGATGGAGACGAGAGCTCGATTCACACCAGCAACATCACCATCACAAAAAACAACAAAACCAGCGACAGCTTGCTGGAACAGCGAAGGGAAGTAAAACGCAGGTCCCAATCACCAAACACCGAAATTCCAGAAAGCCAAAAAATGAGGCACCACCAGCAGCAACAACAGCGGCAAAGTAAACGACAACTAACCATAAGAAAAATGACCAGCGATAATTTTAATTTGAAACCAGTTTCTATGCTAAACAAAATTCTACGGCGCTGCCCAAGACGGTCCGATCGGAGCGATCCAGGGAAATAACCAAATAAAAGAGCCCACAGAGAGCGACTCTCGGAGGTTGGGAGGCCAAGCCAAAGAGAAGTTCGAAAGAATTTCTTATTCCAAGTCCGTGTCTTTGAAGTGAGGAGGGCTCCTCCCTCTGCTCCTTGGACTGCAGTGGGACCGAGTGAGCACGACTGAGCGCAATAACGAAAACAACTTCTGCACGAAAACCAATGATATGGATATTTGCTTTTGTCAGATTGATGAATGTAAAAATAGAAGCGATTATTTTTGCGATTATTATGTAAGGCAATTTAAAAACGATTTTTAGCCTGCTAGTTGGATCTTAGTACTAACAGTCAAATAGCAACGAAAGAACAAAATGTATCTTTCAGTGTGCCTAACTCAGAGAAGTACCGCCGTACCCTCAGCGGTCTAGTAATTTTTATTGTTGCTGTGTATGGGTCGCCGGTGGCTATCCAATCTCGTTGAACTGGACTGGACCAAGACCGAGATGAAGACCGAGACCAAGAGAGCGTCGTTCCGAACAAGAAAATGAAAAACGAAACTGCAACAAGTGAAAAATGTGTTGCAGATACAACAGGTAGAGCTGGGAGAGAAGAGCCGAGGAGTTAGAGAGCCGTTCTCCCAACTCGGGGGTTTCTCTCTTGCTTGGCTCAAAACCCGTCTGACGGCTTTTCTTTAGCCTGGCTCTCAGGCGAATCTCTGTTGGACCCAAACTGAAGCCACTCAGTTCCGTTGCGACCACTAAGCGAGTGGTTTAGGCCGACTTCTGAAATTCAAATCCGTGGGCTGAAAGCGCGCGTGCCTTGAACGGTTGACAAGAAAGTGAAGGTGCGTCCGTGTTCTTCCAGGGTATCCCTGTAAAGTTTCCTCCTTCGAAAAGAGCATCCTTTGTTACCCTGTGGTGCGCGATATACCACCCACAAGCTGATTCGAGTCCCGAGCAGCTGGCCCCAAATCGCCCAACAAGTTTACCAGTGTGTTTATGTGTATGTGTCGCCGTTGCAAATTTTTATAAGTGAAAAATTCCAACAACGTTGCTGCAAGCAGCGGCAACAACAGCAACCAGCTACAAGCTATATACAAGAGCGAAAAATGAGGCAAAACACGTTTTGCTCAAAGAAAAAAAATATGCTGCGTTTGATGTCCGTACGTGTGTGTTTGTGTGTGCCCCCGTGCGCGTAACTGTGTGTGTGCCGTGTCCGTGTGTGCGAGTCCACCAACACCAAAATGCTTGTAAAAATGTGAAGAAAAATGGTAGGTACTCATAAACATTCATAGTGGAGCTATAGACTTTGGTGGGGACAGGACACAAAGCCATTTGAAACTCGATGAGGTTTTCCTTTTCCATGTCTTGCCAATTTTAGCCAGTGCATTTGCATAAAATCAATTATCGAGCAGATCGCAAATCACTTTTACCCTACCCACGCGCCCTCATAAAGCAGTTTTAGCCAATGCATTTAAAAACCAAATCCGAATCTGGTATAAACAATTAACAAGAAAGCTTTTGATTACTTTAAGCGTATGAAAAAAGTCTGCCTACTGACAAAATAATTCTGAAATAATTACAGCTTTCTAAGCATTTTATATAACAACTGCACTAAAAATATATTTCTATAACAAAAAAACAAACACAATGCAAAGGGCGCACAAGATTATTTGTAAAACTTTTATAAGTACACGGATATAAAGGCAGTTGTGTGGGTAAAGGTTGGCTTTTGATGTTGTGGTCGGATGCTGGGGCTTAACCAAAAGCAGCGCTGAGATCTCAAGTTATGTTAAGTTGAAACGTTTCGGTGCCACGTAATGACTGAAAACTGTCGTTTTTAAAGGTTTATTTGTTAATGTCGGAAATATCGAAGAACGGGAGAAAGAAGAAGGAAAATATCCCTGGGCAGACTTGTGACTCTGGTTGTCTCTCTGCAAACCTTATAGCTGGTATCTCTCAAGAGGTACATAAATGTAAATGAATATGGAAATATGAAAACACGTTTTTAACTTGGCTGTGAGATGTAAAGTGAAAAGCTCAAATAAAACAAAAATTAACAATAACAAGAATTACAATCGGACATGCTCCCACTTTTTTGCTGCCGCTTGGGGCAACATCACAAAATTTGACCGATTCTTTCGATTCTGCGTGTTTTTTTAGCCATGATATTTGGCCGGACCCTGCCTTTTGCTGTGAGTTTTTCGGGGTAAATTTGCATTGCAAATTGTCGCATAAACTAGCCGGGTCAGGCACAGGCTATGCTATTTATGAGCTCTTAAAAATAGCTCGCACAACAGCACAACAGCAGAATAGATTTTTATGGCGTGGAAACCAAATGCGCCGTAAGCCAGTACGAGAAAGTGTAAAGGAGATGGATAAACAACATGCACACATTAATCAAACAAATGTCTATTTTTGGTTTTTTTTTTTTGTTCGACTTATAATTTTCATTTTTCCATACTTAAGCAGTAAATAAAGAACTTCAAATGGGTTTAAGGGGGTCTTATTAATCTCGAATCTCAACCATTTTAACTGATGTGTTTCAATATTTCCTTATGGCTTTATATTTAAAAGATTCGCTGAAATTATTTTTTCACCTATATACTTTTCGAGGGTTATCAAAGGCAGTTTGGTTCATACTAGTTATGTTTAGAAATTGGATTGCTAATGCAATCGGTATTCCATATAACCAGAAAACCGACAGTCTCGGACACGGACATACACCTTTATATAGCTGTGTCTTTTTGGGGTTCAATAAAGAAAACAAAACATTAAAACGTAAAAAAAACTTTTGAAAGAAACCAAAACGGAATGAGAAGATTGCCAGGAACACTCCAGCAACAACAACATTAAGAGCTAACAATACCATTAGAGCAGGTAGATTTTTAAGATTAATGAACGGGTCGGCGTCTAAAGCGTCAGACAAAAAAGAACGAAATTTACTACCCATTTTTAGTTTCGTATCTGAGGACAACGAAATCTTATTCGATTCCAACCAAGCCCTCGGACCCGTCCCCAAGCCCGCATTTTGACAGATTCTGCGGGTTCGGTGCCATGGGTTCTGCCTATTTTGTTCATCTAGTGATAGTACACAGATATTATAGGTACATATTTGCAATAAGCAAAAATTATTTTTAAGCATAACATTTTTGGAAAACCAACAATGAGAAACTGAAAAATGTATTCACTAAAATAAACCTCCTATTTCGTCGATAGTCAGGGTATTTCACTGCCTACCATGATCGATTCGGGAGGCTGTGGCGTTTATGGCGTTTGAGTGTTAATACGAATACGAATCCGTTTGCTGGTTTAATGCGCTGCTCTGTTGTATGAAGGTTTTTAAGCTTTTCGACTTATGAGGAAGCGGTGGTAAGGGGGCTAGTCGTCTTTGTATTGATGTCTGAGAGTCTCAGGTTAACAAGAGATTGCCCACAAAGCATTAATTTGGTCCAAAGCTGACACGCATGCTGTTAATGGAAATTTTCCCTTCATTCGGTCGTTGTCTCCTTCACCGTTTCTGTTCCAGCGGGTCGGAATTTCGTGTGATTAATAGACGCCGCCGAAATCTTGATTAGATTTTCCTTATAGTCGAAAACAGCAGTCCCACCGGACGAGGTCTCTGATTTTCAATATAGCTCAAGCTGGTTCAGAACTTTATTCTTTTCCGTTTTCCCGAATTTCTCAGTCCGAACGAAGCCAGGTTGTTAGAAGGGATTTGTTTCAATATCCTGGGGTCGATAAATGTAAATAGTTATATTAAAAAGCCTAACGATACATAGAGGTATATAAGCTCCTCTGTTGGCCACCAGTGAGAAGTGTACAAACAAATGTTAATCAAACGATTTATTTTATATTTTTAAACTTATTAGTACCCAAGTTAGTACATATTGAAGTAATACTTCTGTGTAATTAGTGTTATCCTTAACTGACCGTTTCTATCAATGTTTGTTTATCATTTCCAACTATTAAATTCAGATATTTATGGTTTGCCACATTTTTGTTGCCAGAAACACCAAAACCATAACGATAGTCAGCTTCATGGTTTAGCGCCTCATATCGCAGTAGATTACTTTTTTATGCTCGGCGAAGTATGAAATTGTAGAGATGCTTAACACGCGGGACTTGTTTATTTAAAGCATAATTTCAACAAGTGCAGCTGCTAATAAGCACTATAAACTATTTTAATTTATATCGTTTAACTTTATTGTGTTTTTCTTTCGTTTCAGTCATCGGTCGGTGAATCAGTCGAGTGATGTTAAATGATGAATTCCAGCATTCATTCAGAGTGCAAGCCCCAAGAAAAAACGACAAATGACAATACCGCAAATTAAACAAGTGCGAAGAGGAAGTAATAAAACAAGAGTGAACAGTAGACCGAGCTTCCTACCCGCTCCGAAAATGGAGCGGCTCCTGCTCCTGATTCTCCTGCTCCTGGGCCAGGAATCTTTGTGCCAAACAGGTGACACCAAGCTGGAACTAATGGCACCGCGTGGCCGCAGTTATGCCACCACATACGAACAGTACGCCGCCTTTCCGAGGCGGAGGAGCTCCTCGACAGCGGGCGAGATGCAGTCCCGCGCCGTGGATACCAGCGCCGACTTCGAGGTGCTTGAGGGTCAGCCGCGGGGAACCTCGGTTGGCTTCATTCCCACAAAGCCAAAGTTCTCCTACCGCTTTAACGAGCCTCCACGAGAATTCACGCTCGATCCGGTAACGGGGGAGGTGAAAACGAATGTGGTGCTCGATCGCGAGGGAATGCGCGACCACTACGATTTGGTGGTGCTCTCCTCGCAGCCCACCTACCCTATTGAGGTGCGCATCAAGGTTTTAGACATAAACGACAATTCACCGGAGTTCCCCGAGAAAAGTATTGCCATATCCTTTTCTGAAAGTGCCACAAGTGGAACAAGACTGCTCCTCGATGCCGCCACTGATGCCGATGCCGGCGAAAACGGTGTAACTGATCAGTACGAGATTGTGGCCGGTAATGTAGACAACAAATTTCGATTGGCCACTACGGCGAATCCTAGTGGAGACACTTCGTATTTGCACTTGGAGACCACTGGTAATCTCGACCGCGAGTCGCGCGGCAGCTACCAGCTGAACATCTCTGCAAGGGACGGAGGAACTCCGCCACGTTTCGGCTTCCTGCAGGTGAATGTCACAATTTTGGATGTGAACGACAATCCTCCAATATTCGATCATAGCGATTACAATGTGTCACTAAACGAAACAGCGCTCCCGGGAACTCCGGTGGTGACTGTCATGGCTTCGGACAACGATTTGGGGGATAACAGCAAGATTACCTACTACCTGGCTGAAACGGAGCACCAGTTCACAGTCAATCCTGAGACGGGCGTCATTTCCACAACAGAGCGAATAAACTGTCCCCAACAGACGAATGTCAAGAGCTCTAACCAGAAAAGTTGCGTCTTCACAGTTTTTGCCCGGGATCATGGATCTCCCAGGCAGGACGGACGCACCTATGTCACCGTCAACCTGCTGGACACCAACGACCACGACCCCATTATAAGTTTTCGCTACTTTCCAGAAGGCGGCAAGGTGGCCACTGTGGATGAGAATGCCGTAAACGGTACTGTAGTAGCAGCCATAGCCGTAAAGGATTCCGATTCCGGTCTGAATGGCAGGACAACGGTGCGAATTGTTTCTGGCAATGAGCTAGGGCATTATCGCCTGGAAGAGGCAGCCGACCTGCACATAGTAAGGGTGAACGGAGTCTTAGATCGGGAGGAGCTCGGAAAATACAACTTGACTGTGGTGGCAATGGACCAAGGAACTCCAGCAAGAACTACAACGGCCCACTTGATTATAGATGTGAACGATGTTAACGATCATGAGCCGGTGTTCGAAAAGTCGGAGTACTCAGCGGTTCTGAGTGAGCTGGCCCCCAAGGGCAGTTTTGTGGCCTCGATCACGGCCACGGATGAAGACACCGGCGTTAATGCGCTGGTGCACTACGACATTCTCTCGGGCAACGAACTCAAGTGGTTCTCCATGGACCCTTTTACGGGCCTTGTCGTGACAGCCGGACCGCTGGACAGGGAGGTGCGTGACAGCGTGGAACTGAGCATCTCAGCGAGGGACGGAGGCCCGAATCCGAAGTTCGCCTATACGCAGCTGAAGGTGACCATTTTGGACGAAAACGACGAGGCACCTCAGTTCAGTCAGAGCCAACAGAACATAACTCTTGGTGAAGATGCTCCGCTTCAAACGGTTGTGGCCTTGCTGACAGCCACTGACCACGATCAGGGCACCAATGGTTCATTGACCTTTGCCCTGGCGCCCAGTGTGGAGCGCCTGTACCCGCGACAGTTTGCCCTCGACGCGATAACGGGCCAATTAACGACCCGTCGGTCGCTCGATCGTGAGAAAACGGCAAGCTACGAAATTCCTGTCATCGCCCGCGATCAGGGAGCACCCACACCCCAATCGGCCACTGCAACCGTTTGGCTGAGCGTGGCTGACGTGAACGATAACGATCCCGAATTTTATCCCATTCACTATATCTACACGCTCAGCGATGGCGATATCCAATCTAAGGAGAAGCCGAAGGCAGGCGGAGAAAGGACCCTGCTCCATGTCACGGCCACAGATCAAGACGAGGGCGATAATTCCTTAATTGAGTACAGACTTGAGGCAGGTGGCGAGGGCCTGTTCCAGCTGGACGCGAGATCCGGAGCCGTCAGCCTGCGCGGCGATATTCCCCCGTCCATGCACTTAAAGTCCCACTACAGGCTTCAAATCTCAGCACGTGATGCCGGGCAGCGAAGGAGCCAAAGGGATGCCGTCGTGGAGATTGTGCTCAAGTCCAAGGCGGAGACTCTCGAATGCGGCCAGGAGGGACAGAGCGGTTATGAGTTTCAGATGGTCGAGGATCACGAGCAACAGAAGCAGCTGCCGGGTCGAGAGGTAGGGATCGTGCAAGCAAGGGCCCAAGAAGGAAAGCTCATGCTGCCCGTCGAGTATGACATCATCCACGGCGACCCGGCTCAGAGCTTTGCCATCGACCATAGGAGTGGTCGCATCACCACGGCCCGCACTTTGGATCGAGAGGAGCAGGCACACTATCGCTTGACGATTTTGGCCAGCTCCAGTTCCAGTTCCAGTTCCATTGTTTCGTATGGTCTGTGCAGTGTGCATGTTGCCATAATCGATCTGAATGATAATGCACCTATTTTTGCCCTGGATCGTGATTCAGATCCCACGATCTGGCTGCCGGAGAATGCGGCGGTGGGCCAGGAGATCTATTTGTCGAGAGTGCGAGATCGGGATGCGGGTGTAAACAGTAGAATAAGCTACAGCCTTACAAATAACCCCGAGCAGCAGTTCCGCATTGGCCAAGTTACGGGAGTCCTCTACCTGCAACGACCCATAAGAGCGGAGCCCGGATCGGTGATCCACGTGGAGCTGATGGCTACAGATGGGGGCAGTCCACCGCTCTCCAGTAAGTTGAGTCTTTCAGTCAGAATAGCGGATGTCAACGACCACACGCCAGTGTTCGATCACACTTCCTACGAGACCTCGCTGCTAGAGACCACGAAAGTAAACACTCGTTTTTTTGCTCTGGGCGCTACTGATATTGATCTGGGAGACAATGGCCGAATCTCGTACGAGATAATCGACGGCAACTCCGAACGCATGTTTGGTGTTTTTCCCGATGGGTTTCTCTTTGTAAGAGCTTCACTGGACCGCGAGGAGCGAGATTACTACGCCCTGACAGTTTCTTGCCGAGACGCGGGCCAACCGTCCAGATCATCCGTTGTGCCAGTGGTGATCCACGTGATTGACGAAAACGACAATGCGCCACAGTTCACCAACAGCACATTTACATTTAGCATACCAGAGAACGCACCCGCGGATACCTTTGTGGGAAAGTTGACAGCTGTGGATCGTGATATCGGGCGGAACGCAGAGCTCAGTTTTACTCTTTCCAGTCGGACCCAGGACTTTACTATAGACGCTAGAAATGGTTTTATTAAGACTCTGCGTCCCTTTGACCGCGAGGCTTTGGTTAAATTGAGCCGAAGCACGGAAGCGGGCAACGAAGAAGAACGAAACGCTGCCAGCCAGGGATCCCTGGCAGGCAACTACATGCTGCTGGAGGCCACCGTGTCGGATAATGGCAGTCCTCGTTTGCAGGACAAAGTCAAGGTAAAGGTGATCGTCACAGATGTTAACGACAATGCACCGGAATTTTTACGAGCCCCTTACCATGTCACTATCTCTGAGGGAGCCCTAGAGGGAACTCATATTACACACGTGTTCACCCAAGACGCGGACGAGGGTCTGAATGGAGATGTTTATTACACATTAGCCAAGGGAAACGAGGCCGGACTCTTTACCCTGGATAGCGCCACAGGGCAGTTATCGTTATCCCGCAGATTGGACCGGGAATCCAAGGAAATCCACATCCTAGTCGTTGTCGCCCGGGACGCTGCTCTCAAGCACCCGCTAAGCTCCAATACCAGCATAACGGTTTTAGTTCTGGACGAGAACGATAACGCTCCGGAGTTCACACAGTCCAGTAGCGAAGTGTCCGTACTTGAAACTAGTCGAACGGATACGGAGCTAATGCGCTTTCGAGCTAGTGATGCCGACCAGGGAGTCAACAGTCAGGTGGTGTTCAGCATATCGGCGGGAAATCGCCGCGATACTTTCCACATTGACAGTCTTACCGGTAGCCTCTATCTGCACAAGCCTTTAGACTACGAGGACGTCACCAGCTACACCCTTAATATTACGGCCTCCGACTGCGGCACTCCCTCGCTCTCTACTACTGTAATATACAACGTTCTCGTAGTGGACGACAACGACAACCCACCGATTTTCCCCAGCACTGCGATTGTTCGTCAGATCAAGGAGGGAATACCACTAAAGACGCCTATTGTGACCATTACGGCTGATGATCCGGATTCGGGACTTAATGGCAAGGTAAGCTACGCTATTAGCAAGCAGGAGCCGCAACTTCCGGCAGGACGACACTTTGGCATAAACACGGAGACGGGAGTGATCCACACACTGAGGGAGATAGACCGCGAGACTATCGACACCTTTCGACTAACTGTCGTCGCCACGGATCGGGCTCAACCGTCTGAGCGGCAGCTCTCCACCGAGAAGCTTGTTACAGTCATCGTCGAGGACATCAACGATAATGCCCCCGTGTTTGTGTCCATGAACGCGGCAATCCTGCCGCGGCCCAAGGTCCCGACATCCAAGGGGAGCACAATTGTTATGCAGGTGGTGGCGAAGGACGCGGATTCATCGAGCAACGGTCTCGTTAGCTACGAGATTGTTAGCGGGCCACAGGAAGTGTTCCGCCTTCAACGGAACACTGGGATCATTACCTTTAATCCCGGTCCCCAGTTCAAGCCAGAGGTGCGCTATCAGCTGACCTTGAAGGCCACAGACGAAGCAGTCCAAAGTGAGCGGCGCAGCAGTGAGGTGTACATCACAATCATTACGCCGGGAACCGGCCAAGGTGAAGCTTCTGAGCCGCAGTTTGAGCAACCGAATATGCTTGCCGGCTCAGTGTACGAGAACGAGCCGATCGGCACGAGCATTCTTACAGTGAACGCCCATCTAGAATCCGCCGAGATTGAATATTTTGTGACCAATGTTACGGCGTTTGGATCTCACAAGCAGGTGGATCGGCTATTCGACATCGATGCCAAACTGGGAATCCTTTCCACAGCCGCTGAGCTTGACCGAGAAGATGGACCCGACGCATACGAGGTGGAGGTGTACGCTATCGCTTTAAGCGGACCACCACGAACGTCCCGCACCACGGTAAGTTTTCCTATTTTCGCAGACACAAAAATCAATCAAATCATTGTACTTAAATGTAGTTTTGTTAAAATTTTAAAATTGCATGTTTTTTAACTATGCAACTTTTGTGATAACAAGGTTTTTGAAACCGACGAAAAGTTTAATCAGATTCCGATTACTAACATAAAGAGGTCTTTAAACTTACTTTGAGGCCAACTTTTCCTTTACTTTGTAGCCAAAGTCTGAGTTGGGAATGGTGTTCGAAAGATATTGTGAATATGGTTGCTTTTCCCTGGTGTATGGTGCCGTGTCGGCCATTTCTGGGGCAGTCTCAAGGGCTTATCAGTGCAAGTCGAGACCGCACTAATGCGCTTTTAATGTCTTGTGCTGATATGAAATGTTGATTACATGCTACAGAGTTCCAGAACTCTGGCCTCGGCCCTAAGTTATCCTTTTCTGCACATGCACGCGGTTGTGCCTTCAGATGCAAATTAACAGAGCAATGCAGACCCGCCGAACACGTCCCTGAACCCTTCTATCTGTTGAATGAATTTGATGGGGCCGGGTCGCAGGAGGAAACCAGACCGACCTGTGTATCGAGAAAATATTTTACATCTCAGCGCTGCATAAATGGGCCGCAGGGATAGAATTATAATAAGTTGCTTCATTGGCAGATGCCTTTAATTATGCCCAGTACCCTACTCAGCCGAGTCGAAGTCTTGCGATCGCTCAGATACCGCCCCTCTTCGGTCGAAGGGTATTCTCAGACCTCAGAAGACTCTTCATACTGGTTTCGAAGCAAAAACCGAGCGACAGAGAACAAAGGCAAAAAAACGCAGCTCCGAAATCCATTCCACTCCAGTCGGCTCCCGGCAGTCGGCTCATTGGGTCCAGATCCCTCTCCCCTGCAGGCAAGCATCGGAGTCCCTCTCCAAAAACTTCTCCTGTGCCCCTTCCTCAGTCGTGCCACCGCGTGTTCATGGCCAACACGTCGTATGCGTAGGTATGCCAACAATGCACGCATGCAAATGTGTGTAAGTTGAGTTCCAGTTTTGGGGAGAAAGATACACACAGATGCACTCACACAACCTTGGGTTAGCACAAGCAACTATGGTTTAGTGGATGTTTCGACCGCTGGTCCTCGCGTGTGAAGAGCGTTTCAATCAATTCCTTCCCGCACTGATTTGAAAGGATTGTCATGTTTTTAAATTTGTTCATTTATTTTAAATATTTTCGACTGGGGTCCTAAAAAGCAACTTCATCAACTCTCCGATTCGATATCAGTGGCATTAGTTTATTGATTTGTTATATTTAATTTTTAACCAAAGAATGTGAGTTCTTTTTAATCCCTAGTAACACAATGGCTTTAGGCTTTAACATTTGTAAACTAAAATAAGTTGAGATTTGTATCCATCATAACATGCTAATAATAATAATTCCATTTATAAGAAAGCAAGCCAGCAAGTCAATGTCCGCTGATCCAAATCTGGATTAGAGTTTTTCGCAAATTTATGGACATACCAACACAAGTTCTTATCCCGTTCCGCTGCAAGTCGTGTTCTGCTGGGCTCAATCGTGGCCATTAAGCGGATTGACAAATGGTTACACTTTCTGCAGCTGCACCCGCTTTCCACCTCCTTAAATTAGCTAAATTAGCCGTACACATTTCACACGGCCTCGGGCGGGCGATCGGTGTTTTACTTATATGGACTTCCAACCAATGCACTCGTGAGTGAAAGAAGATCCCCAATAGCAGCGCGTCACATTCGTGTTTTTTAAGTTCGAGTAGACTCATAATTCTAATTCGCATACATTGTTTTTATAAATTTAGTACCACCTCTCCCAGCACCGTATTAACTCAGTCGTTCTATTCAACTATGTAAAGAATTCTGCATATTCTTTTATTTCTGTTTTATTTCTTGCTGTTTTGACTAAAGGGTTTTGAAATGGTTTTTTGGTTTTAAATATTGCATTTACTGTGTTTTCTCCTGCTGAACTAAAAAAACGCGGTCTACACTATAATTCGCTCGATCATAAACAAGCGGAATGGTGCGCAGAAAGTTCAAGCTGACAACTGGCTTTCTGGTATATGAAAGCCATTTCCGCGTATAAGCGGGTCAAGCCGTGACCAGGTTAAGAAAGATGAGAAATGCGATTGACATTGCGACAGAAATTTGGGCACATAAGTTGATGCTTGTACATGGCATATTGTGGGCATTTAGTACCATAAATGGAACTAGTTTCTGCTCGTTGCCATCGCTGATGTCAGTTTGTAATTCTTCTCCCAAGTGGGTCAGTGATATTGACGCAACGAATACGCTTTATCCCCCTGCAGGTCAGAGTAACAGTTCTGGACAAGAACGATAGCCCCCCGCAGTTTTTAGACACCCCGTTTGTATACAACGTCAGTGAGGACTTGGAGATCGGGCACACCATTTCCACACTGCGAGCCCACGATCCGGATACTCTTGGTTCGATGACGTTCCTGCTGATTGACGGACACGATGAAAAGTTCCTCGTGGAGGCCACAACTGGCAAGCTTCTCCTAAACGACACTCTGGATCGGGAGACGAAAGACAAATACGAGCTCCGTATCCGCGTATCCGACGGAGTGCAGTATTCAGAGGCATGCGCAACCATCCAGGTAGGAGAGCTACTCAAATGAACACTACTAGCGATTTTAATTCTAAAATTAATACAAATAATTAAATAATATTATTTTGCCCCTGCGCAGGTAAGCGATACCAACGACAACCCGCCCATGTTCGAGGACACCGTGTATTCCTTTGACATACCGGAAAACGCGCAGCGAGGTTATCAAGTAGGCCAGATTGTGGCCAAAGACGCTGATCTGGGCCAGAATGCCCAGCTTTCCTACGGAGTGGTGTCGGATTGGGCCAACGACGTTTTCAGTCTGAATCCGCAAACCGGGGTGCTGACCCTGACTTCTCGACTAGACTACGAAGAGGTAGGAGCCCAACATTTGACCCTTGAACTATACTAACTCTACTCAATTTTTTCGTTTGACCCTTGCTAATAGGTTCAGCACTACATCCTAATAGTGCAGGCCCAGGACAACGGTCTTCCCAGTTTGTCCACAACTATTATAGTGTACTGCAACGTGCTAGACCTGAACGACAATGCTCCAATTTTCGACCCAATGAGCTATTCCAGCGAGGTCTTTGAGAACGTACCTATCGGGAAGGAGGTGGTCACTGTATCAGCCAAGGACATTGACTCGGGTAAGCCGAGCAAATCATTTGCTGCAACCTTCTGCAGATCCCCAATGCCTAATGCCTTGGCTTCTTGCAGGCAACAATGGGCTTATTGAGTACAGCATCACCGCGGGAGACGCAGACTCCGAGTTCGGGGTCGACAGCAACGGCACAATTCGCACCCGCCGTCAGCTGGATAGGGAGCACCGATCGGCCTACACACTAACAGTCACCGCTCGCGACTGTGCTGATGAGTTCGCATCTTTCACCGAGCTGGAGGAGACGCAGCTTAAGCTCAAGTACCGCTCGCCCAGACGATATCAGCAAACTCAGCAGCAACAGTTTCTGGCCCATCAAAAGCAGCAACGGCTGTCGTCGACTGTGAAGGTAATTTGCTTAAAGGAGTTGGGATTTTTAGCGCCATATGTTTGTATTATTAAAATTTTTTTTTCCATTTTTATTGTAAAAATTTCGTAAAAATTTCGAGTCAATTAGAGTCAAACTAACGGAGTTACAGCGTTTTAAACGACCGAATTCGGACGTATTTTCACGTATAAAAATACTTTGAATCGATTTTCCCGAAAACGTTATTTTGAAAGTCGGTGAACATTAGAACTCAAAATCTTTACAACGCACATCACTTTTTATTTTTAAGATGATCCGTTAACGCCCTATGATGTTCACCGCAAAACAAATTTTTCTTTAGGCGCTTCGGTAGATTAACCGACACAGTCTTATTTATAAATATTTTTTAATAATTTTCTAATACTCGTCAAAAGTTAAAAAATAAAAAGTAATTAAGCTCAATAAAATAAACTTACTCATTTCGCCGCAAAAAAATTCAAACTTGGCCCTTTTTTTGGCCTTTAAAACCTTACACATTTAGTTGTTATTTTAAAATGGCAAGGAATACAATTAGCAAAGTACTAATCCCCACTATCTGCTTTACCGCACATCTAGGTAACGATACTCATCAAAGATGTCAATGACGAAGTGCCCATTTTCGTTTCCGCAAACGAAACCGCGATCATGGAGAACGTGGCCATCAACACAATCGTTATCGCTGTCAAAGCCGTCGACAACGACGAGGGCCGAAACGGTTACATCGATTATCTCATGAAGGATGGCAACAAAGAGGGCGCGGGTCAATCGGAGCCCCTGCCCTTCTCACTCAACCCCACCGACGGACAGCTTCACGTAGTTGATGCTCTCGATCGCGAGTTGCGTTCCAGCTATCTTCTCAATATCACAGCCACCGATCGCGGAGAGCCCCCCTCAGTCCACGGAGTCGCAATTGCTAGTCCGCATTCTTGACGAAAACGACAACAGTCCCGTTTTTGATCCCAAGCAGTATTCCGCCTCCGTGGCAGAAAACGCCAGCATTGGGGCCATGGTCCTCCAAGTATCCGCAACTGATGTGGACGAGGGCGCCAATGGGCGCATACGCTACTCCATATTGATGGGAGATCAAAACCACGACTTTAGCATAAGCGAGGACACGGGCGTAGTACGGGTCGCTAAGAATTTAAACTACGAGCGGCTATCGCGCTACTCACTTACAGTTCGCGCCGAGGACTGCGCCTCTGAGAATCCTGCTGGCGACACTGCGGAGCTGACTATCAACATCTTAGATATAAACGACAACCGGCCCACATTTTTGGACTCCCCTTACTTGGCGCGCGTCATGGAGAACACGGTGCCCCCCAATGGCGGATATGTGCTTACGGTGAACGCCTACGACGCGGACACACCGCCGCTCAACTCGCAGGTACGCTACTTCCTGAAGGAAGGCGACAGCGACGTCTTTCGTATCAACGCCTCTTCGGGCGACATTGCGCTGCTGAAGCCTTTGGACCGCGAGCTGCAGAGCGAGTACACCCTGACACTGGTGGCTATGGACACGGGGTCTCCTCCACTCACGGGCACTGGAATCGTGCGAGTGGAGGTACAGGACATCAACGACAACGATCCGGTGTTTGAACTTCAGTCCTACCTCGCCACTGTTCGCGAAAACCTGCCGCCGGGCACTCATGTCCTGCAGCCGAGGGCCACAGATAAAGACGAGGGACTAAATGCCAAGCTCCGCTTCAACCTTCTTGGCGAGCACATGGCACGCTTCCATATCGACTCAGAGACGGGGGAGATCTCGACAGCCGTAACTCTGGATCGTGAGGAGTCAGCAGTTTACTATCTGACGCTCATGGCTCAGGATAGATCCGTTACCGAACCCCGCGCCTCATCTGTAAATCTAACGATCAGTGTGTCCGATGTCAACGATAACGTACCGAAATTTGATTCCGCCAGCTACAGTGTTGCAGTTCCGGATAGGCTCAGTATGGGCGAGTTTGTCTTTGGAGCCAGGGCTCTGGATTTGGATGAAGGCAAAAACGCCGAAGTGGAGTACAGAATCAGTGGAAGAGATCAGCGTTACTTCGACATTAACCCCAAGACGGGAGTGGTAAGCACAAAGGTGGAGCTTAAAAGTAATGGCAAGCTTGCCGCTGATTCGACCTACACAATTATAATATCTGCCATTGACCACGGTGAGAGTCCCCAAAGTTCCACTACTGAGCTGACGGTCGTGTTGCGACCACGAGAGCTTTTTCCCACCTACTCCTACATGGCCAATAGCCACTTTACCATGTCGGAGGATGTAAGGCCGGGCAAAATGGTAACCAAAGTTAGTGCCACATCTCCGAAAAAGGGATCGGCGGGCAAAGTTCGCTATGCCATAGCCGGCGGAAACTTGAGAGATGCGGTTAGAGTAGACGCCAACAGTGGGGTTATCAGCGTGGGACAGGATGGCTTGGACTATGAGTTGACCAACCTGTACGAGATATGGGTAGAGGCAGCCGACGGAGATTCCCCAAGCCTACGTAGCGTAACTTTAATAACTGTCAACGTAACGGACGCCAACGATAATGCGCCCATCATGGAGCGACCTTTTTACAATGCCGAAGTTTTGGAGGAGGAGTCGCCGCCTCAGTTGATAGCCGTTGTTAAAGCCAGCGATCGCGACTCCGGCGAGAATGGAAGGGTTACCTACCGCTTACAGAATGATTTTGATGGCACCTTTGAGATAATGGAATCGGGCGAGATTTATACCACGATGCGACTTGATCGAGAGGAGATTGGCGACTACGCTTTTGTGGTGGAAGCTGTCGACCAGGGCGCACCCCGTCTGACGGGAACGGCCAGTGTTCTGCTGCACCTGCTGGATAAAAACGACAATCCTCCAAAGTTTACTCGCCTATTTTCACTAAACGTAACCGAAAACGCCGAGATAGGGAGCTTTGTGATCCGTGTAACTTCTTCAGATTTGGACCTTGGTGCCAACGCAAATGCCACCTACTCGTTCAGCGAGAATCCTGGCCAGAAGTTTCGCATTGAGCCCCAAAGCGGGAACATTACTGTGGCCGGGCATCTCGACCGCGAGCAGCAGGATGAGTACGTCCTCAAAGTAGTGGCTTCGGATGGAGCTTGGCGTGCCGAAACACCGATCACTATAACGATCCAAGACCAGAACGACAACGCGCCAGAGTTCGAGCACAGCTTCTACAGTTTTAGCTTTCCCGAGCTGCAGCAGTCGATTGCTCTTGTGGGTCAAATAATAGCCACTGATCGGGATAAGCAAGGACCCAACTCTGTGATCTCCTACTCGCTGCAGCAACCTTCGCCCATGTTTAGTATTGACCCGGCTACGGGAGAGGTCTTTAGCAAAAAGGTTTGTATTTGTATATATTTTATTATTTTATTTGATATAAATTTCCAAAATACAATTAAGGTGGTACGCTTCAAGCACTCCCAGTATACTCGCTCCCCGGAGAATATGTACGCCTTCACCGTCTTGGCAACCGATAATGGTAAACCGCCGCTGTATTCCGAGTGTCTGGTAAATATCAACATTGTCGACGCCCACAATAGTCCCCCTAAGTTTGAGCAGATGAAGTATCTTGCGCCGTTGCCAGAGGACGCGGTGCGTGGCCAGCGCGTTGTTCGAGTGCACGCGAACGACAAACAAGATATGGGCGCCAATGAGATAGACTACTCCCTGGTCACCTCCAATCTCAGCTCAACCTTCGCGGTCAACAGACATGATGGCTGGATCACTTTGGTGAAGCCCCTTCAAGTGCCTCCTAACTCCCGATATGAACTCACTATACGGGCCACCGACCGAGGAGTTCCGCCCCAGACAGATGAGACTGAAGTTGTTATTGTGGTGACCGGGGAGAACCTAGACACCCCAAGGTTCTCGGTTAACAGTTATCAGGTGATTGTCCCAGAGAACGAGCCCATTGGATCTACCATCTTAACAGTCGGTGCAACAGACGATGATATGGGGCCAAATGGCATGCTTCGATATGCTATTTCTGGCGGCAACGAGCGTCATGACTTCAGCGTGGACGAACTAACAGGAGGCATTGTGATTCAGCAGCAGTTGGACTATGATTTTATACAGGAGTACCATTTGAACATTACGGTGCAGGATTTGGGCTACCAGCCACTTTCCGCCGTAGCGATGCTTACTATAATCCTAACAGATGTCAACGACAACCCGCCTGTATTTGATCAGAAGGAATATCATGCTTATATAGCAGAAAACAAACCTGTGGGCACCTTTGTATTCAAGGCCCACGCAACGGACAAGGATTCGCCGAAAAATGCTATTATCCATTATGCATTTCTGCCCAGTGAAGCGGACAGGCATTTCTTCAGTATTAACCAATACAATGGCTCCATATCCTCTGCTGTTTCCTTCGACTACGAGGAACGCCGCACCTACACACTTCAGCTGAAGGCAAAGAATCCGGACTCGAGCATGGAGAGCTACGCAACCCTCTATGTGCACGTACTCGGCGTCAACGAATTTTTCCCACAGTTCCTGCAGCCAGTTTTTCATTTCGATGTATCGGAAACATCTGCTGTAGGCAGCAGAGTCGGCGCTGTTCAGGCCACGGACAAAGACAGGGGCGAGGATGGACGCGTTTACTTTCTACTGGTGGGCTCCAGCAACGACAAAGGATTCCGAATTGACACGAATACTGGCTTGATTTATGTAGCCCGGCATTTGGACCGCGAGACGCAGAACCGAGTGGTATTAACAGTGATGGCCAAGAACTTCGGCAGCATTCGAGGCAATGACACCGACGAGGCGCAGGTCATCATCTCGATTCAAGACGGCAACGATCCGCCCGAGTTCATAAAACACTACTATACCTCTACTGTTTCCGAGGCGGCACCAATCGGTACAAAAGTCACTACAGTTAAAGCAATTGACAAAGATGTACGGCCACAAAATAATCAGTTCAGTTATTCAATAATCAACGGCAATCTCAAGCAGAGCTTCAAGGTTGATGTGCAGACGGGTGAAATTAGTACGGCAAGCCTTCTGGATCGCGAGGAGATAGCCACTTACAACTTGGTGATTGGAGCTATAGACACTGGGCTGCCCCCCCAGACGGGAAGTGCTACAGTTCACATAGAACTAGAAGATGTGAATGATAACGGCCCCACCTTTACACCTGAAGGTCTCGTCGGATACATTTCCGAAAACGAACCGGCTGGTACTTCGATTATGACCCTAATGGCCAGTGATCCAGATCTACCGCGAAATGGAGGGCCATTCACCTATAACTTAGTGGCTGGAAAGCACAAGACTTGGCTTAGTGTGGATAAACACACGGGTCTGGTTAAGTCGACAACCACTTTCGATCGAGAGATCACAGCCATTCTGGAGGCCGTAATCGAGGTGGAGGACAGTGGTAAGCCCAAGCAGCGATCGCAGCATATGCTCACCATCTCAGTACTCGATCAGAATGATAATCCCTCAACAACAAGAAGTTTGCATGTCGCTGTCAGCCTGTTTAACGGCGATCTTCCCTCTAATGTGAAACTCGCTGATGTGCGTCCGAACGACATTGACATTGTAGGCGATTATCGCTGCCGTCTTCAAAGCGCCACCCAGAGCCAGTTGCAACTTAGCATTCCGCGGGCTTGTGATTTAGTTACCACATCGCTTACCACGCCGGTAGCTTCTGTTTTTAGTTACACAGGGAACGATGGCAAGCATGGGGATGTAAGCTCTAAAGTGAGTGTAGCATTTCAGAGCTTTGACAACGAGACCCTTGCAAACTCAATATCTATTATGGTGCGCAACATAACTGCTAACCATTTTTTGGTTCATCATTACCGCCAAATGCTAGAGATGGTTAAGTCACGTCTTGGTAACGAGGACGAGGTCTTTTTGTACAGCCTCCTCGAAAGCGGTGGCGGAAATTCCACAAGTCTGCAGGCCCTGATGGCAGTACGATCGGCCAAGAGGATTTACCAGCAGCCCAGGCATTTAATTGAACACCTGCGGGAGAAGCGGGGCGCTTTTTCCGAACTCCTGCAAAAAGAGGTGATCGTAGGCTACGAACCTTGCACCGAACCGGGCGTGTGCGAAAATGGCGGCGTTTGCAGTGCCAGCATTCGGCTGATGGACGCCCACTCATTCGTTATCGTCGACAGTCCCTCCCTGATGTTAAGCGGGCCCCGCGTCGTCCATGATTACAGTTGCCATTGCACCAGCGGTTTCTCGGGAGAGCAATGCAGTCGAAGACAGGACCCATGCCTACCAAATCCCTGCCAAATGCAAGTCCAGTGCCGTCGTCTCGGCAGCGATTTCCAGTGCGTTTGTCCGGTCAACCGGGACGGCAAGCAGTGTGAGAAAGAGCGCAGTGATGTCTGCTATAGCAAGCCATGTCGCAACGGAGGAAGTTGTCAACGCAGCCCCGACGGATCGTCCTACTTCTGCCTGTGCCGTCCTGGATTCCGTGGCAGTCAGTGCGAGAGTGTGTCCGACTCATGCCGACCCAATCCGTGTGTCCATGGTGGCCTCTGTGTCAGCCTAAAGCCGGGATACAAGTGCAACTGCACGCCGGGGAGGTATGGACGGCATTGTGAACGCTTCAGCTACGGATTCCAGCCGCTCTCATTCATGGCTTTTCCCGCCTTGGATGTTACGACCAACGACATCTCAATTGTCTTTGCCACCACGAAACCGAACTCCTTGTTGCTGTACAATTACGGCATGCAAAGTGGCGGGAGGTCGGATTTCCTGGCCATCGAGCTGGTGCACGGTAAAGCATATTTTTCCTCAGGTGGAGCACGTACTGCCATTAGCACAGTGGTCGCCGGGCGGAATCTGGCTGACGGAGGATGGCACAAGGTTACGGCCACTCGAAATGGACGAGTAATGTCTCTGAGCGTGGCCAAGTGTACAGATTCCGGGGACTCGTGTACAGAGTGCACGCCTGGAGACACCAGCTGCTATGCTGACGAAGTGGGACCCGTGGGGTAAATATATTTCTTTCTTACCAAGTCATATTAAGCTTTGCATTTTTTATGCCATGTCTAAATAATATTATAACGTTTAAAAAGTACCAACTTTTTTGTCATTTTTATGCACCAATCATTGTGTGCACCAATTATTGTAATAATTAACGGGACACTTTTTTATATGTACCCTTGCAGAGCAAAAGGGTATAATTTCAGTCAGAAGTTTGCATCGCAGTGATGGAGACACCTCAGATCCCATAAAGTATATATATTCTTAGTCAGCATCACCATCTGAATCGAAATACGTATGTACCTCTGTCCGTCTGTCCTCCTGTCTGTTTCCACGCAAGCTAGTCTCTCAGTTTTAAAGCTATCTTGCTGAAACTTTACCAAAAGTTGTGTAGTTATTGCACGCAGTATATAAGTCGGAACGGGCCAGATCATCCGATTATGTCGGATAGCTCCCATACAAGAGGTCAAAAAAAATGGAAAAAAATTATAACGCCGTAGTTTTTTATCAAATTGACTTGATTTCTTTCAGATAGTGTGGATAACTCTATCATATACCTGCCATAGGAAAGATCAAAAATGTACATATAAATATTGAAAAAGAATTATAACGTCGTTGTTTTTAATCCTATGAGCATGATTTTTGGAACATCGAGTTTTTCAAATACCCTTGAATAGAGAAAAAAATTTAATAAAAATCAAACTACTATATCATATAGCTTCCATAGGAAAGCTCAAAAAATCTATATAGAAATAACGGAAATAAAATGATAACATCGTTGTTTTTCACAGGCAGTCATGATTTTTGGAGATGATTTCTAATGACTCTTGAATTTCAAATTAAATTTCATCAAAATCGGACAACTATAACAAACAGCTGCCATATAAACAATAGTCGAAAATTTGGAAAATTAATAGAAAAATCGTCATACCTTCGATGTTGTTAATCCTTTATGTATTTTGTTCGACATATTTGACGACTGCAAGGGAATATAAGTTCGGCTTGCCGAAGCTAGCTTCTCTTCTTGTTTTGTTTTTGGTTTGGCCAAAAACAAGTTATCTTTCGCAAAATATTTACTAAAACGAATGAACAAATCTTTTGGTAATCTTCCACAGAACACTCAACTTCAACAAGCAGCCATTGCTAATTGGGGGCTTGTCCTTAGCCGATCCAGTCCTGGAGCGACCTGGCCAAATACACAGCGACGACCTTGTGGGCTGTCTGCACAGTGTGCATATCGGGGGACGTGCCTTAAACCTGAGCTCCCCACTCCAGCAGAGGGGCGTTTCGCCGGGATGCAATCATCAGGCCTGTCAACCAGCACTGGCTGCCGAGCGCTGTGGAGGTTTTGCGGGGCAGTGCATTGACCGGTGGTCAAGTTCTCTTTGTCAGTGCGGCGGATACCTTCAGTCGCCTGACTGCACGGACTCCCTAGATCCCATTACCCTCAGTGGAGGCGCCTTTGTGGAGTTCAGGATCTCCGAGATATATCGCCGCATGCAGCTTCTGGACAATCTTTACAGCAGAAAGAGCGCGTGGTCCAACGATGAGCCGCGGGACCTTCGTCAAGCCGAAGCTGGAAACACTACCACCGTCTCCCAGGACCATGAGGTGCCCAAAGTACTAAGCGTGCTTTTCCGCACTTACAAGGAGCAGGGTCAGATTCTTTATGCCGCCACTAATCAAATGTTTACCTCGCTGTCGTTGCACGAAGGCCGCTTGGTGTACTACTCCAAGCAGCACCTGGTCATTAATATGACTGTGCAGGAACCTGGTTTGCTCAACGATGGAAAATGGCACAATGTAAGCTTGTACAGCGAAAGTCGAAGTCTGCGGTTGCTCCTCGATGGCCGCCAGGTGGGAGATGAGCTCGATATTGCCGGAGTGCATGATTTTTTGGACCCCTATTTAACCACATTAAGCGTGGGCGGAGGAGTCCAGGAAGATGCCTTTGTTGGTTGCCTAGCGAACTTCACACTGAACAACGAGCTGCAACCGCTGAATGGATCCGGCAGCATCTTCCCCGAGGTTCGCTACCACGGGAAAATTGAGTTCGGTTGCAGTGGAGACATTGGTCAAGACGCGGCTCAAGTGGCTGATCGGCTCAGCATTGGCATCACTTTGGTCATAGTTTTCTTTGTCATTTTGGTTGTGGCCATACTTGGTTCCTATGTAATCTACCGATTTCGGGGAAAGCAGGAGAAGATCGGCAGCCTAAGCTGCGGCGTGCCTGGGTTCAAAATCAAACATCCTGGCGGAGTGCTAGGTGGCAGTCCATCAGTGCCGCAGAGCCAAGCGGACCATGTTTTGGCCCGCAACATGCATCCTAGCGATGTACCATCTCCTCCAATTGGCGGCGGAGACCACATGCGACCGCCTGTTGGACCCCACCACTTGGTGGGCCCCGAACTGCTGACCAAGAAGTTTAAGGAGCCCACCGCGGAACTATCTCAACCGCAGCAACGTCCGCAGCGTCCGGATATCATAGAGCGCGAGGTCGTGGGCAAAAGCCCGCTCATACGAGAGGAGCACCACCTGGCAATTCCGCCTCTCCACCCTCTGCCGCTCGAGCACGCCAGCTCTGTGGATTTGGGTTCAGAGTATCCGGAGCACTACGATCTGGAAAACGCAAGCTCTATCGCGCCCTCGGACATTGATATTGTGTACCATTACAAGGGCTATCGGGAGGCCGGTGGTCTGCGAAAGTATAAGGCCACAGCACCGCCCGTTTCTGCATATACACACCACAAGCATCAGAGCTCCGCCTCTCAGCAGCAACAGCACCGACATGCCGCTCCGTTCGTGACCCGAAACCAAGGTGGCCAGCCGCCACCTCCGCCCACCAGTGCCTCCCGCACTCACCAAAGCACTCCGCTGGCGAGGCTCTCGCCCAGTTCCGAGCTGAGCTCCCAGCAGCCGCGCATCCTTACCCTACACGACATCTCTGGAAAGCCTTTGCAAAGTGCCCTGCTGGCCACAACTTCCAGTTCTGGCGGCGTGGGTAAGGACGCTCACAGCAACAGTGAACGTAGCTTGAACAGCCCGGTAATGTCGCAACTATCTGGCCAAAGCTCCAGTGCCAGTAGGCAAAAGCCAGGAGTCCCACAGCCTACGCCGCAGCAAGCTTCAATGGGTCTGACTGCCGAGGAGATTGAAAGGCTGAACACGCGCCCGCGGACCTGCAGCTTGATATCCACCCTGGATGCCGTCTCATCCAGCAGTGAGGCACCCCGAGTATCCAGTAGTGCGCTCCACATGTCCTTGGGCAGCGGAATGCACAACACGGATGTGGACGCCCACAGCTCCACCTCCACCGACGAAAGTGGAAACGACAGCTTCACGTGCTCTGAGATCGAGTACGACAACAATAGTCTGAGTGGAGACGGGAAGTACTCGACCAGCAAGAGCCTTCTGGACGGGCGCAGTCCAGTGGCCAGAGCCCTTAGCGGGGAGCCCAGCAGGAACCCTCCGAGCGTGGTCAAAACACCGCCCGTTCCGCCGCACGCCTACGACGGCTTTGAGTCATCGTTCCGCGGATCGCTGAGCACGCTGGTGGCCAGCGACGATGACATAGCCAACCACCTAAGCGGCATCTACCGCAAAGCCAATGGCGCAGCATCCCCGTCTGCCACCACGCTCGGATGGGAGTATCTTCTCAACTGGGGGCCAAGCTACGAAAACCTAATGGGTGTGTTCAAGGATATCGCCGAACTTCCCGACACAAACGGACCGTCGCAACAGCAACAACAGCAGCAAGCCCAAGCCGTGTCCACGTTACGGATGCCATCGAACGGACCGGCGGCTCCAGAAGAATACGTCTAAGCTCTAACATTGCACTTAAAACTGCGTGGAAGAGATCAGAAATTCCAGGAAAACGCATGTGTACATTTTGTGAAAAGTTGCATCCTTCCTTAGTAACTGTTAAGTAATGCCATTTTGATTTGCAATGTACAACGAAACCGTAATGAGGATAAACGATAAGTTAAACAATCATGCACGGGTAGTAGGATCGTGTATTTATAGGATTACAATGCTTATGTGTCTTATCTTATCCGAATGCCTTGTATCAAGGCCAAACATCCTAAGTGCACTTCCGTTATGGGTTTAAAAGCAACTATATTGACTGATATTACCGTATATTAATATACTCATATATGAAGGACAATTTTTTAAATTGATTTCTGTACTTGTGTAAATGTTTTCTGAGTGCTATATTAAGATAGTTTGGACAACAGTATGTAATCATTTTCATTGCCACTTAAGAAAAATTAACGTTGTTCTAATTTATTAACAATTTCGCCAACACCCCCAAACTACCTTAGCCGTAGTCATAGTAAATTAGTTTCAAAAATACTTCGCATTCATTTAGATATAATTGTACATGTGTGTAAGTTTGTATTTCTAATTTTTAGAAAAATGTTATTTAATACATATTAATCATAAACAAACATTTTGGGTTGCTTGCATAGCTCGTTTGTCTTTACAGTGATTATAGTATTTCAAGTTATGCGCTGGTCAATAAACACCGGAAAGAGAATATGGCCAACCTGAACAAGGCAATTACAAAATAATTTTTCTAGAAGTGCCGTTTTGGACATGAACAAAAATCCCACCACAAATGTTTAAAGGTATGCCACTTTGAAATCGCGTTAAAATTGGCTAAGTTATAGGTTGTGAAAGTACCGCCTAGGGCCACCTTACTGCAGATCATGGTAAACTTAAATAAAATCGGACATGAGCGAGAGCATAGACCATCCGTAAACCGAAAACCTTGAATGCAGTTTCTTTAAGAATCCCACCACAATTGTTAAGAGGTATGCCACTTGGTAATCGCGTTAAAATTGGCGAAGTTATAGGTTGTGAAAGTACCGCCTAGAGCCACCTTACTGCAGATCATGGTAAACTTAAATAAAATCGGACATGAGCGGGGGCCAAAAAATGGACCATCCGTAAACCGAAAACCTTGAATGCAGTTTCTTTAAGAATCTCACCATAAATGTTAAAAGGTATGCCACTTTGTAATCGCGTTAAAATTGGCGAAGTTATAGGTTGTTTCGTTATGAGCTTTGTAGGTGCAACAAAGGGTCCCTGCTTCAGAAACTTAAATATAAGAACTTCCTAATATAATATTTTAAAGGACGTAAATTTATTTGAATAAATATTAAAAGACACATAATCGGAGAGTACTTACAGATAGCATTTGTCCAGATTCATATATTTGTCTACTCATATTTTAAAGAACTTAATGCAGCTTCAGAGGTACTGTCTTACTTTGATCACACACACAGAAACAAAAAAAATATGAAAACAATGTCCACACTTGGGGACCATTTTTGTATGGTAAAAGAGCCCGATTTATTTATTTTTACATTTTTTATTGCACTTAGCGCGAGTTAAATTTAATTTAAACTTGAAGAATTACGGGAAGGCAAGTCGAGCGAAAAAATGGCGAAAACAAGATGGCCGCAACAAACTTTCAATCGTCAGCGTTTGTATGCCTTTTTGTTGTCTCTTTTGTAAGAGGCAAGCTTGGTAAAGCTTGTCGCCTAGTTTTCTTACTGACGATATCGGTTAATCACAGTAAATAAGTAGTTTCACAAATAAAAAAACATTGCACAAATAAAAACAATCAATGTGGGTTGTGGATTTGATTTCGTATGTCTGTTAACCGGCACATCGATATTATCAGTGTTCCAACAACCGATAACCGCTACATATGAATCGATGATATCGGCAAGACCCCATGCGTTTTCCAACACTTTTGTGTATTTTAATTACACGTAAACTTGTGATTCGCCGGGCAAAAAATCTTTAATCCTTTAAAATGAGAGCAAAGTCCTATTGGCCAATCCTACTGCCGTTCCTAGCGATGGCAACGGCGTCTTTTTCGGGCGAAAAGCCAGTTCCTCCACCCTGCAGGGCCTGCAGTCAGCTGGTAGGCTCCTTTAAGGCAGGACTCGAGCGTACCAAGCGTGGACACGGGGGCGGGGACACTGCCTGGGAGGAGGAAAAGTTACGTTCCTACAAAAACAGCGAGGTGCGGCTTGTGGAGATCCAGGAGAAGCTCTGCTCGGACTCGGAAGTGGTCAACAAGGACCACTGCCACAACCTGGCCAATGAGCACGAGGCGCTTCTCGAGGACTGGTTTACCAACAAGCAGGGAGACAGTCCCGACCTGCAGTCCTGGCTCTGCATCGATCACCTAGCCGTCTGCTGCCCAGCGAACAGTTACGGACCGGACTGTCAGCCCTGCACTGACTGCAACGGAAACGGTACGATTTGATTTCTATATCCTGTTTTTTCTTAAAAGCAGGCTAGCTATGAGTATTTTTTAAGCAGTTTGAAAGCGATTAGTTAACCCTTTAATGTTTCAGGTAAATGCAAGGGTGACGGAACTCGAAAGGGTAACGGAAAATGTAAGTGTGATCCAGGCTATTCGGGACCGAACTGCAACGAATGTGGACCGGAGCACTACGAATCCTTCCGCGACGAAAAAAAGCTTTTGTGCACGCAATGCCACGCCGCTTGTGGCGAAGGCGGCTGCACTGGAGGCGGTCCGAAGAGCTGTCGCAAGTGCAAGGAGGGTTGGAGCATGGACTCAGAAGCGGGCTGCGTAGACATTAACGAGTGCTTGGAGCAAAAACGCCCAAACTCGTGCCGACCGCAGCAGTTTTGCGTGAACAACGAGGGCTCCTTCAGCTGCCTGGAATGTGATCGGTCCTGTGATGGCTGCGACGGCGATGGACCGGACATGTGCAAGAAGTGTGCGGATGGATACGCGATAAGGGACGGCAAATGCCACGGTAAGATACACAGGCTTTGAGCTACTAAAATAAAATCTATATATATATATCTACATATTTTGCGGCTTGACCAACAAAGACCTTTCTGCGGAGCAACGCAGCAACTACGTGAGCTATACGCGAATGCTCACATACTTTGGAATGTGCGTGGCTACCTGTGTCATCTTTCAGAGCTCCACCCACATTGCCTGGGGTTGTATTGTTGGGGCGGCGGTGGCAGTGTACATTGCTGTTTCCGAGTACTGGATTAACTCGGAGGCAGAAGGCGGGCGCCAGCCCGAATTCGACACGAAACAGCTGGAGGAACTAATCATGAAGTCGTTATAAGTCAAGCTAAGCTGGGTCGAGGGACACTCATCGGACCATAGTGTTAGATTTATTCTATGAATAAGATGCACGAGGGCTTTGAACCGCAACATTCTTGATTTACTGTTTGCTTGCGCTCTAACGTTTTTGTATTTTGTTTGCAGTCAGCAGCGAATCAGATTCCGAGGTGCACGGTGACGAGTCAACGCACGAAGAACTGTAACGCACAGTCATGCACATCCTTTAGTCAATTTTAGTTTATTAGATCATATTATTACCAATCGATATCGGAATGTGTATTGCCAAAGTGTATTTAAAAAACTAATCTTTACCTCCAAAAATGTACAAAAGTTTATAATTTTGCAATTATCTTGTTAATGGTATCACAATTAGATATTTATTATATTTGGTTTCAAAAATTTTAAAAATAACAAATACAGCCAAAACATGCATACATTTTAGTATCATTAACCATTTTAAGCGTGTGTTTCTGACTTGGGCTGGTTTTGTCACGTTCAAATTGCCATTTTTAAGACCAAATGTCTTGTGCAATGGAATACTGCTCGAAGCGGATAAATAAAGGAACTAGCATAATACAAACTTATCCTTGCAATTGGGTCTAACAAGATAAGCGTCTAGAAACGAGGAAAATATATACACAAGTTAACAAGTACCACCACCGTTTTTCTAAGTAACACGGATAAATAAAAGAACTATAAAAAAAAAGTAATAAATACGATCGTTGACTTTTGGCCACCAAGGTGTCTTAACACAGCCACAGAGTTCTCCAAAACATCCCTGAATCACTACGATCGCGCCAGATGGCTCTGACTTGTACTGGCCGCCAACCCGATCTCTTCATCCGACTCATCCGAATCTAATGGACTCACACGAATGGCTTGATACCACTTGTTGGTCAGGTCGGCCATCTGCGACTTGCACTCGTGCAGTTCCTGACTGTTAAAGCGTCGTGTAAAGAACGGAATAAAGTACTTGCGATCCATGCGGCCAAAGCGATCCCTTGCTTGTGTAAAGGTTACATCCTCCTCTTCGGTGAGCTCCGACAAGTGTTCTGAGTCGATTGCCTGGCCCCATTCGCGGGTCTTTGACAGAGAAATCGACTTCGACCGCTTTCGGCCGCTGGCCCGACGTCCTCCATCTTCAGTGCTATTTCGCACAGAACCACGTGTGCGGCGTTTCTTACCAGGCTTAAGGTATTTCAACAGAGGCATAGTAGAGCCTCCCAATACTAGCGTGGTAAACAGCACGATGATCAATCTAAAATTTAGAAATTTTTAATGACTGGGAGTTTTTTAGACCGGATCCGCTTACGTAGTTGTTATGATGACGTGGCGCTTTTCCTGGCTGTCAAGGTTTAAGTGCAAAGACAACGCGTAAGAAATGGCTCCTCGAAGACCCGAAAACCACATGATGAACTGCATTTTGTTGTTGATCTTATGCTCGCGGAATTTGTTAACCAAGAAGGCCAGAGGAAAAATGTTGCAGGCCCGGCCAATTAAACAGAGCACTATAGCCCATATAACAAAAGAGAGTTCTACTTGGTGCTTGAATGAGAAAATCGCCAGGCCCAGATAGGCAAATACACATGTTTCAGCAATAAATGCCAGTGTCCTCATTGTCTGTTGCATGGTGATTTGAGTGACCTGCCGTAATACCCTTTTAATAAATGTAAAGTATAGTTTACTTAGGCAAAACTCTTACCGTGGACAGATTGAAATGCGTATAGTGAGACATGACGATTCCACAAAATAGTATAGCCATGATGCCTTTTGGCGAAAAATATTATTTTTAATTTCAAGAAAGAGAGGGCAAACTTACCACTTAAGTGTATTCCCTCGGCCAAAACGTAGGGGGCGTACGTAAACATAAGCATCATGGCAAATTCAAGGGACGGATGCTTCCGCAAATCGATGTGCTTGAGGAGCAAAGCAGATATCAAGGCAAAGATAACTCCAATACCCGCCGACGCGAAGAACATAGCGCAGAAAGTCTTTAGCGCACTAAACATTGCCTCACCAGTGCTGGCCTCTGCGTTTGCGTTGGCCGATTGGGTGATGGAGGCGGTGAGCACAATAGATATAGCGTCGTTTAAGATACTCTCACCGAACACCAACATGTTTAGAATTGGGTCCACGTCAAGAGCATGAAAAATAGCGACCGTCGCGACAGGATCAACAGCCGAGATAAGCGAGCCAAAGGCAAACGACTCCGAAAAGCTCAGGCTATGGAATTTAAGAGTTATAAAAACATTGGTTAAAGAATTAATTTGTAAATTACCGAAACGCCACCTCTGCCAGGCCTAGCAGGTAAATTCCAGCTCCAATGACTAGTGCAGAAATCGTTGTGCCGAATATGGCAAAAACCAGGATGGAACCAATGTTCTGAAAGAAGTTTCCTTTGTGCAGATTGTAACCGGACTCGAATATAATTGGCGGTAAAAGGACCAAGAAGAAGCCCATTGGCGAGAAAACCTCCTCGCGCTTCCAGCTGCCATTCTGTCCGGACATTATGTTCAGCGACAAGCCGATGAGGGCGCCCAGGAAGACCACGACAATGCTTTCCGGCAAATACTGAAATCCGGTCTGCAGCATGGAGTGGATTAACAGGATACCTAGCATGATCACGCAAATTACAAAGAACAAGGAAAGCGAGGAGTTGTGCTCCTGCTCGACGGCATGCGAGTCAATGAGTGGTGGCTCCGTGATCACTGTGGATGCGTTTCCCTTCCTTGTGGTGTTTACTGCACTCACAGGAGCAGCAGTTGCCGAGGAAATGTTCCCCAGTGGACTGTTGACCGCCACATCGAATGGGGGGTGAGAGTTACTACTTTCAGGCGTGGAGTTGTTGATGGTCGTGATGTTGTTTTGGAGCTCCTTTTGTTGTCCACTGCTGTCTTCCGCCAACACATGTAGGAATATGCAAAAAACAGCCGCGTTGCAGGCGAGCCAAAAACGCATTTTGACCGAAAAATTGTGACGTGTTCGTTAATAAGGATCGCATTTAACTTTGCACAATTTGTTAAATTTGTTTTTCTTCACGAACAGCTGTTTATCGGCCTATCTGACGTTTATCAAAGCAGAGTTGCCACACTATTTCGGTAAACAGGCGCGTGCTTTTCCAAAAATTCAAACTGGAATTGTGCATGTAATAGCGTTTAATTGATTTAAACTATACTGCACAAACAAGAATATTAATCATCACTTCGCAATATGCCCAGTCACGCGGGGCTGGGGTCAGTGCTGATAGCTCTTTTGCAGTTATTTTTTTTTGAAAATGGGGAATATTAAGAAAGATAACTTATAATCCATCTTATTTTAAAACAAATAGTTTGACAGCTGCAAATTAAAATTGGGGGGTTTACTATATATACCTTTTTAACAATAAAGATAGCTGTTGCCAAGGAGAACAATTTGAAATAAAATAGGTGAGGGAAACTTTGGTTTTACATGAAAAATTCTACAAATTTAATTCATTGGCATTTATAAATAATGTACATGCACATCTGTCCAAAATATTTTTAAGGCACACGCGATGTTCTTCGGGCCCCAGGGGGTCACAGCTAATTTGGAAGATAATGGGGCCTGTTGTTTTCGGTTATTTTCAGTGGGTATTAGAAATTTTAAAATCTACATACATGCACAAAGCTGATTGCCAAGCGCCTTGATCTTGGCAGACCTTGTTTGTCTTTAACATGACGTAAGCACTTTTTCGATTACCCAGATTGTAGGAATGGTAGAAAACCCTAAATTGGTGTTCGATTTCCCTTGACCAGAGAGTGTCGGATGATCTTTTCCAGCCAGGTCAATCACTCCAGTCTGTGGGAAGCTAGGATTTCAACATACTTAGATTTCCATTTAACAAGTCGCCTCGTATTGCGATTTTAAAATATCACCGTATATGTAAATCTGAAACGCTGTACATAAGAAAAACAGAGAGTAATCCTAAGCAGATCCCAAAAAGTGAGAATATATACATAAGCGCCAAACGCGGTGTCACATAGGTTTATTCTGATAAGCTCCTATTTCCTGCCTACTCATCTCGCCAAGCTGGCTACGCAAATTTATAAATTAGCATTCGCCTCTAAAACTCGACCGCAGTCAAACACTGGCTGAGCAGGAAGCAAGTCGGGACTTTAAGCAGAATCTCGTCGAATCCTTCGTTTAAATTCGAGGTGAGTATAAAGGATCAGTAGCCAGATCCAGTGAATTCGCTTCCTAAAAGGGTGGCAACGCCAGGCGAGGAAACAGCTGTTTTCCCATCGGGCAAAATCAAAAACGTGGAGATGCTGATGAAGTAAATTTACCCGAGAGTCCCAAGAACGCCCGAAAAGTTTTGCGGCCCCCACGAAGAGCGCCAAAATAAGCCCCAAAATACGTACTCCGCCAGCCAAAGAGAAGCAGAAGCCCGCTCTCCCGCTCTCGCACTCGCCTCAGAGGTATAAATTCAGAAAGCCGTGAAAAGTGTGCGCTCTTTTTCTACAGAACCGTCGCCAAGATAGGACGTTTGTTGGCTGCGCCGCTGATTTGGTTGCCGTCGCTGAAACAGTAGAATTCAGAATCAGTGTGTATAAATTATTGAACTAAAAGCCGTCAGAACACGCACATAAACCAGCTCTCGCCCAGCGACTAGTTTTATTTTTGACCCCGCGTAACGTACGTGCCGTGTGTGTAGCTCCAGTTCCATTGTGTGGTAAACAGCACGCCGCATAAAACTTCATGAAAGAAAAGCGATTATGTAAAAAACTATACACAGCACGAAAAGCGAGCAAAAACCGGAAAATCCCAACAGCCTCAAGGCAGCGGGGCGCGGATTCGCAAATGCGAAAATAGCTGTGTTTTGTGAGAGTTCGGAAAATCAATTTCGTCAAGCGTTTTTAGCACCCAACCAATGTGCCTGTTCTCTCTCTGTTCCCACAGCTCCACCAACAGCCAATCCGACCGGAAATCGTGTTGAAGCCCTTCTCCTCTGTCAGACCGACCAACTTTGAACTACAGACTCCCAATTATCCCGCAAAATGCCGCAAAAGACAAACGGACACAGCGCCAACGGCTGCAACGGCAGCAACGGAAACTCCTATGACATGGAAGACGGAGCCACATTCCTGTTCACTTCCGAATCCGTGGGCGAGGGCCATCCAGGTGAGTCTTCGATTGCATCCGCGCCACCTCAAATTGCATCACTGCGCCAGGGCCCCTGCGTGCGCGCTGTGTATTTGGACTCGAGCATACACAAATGCACACTCGGCTGCGCTGAGGGATGTACGTCTGCGTCGTCTGGTGGTGCTCATAACCTTACCAAACTGCTTCTCCAGGGTCTGAGGCCTAGCTGGCTGTCTGGCGAAGCCCCAACCCCTGAATTCCCCGCCCATTCCCACTCCTCCGCCGTCTGCTGCCTGAGATCTAACAAAATGGCGACTGAGTGCTTTGCCGCATACCTTTGTTGATTGCTACCCAATTTGCGCTTCTTTTGTACCGGCTGCGAAGGGGATAGATGGGTAGCGAAAAACGTGCTTGTTTGCTCAGCGTCTTGATGTGTTTGTGAATTATTGTTCCACCAGATCGCTGGAAGTCAGTCGTAGCAGGCGCCTTTCCTTGCAAAACCAAGGACTCCGAATCCTCTCTGCACCTCGCGGCGCCACTGCCGGCAGCCTGGGCCACCAAAAAACAGCTGGTCACTCTCAGACACCCCCCACAGCGGGGAGGCCAAACCTCGTATTTGTGGGGCCGACGCAATTTATAGACTGGTTCTTTATCGCTCGCGGCTCTCACACACTCATGGTACCTGCGTCATGCGCACCATGTGCTTCTGGCTCGCTGGGAGCGTTCTCTGCCAGCTTTGGCTTGGCGCTCTTCGACATTGTTCATGCACTTGTGCCGCGCAGAAGGTGATCAAAACAAGGGCCAAACTAAAACAAACCCACGTTGCCTTTGTGGAAACCCACGAGTCAGTTTTCAAAGCTTATCTTTTAGGCGGAATCGCTAACCACGTGTTCTGCTTGAGCTCGGGCTCTCCGCCGCTGCCAGAGTTTGTTTATATCAGCGGGAACGAGCTGAGTATGAATGTATTTGACAACATATGCTGATAAGGGGGAGCGACCTTTTATACTACGCATTGATTACTTTTACTGCTATATTTTATAATGCTAATTAAGTCGGCTTGGCAAGTCAGCCCTAGACAGCCCTGATAATTGGCGCCGGAAGCCACCCAAAAGAACCCACCCCGAAGGGTTGACATTAATTTCACCTGTCTTCCTGAAACGAATGACTGACGGACTTATTGGAACAGGAGTAGTCTAGCTGGAAACAGGGAGTTTTTTTTTTTCATTTCAAACGAAAGTCTGAAACCCATTTTCAAACCCCAAACTTACACTCATCCCTTAACCCAAGGCGATCATACGAAAACGAAACGCCATTTATGTGAGTCAACACTTTTGCAGTTTTGCCAATTTAGTATCCCGGTGCTGACGCAATATTCCACTTCAATAACGCTGTTTCTACGGAGCCCCTAAAGCCGGAGGGCGGGCTCCGGTTACGCAGCAAGTTTTGGCACAAAGCACTGGCAATGCGACTGGTATCGAATGAATCCGAGTCTAAGGATTTCATGCGCGAGTCGGCGTCGTTTTCCGATATATTTTGTTTGGACAACGCCATCGTTGCTGTTGGGCTCGTGTTTTGAGTGATAGACATAAAATGGCATTGAATTTCGCTAGCACTCGCAGAGTGAAAATTAAAATAAACCGCATGGCCTGGCAATTTTTCGGTGTCGCCTAGCAGGCGACAAACGTTGGGGGAGCGCGTGAGTATTTGGCACATCCGCTGCCCCCTCTACTCCCCCGGCGATGCTTGGCAGTGCACCTTCTCGTACCTCTCACTAACCTTCTCCCTTGTGTTTGCAGACAAAATGTGCGACCAAATCAGCGACGCTATCTTGGATGCCCATCTGAAGCAGGACCCTAACGCTAAAGTGGCGTGCGGTAAGTAATGGGAACCATGAACTGAGTGCTTAGTGGACCCTAAATCTGAAACCCCATACGCCAAGGCTGCTGACCTCTTTAAAGCTACCGAAATCGGTGTTCGGTTAAGCTCTCCCAAAGGCGCAAAGGGATCATATTTGTCTTCGAGGGCGGCAGACCATCAGAAAATAAACTCATCCATAAAGTAAACATTTGCGCAGCAATCAACGCGTGTGCAATGTTTCTGCAAGTCGCCAAAACCGATGCCCATGATCAATAAACAAAGTCTAGCGAGCCGCCCAAGCTATGGGAAGATTTCGGACCCACTGAGGGGACTCGCTCTGCTGTCACGTCTGTTATAACTCTTTGTTTTACTGCATCTAGAAACTGTTGCCAAGACTGGCATGATCCTGCTGTGCGGCGAGATCACATCAAAGGCCGTTGTCGATTACCAGAAGGTGGTGCGCGAGACAGTCCAGCACATTGGATACGATGACTCCTCCAAGGGTAAGCGTCCATCTAGCAAACTAAGCAAATATATTTGTGGGCGGGTTGCAGGATTCGTTACTTAGATCTCTACCAAACACAATATATATATTCACCATAAAAATAAAATCAAAAAGGTTTCGATTGGAAGACCCTGAATCTGCTTGTCGCCATCGAGCAGCAATCTCCCAACATTGCCAATGGCGTGCACATCAACCGCGAAGAGGACGACGTGGGCGCTGGTGACCAGGTACAGCAAAGCTTATCCGTTCTTCTACTACCGCCTAGCACTAAGTGATGCGGAGAGTGTGTGTGCGTTCGTTCGTTTCGTTTCCATTTTGTTAAGTGTTTCCTAAATCCTTTATTTCGCACATTAACTTGGCCCGCTCGCAGGCCAACAAGGGATTCGTCATACCCATTCAAGTTACCCCAACACATTTCAACAAGATTAAGTTTAGAGCTGCTGATTGGAATTCAAAATGAATTCAATCATTACCAACCTCTCCTCCTAACTGGGGATGCAAAGTAACCAGTGCAAAAACGAGAAAATAAAAAGGAATGGACTACATTACATACAACACATTTGGGTCTCGCTGCGGGTGTTCTAACCACATAAATTGCATATTACCAGTCATTCGAGGCCACTGAAAGTCAGATAGTTGAACTAAAAATATCCTGGGGAAATCGAACTTTTGCATGCGGCATGTATCCCTCCATCGGAGAAGACTGTAAGTTCTACGGAACAAAACGATTCAGAAATTAGGGTAACACATTGTAATTCTGATGATGAATCGCAATTAATTTTAATCTAGAATAAAAGGGCGAAAAAACCATATTATTAACATTACTTACAGACATTTTCCTGTGTGTGTGCAACATTGCTGCGCTCTTTTCTTTTATCTTTCTCTTTTCATATGTGACCAAACACGATACAAACCTAAACCATATTTTTTACGATAACGTGTAATTCGCCATCGCGATTTAAACTCACTAAAGGTTTTGATTTCAAAACCTGCAACGTGCTTTTGGCATTGGACCAACAATCGCCCGAAATCGCTGCCGGAGTGCATGTCAATCGCGCTGAGGAAGAAATCGGTGCCGGAGATCAGGTCTGAATTAGAAGCAGTAAAGCTGGCAGTCTCGGCAGGCCGGGATCGAATGCCCTTTTCAAAGAGCGACGTTTTCCAATTCCTAAGACTTTTCATTTGACTTGACTTCGGGTCGGATGTCAGATACTCATGGTGGCTGGGCGCTTATGAGCTCTTTGGAAGGGGCGTTCCCGCCAAATGTAAAATTTGTGTTTATTGTTTCCTTAATTTATTCTCGTAACTAATCGAAGAGGTATAAGACGATTTTAATGCTATAATACATCTTTAGTTCTCTTTTGCCACTTTGCCATTTGTAGCGCTGCAATATTGCTCAAGAATGACACTGCCCACACCTAATCGCCTTAATTGTTATTTGAAGCTCAAAATCTATTTGTTGATCGATCAAAACATTTCGTTATTTTGTTTCAAATAACAACTGCATTAATTAAAGACACACCACCGCATATGCACCAATAAAAACATTTATGTACTCACATCTTGGCTACCAAGTTTCATAGCGATCTTTCGCAAACCAAAACTCGTCACACATCTTACCATATGTTCTTTATTCACCCTCAACTTATCTAACATTATTGTTTTTATCACTAACGCTACTGACACTTATTGGTTTTGGTTGCTTCTGTTCGGTGATCTGATTCAAGGAACTTTTCTAAAGTGACAAATGAACTCTTTGCAGGGCATCATGTTCGGATATGCCACCGATGAGACCGAGGAGTGCATGCCCCTCACCGTCGTCCTGGCCCATAAGCTGAACGAAAAGATTGCCGAGCTACGCCGCTCTGACGTCTTTTGGTGGGCTCGCCCCGACTCCAAGACGCAAGTCACCTGCGAGTACCTCTTCAACCAGGGGTCAGCAGTGCCGAAGCGAGTCCACACCATCGTGGTGTCCATGCAGCACTCGGAGAAGATTTCGCTGGAGACCCTGCGCTCAGAAGTAATGGAGAAAGTTGTGAAAGTCGTCATTCCTGTCAAATACATTGATGCCAACACCATCGTGCACATCAATCCATGCGGTCTCTTCGTCATCGGAGGACCGATGGGTGACGCAGGTCTAACGGGCCGAAAGATCATTGTGGATACCTACGGAGGCTGGGGCGCCCACGGTGGCGGAGCCTTCTCTGGCAAGGACTTCACAAAGGTAGACAGATCCGCAGCTTACGCGGCTCGCTGGGTAGCCAAGTCACTGGTAAAGGCTGGGCTCTGCAAGCGCTGCCTCGTCCAAGTTTCGTATGCCATCGGTCTGGCCGAGCCTCTGTCCATAACTGTGTTCGACTACGGCACTTCCCACAAATCACAAAAGGAACTCCTGGAGATCATCCGGCGCAACTTTGACCTCAGGCCCGGCAAGATTGTCAAGTAAGTGGGAGTCTCTAGTTACTGCAGCATTGTGAATGTACTCACTGTTTACCTCGTTGTCCACAGGGACTTGAACCTGCGTCAACCGATATACCAGCGCACCAGCACCTATGGCCACTTCGGACGCGCCGGCTTCTCGTGGGAGGAGGCAAAGCCTTTGGAAACTGGCAACTGACTAGACGCTGACGCGCCACTACCGCAGTCACCGTGTGCTAAGAGATGGAAGCCATCGTCATCGTCATCAGCGTCAACATCAACAGAAACCATAACACCAACGTAATTTTTAATTCGTTTTTAAAGTCAAAAGACGGCGGAGCTAGCTGCATTGTCATGCGACTTCCTTTGGGCTTACGTTTCTTACTACACCTGCGCTCTTCGCTATATAATTTAAACCAATCTGATGTGTGCAGTCTTTTCACACAACATTAGTTGTAGACGTGTAACTATCCGCATATATATACTTAATAGAGAGCTCCACCACAATTGATGAGCTTTAGTTATTCATATACATAGTATAGTGCCGTCACTCAGTTTTGTTATCACAAAAATTAAAGTAGTTAGTCTGACCTTCAAATATCTGCAATATTGGAACTGTATAAAACTAACATCCAACGCCAAGAAGTGGTGCACCATTCTCATGCCCTAATTGTACACATATTTTTGTATCTTTTAATATTGCTATATGTTGTATATGTTTAACCAAAAGTTTTTAAACAACTCGATTGTATGTAAATTACACACTGTCTTTGTATTTTCTGTAACCAACCAACCAACCATAAGATAATGTATTTTCCTTTACAAAAATATATTAATAATACAGATGAAAAGTTTGTAATTCATAAAAGACCTGTTTACATAGACTTGGCATTTCCATTGTGAAAACAAAAGAAATCAGTGCCATGTCTGTGTTGCAATCAAAAACAAAAATAAAAACAGTCAACTAGTGTATCCTGCTTCTGGTATTTGACACAATTGTGAAAAGAAAAGTTTAACCTGGAATTAAGTAATATTGTACATGACAAGCTAACTTTTACATGACAATGATCATTGAAATAAATGTATTCGACTGTTTAAGATTAAACAATAGTACATTAAAGGGTTACTTGGTGTTTATAGAGCAGATAGAGCATACTGCGCAACGCAGTTTTGTTCCTATCGTTTGAGATCGATTGTGAGTGTGGTTCAAATTAATGGTGTGCTTTTAGGGATTATCTTAATCAGACATCATAGCATAGGGCTGCCTTAGCTGATGGTTGTTATAAAAAACTTTAGTCTGGCTTATGGAACGAGAGTTCACCCAAATATATACTTGAATGCAATGGTCCTCTGTCATTCACGTGCAGAAATTTAGAAAATTATTTCATTTTATTTCCTTAGGCTTATTAGGATATCACACAATTCCCCGTATCAATAGTAATCTTACTTCTGACGTGTTGTACGACCTACAAATATAATATATGGCTTATTTGAAGTTTTAGAACAATCACCTAAATCCCACTACAATTTTTTCACGGAACCGGCACCAACAGGCCCACTACTTAGTAATTGTATGATGTGAAGTTGAAATATTTAGTTAACAGCTGAAGGACGTAGGCGACAATCGGGTTGAACGCCGATTTTTTCAGTCGCTGTCTTATCATAATGTACGCTGCGACTGTGAAGAGCAGGTAGAAGCCAATCAAGCAGGACAGAGACCACAAATAGTGCATATTCTCGAAACCCAGAAAGGCCAGCAGGACCTTCGATTTCTTGAAGGTGCAAAAGATCTCCGTATCCTCGCAAATCGTGTCGGCGCGTCCGTAGTCGTACAGCGAGGCGACGAGTCCCTCCATTCCATGGCGAAGGTAGCTGAGGTGCATCAGAAAGCGCATCAGGGGGGATATGTAGGTTCCTCGGCCGTACCCTATGCCGTATATGGACAGCAGGATCAGCGGCACGGCGAGCACCGGCCCCATGAACATCGCGTTCTGGAAGAGGGGGAGGAGGTTAAAGCGCTTGGCAAGGAGACAGAGCTCAAGAGCTTACCACCAAGCTAAGCCTGCTGGAGATGAGCAAGCCAAAACTGTCGGAAGTGAGGGCCGTGACAAAGGCTATCGTAAACAGCATGGCGAAGCGGAACCACTCGAGTGGTTGGCTGGACATTAAGTACACAATGGACAGATATATGACGGCCAGGATGAACATGGACGGTAGCTTGGAGCAAACCATTGCGGCGTAGTATGAGCTCAGCCGGTACCATTGGTTGTTGTACTCCCTCTTCAAGAGATTGATTTCCGTGGGAACTGAAAAGCGGTGTTCGTTATCTAGCTCATGTGCTCGGGAGTGAAATAAGCCACTTACAGTATAGGAGCACTGGCATCATAGGCAGGTACAGGTATGCTATCACAATAGTGAACATAAAACCAAAGTTGAAGAGCGCTTTAGAGGCCGAGGTGCCCATTCCGAAGTAGAGCGACCCCACCAGCAAAGCCAGCACAATGTTCATGCAGAACTTCAGCTTGATGTACGACTGAGAAGTAATTGAAATTGTCATTGAAATAGCCACCAATACTGGCGCGCTCCCCCTGCTCACTCACTCTGTCCCTCCACATTTGGATGAGCATCCGCACCAGGAGCAACTTGTACTGCATCCACCAGCTGCACTTCGCTCGCAAGAGCTTCGGGCTGATCTCCTCTTCAAAATGCTCCACTTCGTAGAACGACGATGCGCCCGACGTGGTGTCCGTTTTCGTGGGTGTCGCTTGGCCGTCGTCTGACGGAGGACTCCAGCGGGCCACCTTGCCGTTGCCGACCGCCTCCACCATTGGCTCGTGGTAGGACTCGCCGTACTCAAGGCACGCCACCTCGATAATGAAGTCCGCCGGGTTGTGCGTTATTGGACAGTGCAGGCCAAGGTGCTGCATGTACGGCACAATGTTTGCCCCGCTCCCCTGGTAGATGCACTGACCCTCGGCCAGAACGTAGACTGCGTCGAGCATCTCGAAGATCTTGGCGGACGGTGTGTGGATTGAGCAGATTACAGTGCGTCCGCCGGCGGCCAGCATCTTCAGCAGGGCGATGCACTGAGAGCTCGACAAGTCATCCAGGCCGCTGTTGTTTTGGTGATTTATAAATCTTTAATAGGTAACTGATCCGTAAGTACTCACGTCGTAGGCTCGTCCAGAAAGATGACAGGCGGGTTGTTGACCAGCTCGAGCGCTATGCACAAACGCTTTCGCTCACCGCCCGACAGTTTTGGAGTCATCGTGTGCTGGGAACCCTTCAGCCGAAGCATTGTCAAAATTTCGTCAATCTGGGCAGTCAGAATAATTGAATCATGGCTTTGCCTTGCCACTCTCTCTTCAGATTCACCTTACCACTTCAAGCTTTTGCTTTAGATTGAGTTCGTTTCCCAACTTGAGGTTCGATGCCAACAGCATCATTTCGTGCACCGAAAACTGCGGATCCAAAACGTCTGTCTGTGGATTCAGAAGGTGTTTAGTGGAACGCAGTCGAGTGAAAATATAGTACCTGCATAATGTATCGGGACATTTTGCGGAAGACTCGCATATCCCGCGGACTGTTGTTGACCAGTATCTCGCCCGCACTACTGACAGCGCTATGAAATGGGATTAGTTATGGATTGAATTGCGTATCGACGATCTGCGCCTTACCCAAATCCCGCCAACAAGTTCAGAAGAGTGGTTTTTCCCGCTCCTGAAGGTCCCATAATCGCGGTGAGTTCGTGAGAATGGAACTCTCCGTTGACTCCCCGCAAAATCGCCTTCGTCTTCGAGACTTTAGGGAGTGAAGAAGGAGAAAAGAATTCAGTAGAACAACAATATTACATTGTGAGGTATCTTAGTTAATATTGTCATGTCATTAACCGCAGTAAATGTAGAATTATATGGAATAATTGCACGTTAAAATGTGCATTTTAACATCAGAAAACAAGCGGGTTGTGGAAATGGCAATTACTTTGGAAATTACGTCCAATTATCGTTCTTAATAATCCATTACCAGACACGAATATATCCATTACCAATTACCCAACTGTGATGGGCACGAGCAGAACCTAGTCACTCACCATTGGTCCGGTCGGGAACCTCATAGCTCAGTTCCGCGAACTGTAGGTTCACCGCTGGCCAGGATGGCAAGTACTTTAGCCCGTTGGCTGATCGAAAGTCTTCTGAATGATCGGGCAGCTCGAGGCTGACGGCATTAATGTCGCTGCTATATTGGAGCGAGCTGTGTTGAGAGTTCGTGCTGCCTTTTAAGCTGCTGGCAGTCTGCATCTTGAAATTCCTAGAGTTCCCCGATGTTTTGATCCGATGTCATTGCTCCTCAAGTGGACGATTTGGGAACTCTTGATAACAGACTTAAAAATTTCACTTCGGGTCTGAAACGCTAATAGAAATTGATTTAGTTCGCATTCGCACAGTATTTAGCTCTTGGCGATAACCCTCCGATGGGGTGTATGATCCCAGCACTGAAATCTCTTACTCGTCCGAACTCACTTGATGGCGCAGATGCATTTGTACACCGGAATTTAATTAGAAGAGATTACCGTACACAAAAAGCTAATAAGTTGGCGGGTTTAAACCAGTTTGTCAAATTTATCTTCTTCGCTTGTTTCGTTTGTTTGCTACTTCGAGTCGAGTTAATTATAAGCGGCAATTTCATTTTGCCTAAAATGGGTATTCGCATTTCTCAAAATTACTTACGCGTATCAGAGAGCTCCCTTTTGTTCTGGAAGCGAATTTCGCACTAACCGAAAAACATTCCGCGCAAATACATTCCCCACAAAGGGCGGGAATGCGCGATCGCTGCCTCTGAGCACAGCCCGAAAAAAAATAAGATTTTCAATTGATGGAAAGCAGTACACAGTTCGTACACGACTGACAGCCTGCTCGAGTTCTGACCGAATGACTGGCCGCCTGATTGAACGTCTGGGGGTCTGGAGATCTGGCAGTCCGGCTGTTTGCTGATCGAATCTGGGTGTGGGGGAAGAGCAAGTGTCACGGAGTGTTGTCGAGCGGCTTTAATCGGCCCTGCCAGCCGACTGACATACACTGGGCGGCAGTTTTGCAGTAGCCACTGTGCAGTTTATGTGCCACTGCACCACAGAACTTTCGGGGAATTTCAAGTGCTATCAGGGAGTGAGCGAATCCATAGCGGAAGTTTTACTCGACGCTATATTCGAGACGCTAGAGCGCTAGCTGATAAGCGGGCGGACAGTGCGGATGCGCGATCTGGGCGCTACTCTTTCCACGCTTTATGTTTCCCCGAAATTTACTGATTGCGCACATCAAGTGCGACCGAAACGCTTTTTCGCTTTTTCTGAGGAAAGCATTTACCGGCACCTTCTGAATACAAATTAAAACGGGAAAGTGGTGACCATTGCCCCCACTTTTGATACCGCTTAACTAGGCTAGGTGTGCGTGCTCGTTGCCTTGCAAATGCTGCCTTAATAATGAGCAAGGTGTTTCCTTCGGCTCGTCTAGGGTATTCGTTAGGCGACCTGCGGGAAGAGTCTTTGTCTTTTCGTCTCTGACCGTTTCTGTGTGAGTAATGGCGCATGTTAATGCATTGAAGCGGCGAATGTTGAACTTTGTTTCGGCTGGTGATACATGATCAACAATTGTTCGCCGGGTAATATTAATATACTTATGTACATATATCTAAGAAGCACCAGTTCACTTCACGACATATTCATCAGCTTATTCGTCGGTTAATCGGGACTTGTGCTTTTCGAAAACAAAGCAGTTGCGAGTCTCCAAAGCTAATGATCACACAGCTATCGGCCCGTTTTGAGCAACGTGCGATGCAGCAACCACGCGAGGGAGCAGCTGTAGTTGATAACAACTACCTCTGCTGACCCAGAAATCGATTAAATAATTGACTGTGCCCGTGCCACTTGGAAGCGTGGTAAACAGAGGTCTGTAATTTCTATCGCACTTGGTGCACGCCTGCAGGCACTCGCATTCTCGCAGTTGTTCCCGACTTTCGGGTGCAACGACCGCGGGTAGATACAGCTTGAAGCTCTGTGAGAGCGCCACTCGCTGTCACTCGCTGCCACTGGAGCTGCGGAGGGTGGATTGGTGGACTGGTGGAGTGGTGGATCGATAGGGGCACTTACTCCACTTTCTTTTCGCAGTGCTGCAGTCGCTGGCTTTCCACTCTCTTTCTCGTGGCGGCAACCGCGACGGCAGCGAGGAGGCACCGACTTGTTGCACCGACGGCTGACAATGAACTGAAGGCGAGCGCAGGAAGAACTCTGCGGTGACTGCTACTGTGGGCACTAGATTTGCGCAGCCGAGGCTCGGTTCTTCTGCCCTTCTAGCCAGGAAATCGCAGGCGAAACCTGTTTCTCAGACTGCGGAATCCACTGGAACAGGATGTGGCCAGTCTATTTATATCGACTCCACCCAGAGGAATATAAATTCACTTGAAGGGAACTTCGCTGCATCTGACCTACCTCAATTCTCTTCGTGGCTTTCGTTTTTCGGCCATTTCAGCAGTCACTGGTCGGAACTGTGTAGTATGTTATGCCTTGCGAAGCGGGAACGTTTACTTCTAATTGAATGCAAAACTCTTTTGTTGCATGAAATTGAAATTCATTCGCTAAAGGCTGGCCAAATGATGGTGATTATCATGAGCTGCACGCTGCCATTACGAACAATTTCTAGCACATCTGAAACTAAATTGCACACTCATCGCAAGAGCGTGAAGAGAGGGCTCTGCGATTTTACAATTTTTCCCTAAGGTATTCAGTTGTTTCCACCTGTTTGCGTTGGTTCTTAAGAACTTAAATATGGAACTTTGAAATAAAGCTTCAATATAATAAACAAGAAAGGAAGCTAACCTCGGTAAGCCGAAGCTTATATACCCTTGCAATAATCTCAAAAGTTGTACTTCAACATCGCAGTAATAACGATTTTTCTACTCATTTCTCCTATATTTTCACCGATTGTTCCTATGATATCTATATGATATAGTCGTCTGATTTTCATGAAATTAATTAAATTATTTATTAAATAAAATCATTAATAATAATTACTTTCAAAGGCATGCCACTTCAAAATCTGATTAAATAAAAAAGTTATGGACTTAGAATGAGTACATTTTGTCCAATTTTCAGCAAACCCATGTTTTGAAAATTTCGAAAGGGGTTGTATCATATTTCAAAATATTAATCAAAATTAACTAGTTTTTGATAATGTATTCTTGTTTTTGTAAATATCAGGATATCGGTTTGTTTTAGGCTCTTTTAATAAATTAACAACACCGAAAATTTGACTATCAATCAAAATGCAAAACCCAAAAAAAAGTATTTTAAATGTGAAATGTTAATTAAAATCTATATAATGTAAATACATATATATATATTATATTAATAACAGGCTGCAAAATCAAGGATTTATGACAGGGACTTGGGACTACTTGGAGTGATCTTTAAGATGCATTGAATCAATAACCCAAAGAGGTAAATACCTTTTTTACTAACAAATTAATACGGACTATTACTATTTGTATTTATTTATTTTATTTTTTGTTTCTTATTTAATTTCAGGGTAAAGTGTAAATGATGCGGATATAGTGGTTGCAGTGATTATCTAACTTCAAGAAGACGAAAGATTGCAGTGCACCAAGGTTTTTTCGCAGTGAGTACATGAATTAGACAGAAAATAATTAAGTTATTTATTTAAACATTAAAAATACGACTTAAGTTAGGCTACCTATTTTAAATAAAGAAATCAAGCATAAGTTAAAGATTACAAAGTTACGATAACAACAACGTTATCATTTTTTGCATTTATTTATATATATTTTTATGTATATCTCGATCTTTCCGATGGCAGCTATATGATACTTATCCAATTTTGATATACCTATCCAATTTTGATAAGATTTAATTCTAAATTCGATAGTAGTCTATAGATAGGTGTCTCCTTCAATGCTTTGCAACCTTCCAACTGAAATTATAATACCCACTGCAAGGGTATAATAATGTACGTTACCAAAAGATCGGACCTCACACATATTTTTTGAAGGGTGAAATTAGGTGTTAAGAAGGGTACTTGAAATATATCAAGTGTGTATAAAAACATTATGTGAAAGATATAGTGGGTCGAAATCAGAGCGGCATTCGACGGGTATCTTTCTTTTGACAGACGTTGAAGAACTCGTTCGATGTTAGCGAATTTTTCGGCAGATGGCGCTTCAAGAGCTTTTCTACACCCCAATTCACACAGATCTACAAAAAATGGGTTTATATGATCGGTTTACCCTATATTTCCTTAGCAGAAGCTCCACGATAGTATGTTGTATATAATTTCTTTATTTCCTCCAAGAATGTACTATTTATAAATACAAACGTGATTATAAAATATGTATATGTTGCAGACACTTAAATACCATTTGGATTTATAGTTAACCTGTATAGTTGGTATAAAATATTTAGAAAAGGCTTACAGTTCCTTGCATAAAAATATCTGTACTTGACAAGGATTACATTTTGTTTTTTCTCGTTTCGTTTAAGGACACAACATGTGTGTTTAAAAGTTTTACTCACTGACATTTACAAATCAATTGTGTAATACATGTGGAAATGTATTTTAATATTCTTTTTGTTTTTTTGGCAAAAATTTTATTTTAATGTTCAATAACCTATTTCTTCAGTAGTTTCTTACATGTTGTGCTTACAGTGATTTGTTCTGATCAATTGTTGCAAGGCTTCGCTGCACCTGCGGCTGGAATCGAGGTAACGATATGCGTGAAACCTGCTTGCATCGCTTATATTATTGATTCGCAACTACATACTAGGCAAATATAAATTGTACAAATTAATGAATAAAAACCCAAGAAGCTCTGTTGAAAACTAAAAGTAGGTACATAGAAAGCTTTTAGAACCGAAATCAACAAAAATCCGCTAACAGCCCTAGCGCACGGTCTTCAGCTTCCAGCGCAGGAAGAGGTACGCCGAGATGCGCAGCACCACGAAGATCACGATCAGGGCCACAATGTCCAGGGTGAAGTTGGCGTTCAGCATGTCCAGCTCCTCCAGCGTCGTGCTGGGCGACTTGAAGTGGCAGTAGGTCTGGAAGCAGCGCAGCTTTTCGCGCCCGTAGCCGTAGGTGGCCAGGGCCGTGCCCTCGAATCCGTACCGGATGTAGGACAGGTAGGTGATCCACCGCAGGTACACCGGTATGGCGTCGAAGGAGACGAAGAAGCCGGAGAAGAGCAGGAAGGGCACGGACATGACTGGGGCCAGGAAGACGCCGTTCTGCACGTTCATCGCCGCCCCCACCACCAGACCCACGGACTGGGCCACGAACGAGATGAGCAGGCAGGCGGAGAGGAACATGGAGAAGCGGAACAGCTCCCACGGCTGCGAGGTGAAGTAGTAGACGATCGACACGTAGATGACGCAGAAAATGGCCTGGGGAATATGCCTACAGTTAGCAAGTATTCTGACAGGAGACGTTCCGTGTGCAACTCACCTGAAAAGGTAGATCGGCAACCGATATGGCCAGGTAGTAGGACTTCAACGAGTACCAACGATTAAAGTTCTCCTTTAACAAAACGGGCATCTCAAGCGGGACTAAAAAAGCAAGCAAGACAAAAAGTTGTTAACCAAAAGCGTACAATAGGCAGTCGGCCATCTCTCACATGAAAGGATCGTAATGGTCATGGACGTGTACATGAGGAAGAGCATGTTGAAGAACAGGAATCCCAGGTTGCTCAGGACTTTAGCTCCATCGTTGCCGATGTCGTAGTAAAGGGCGCCGATCAGGAATCCAACCAGGAGATGGGCGAATAATCTCAGGTACATAAGTGTCTAAGGAGCAGGAAAGCGAAAAGTTGATTAATCCGTCGTATCAACTGGTACCAAACAATGCCACTCACCCAGTCGCGGTAGCTGAACAGCAGGGTTCGCTTGAGGACCACCCAGAACTGGTGGAACTGCGAGGTCGGGTAGCGCTCCGGCGAGGCGATCTCCTCCGTGAGCAGGGCCGTCGTGCAGTTGACGGACTTCTCCACGTCGATCATGGCGTCTCCCTTCTCGTTGGTGGTCACCAAGGCGGAGCTGCCGTTGCCCTCCTTCACGATGTCGTTGACCATGCCATTGAGCAAGCCGTTGTTGAGGGTCAAGTTCTCCTCGTACTTGCTGCCGCTGACGTTCGAGGCGTCGTTCTTGTCCAGAATAGCCTTGAGGTTCTGCACCTTGACCAGGTCGTTGCGGGCCTTCAGTCCGGCGTAGTCCGCCGCCGAGCGGATGTCCCGCTTGCCGTTGTCGATGGCGTCCACCAGCTTGCGCGTGTGGTCGCCGTGCTCCCCGCACGACACCTCGATCACGTAACTCGCCGGGTTGTGGTAGCTGGGGCACTCCAGGCTCAGGGTGGACAGGAAGGGCACCAGCTGCTTGGTGCTGCCCTGGTAGACGCACTGCCCGTCGGCGAGGGTGTACAGCTGGTCGAACATCTCGAAGAGGCGGGCGGAGGGCTGGTGGATGGTGCAGATGACCGTGCGACCGCCGGCGGCCAGCATCTTAAGCAAGTGGATGCACTGGAAGCAGGTGGAGCTGTCCAGTCCGGAAGTGGGTTCGTCGAAGAACATGATCGGCGGATTGCTGACCAGCTCCAGGGCGATCGAGAGGCGCTTCTTCTGGCCGCCGGACAGGTTGCGCGTCATCGTGTAGCGATGTTCGCTCAGGCTGAGAGTCAGCAAGATGTCATCGATCTGGAAGAGACAGGGGACAGCGGTTGTAGCAGGGTGGAAGTACGTTTATTTTCGTCCGGATCTGGCAAGATGACTGGCTATAATTTCTGTAAACAAACAGATCTTAAGACCATGCTGCGGAACTGGTTCTGCAGAAGCGGATTGAGCCAAAAATAAATCTGGCATCTGGCGAGGAAGCTTTGATTAACCTTGTCTAATTGCCGGACTGACAAATCAGTCTGTCTGCCTTCGGACTTATCGGCTTACCATCGAGTGCTTCTCGGGCTTCGTGAACTTCTTGCTGAGCTTCAGGTTGGTGGCCACTGTCATCGCTTCCTGCACGGTGAGGTTTCCGTGCAGCTGGTTGTCCTGCATGATGTAGGCGGAGAGCTTGCGGAAAGCGCTGAGGTTCCGCTCCGCGCCGTTCATGGTGACGCTGCCCTCGATGCTCGTGGTTCTACGTGAAAAAAAGAGGAGAAAGTGTAAGTGGTGTGGGTTCGAGAAGTGGTCCTCATTGGAGCAGGAGCAAAGGACTCAGTGGAGTTACCATTTTGTTTCTAATCAGGAAACCATTTACTCAGTTAGTTATCTTGGGCCGAGAAAATTGCAAATAATCGGACGTGTACTTGATTGTGTTTATCTACGTTTGCTTGAATGTGATATACAAAGTATTTTTAAGCACGCGATCGGACAACTTGAGTCCGAAGTTCAGCAAACTAGTAGCGAGTTCTCCCTCAAGTATTCAAACTAATAAAGCACGACGACAACGCTTATGTGACGGTGGGCAAGGAAACGGCAAGCGATTGTCTGATTAGAATCCGGTACGATATATCAGGAAAGTATCGACCGCTCCCGGTAACAACAGAAACAACTGGGCGGGTTAGCTGAAATGTTTACGATTACCATGCGATACAGCAAAATTTAGCGTTTTCAATAAACTAATAAAGATAGACCGTCGAAGGGAAGTCGCTGCGAATCGGACCAATATGTGTCTCGCATAAATTATACAGCCACAAAGAGCGCAGCGGCGGAAGGGTCGTCGGTTCAAGCTCCGAAAGAGGCGGAGTGCTTATCAAGTCGCAATAATTTCTGCTGATAATACAGGGCTGGCTAATAAATGGACTCGCACTCGCCATCGCACTCGCACTCGCGCTCCCGTTTTGCCGTGTTCCCTTGCGTCGGCGCAAGGTCAAATCGGTTCGCCGCTTCGACTGTTACTTGATGTGAATGCAAATTATCAGGCCCAGCCAAACTTACTTGTAGCCGGACAAAATGTTGAGCAGCGTGCTCTTGCCAGCGCCCGATGGCCCCATGATGGCGGTGAGCTCTCCCGACCGGAGGCGTCCGCTGACGCCCTTCAGAATGGTCTTGGCATCTGTAATAAAAGCCACGAAATTAGTGTTTGGGCCAATCTCTCATTGAGACTAAAAATAGTCGGCGTTTGGTTTGGTTTGGGTTGAGTTAGATCTTACGTCATTGAACCCAAGTGCTGCTACTTGAATGCGGCTCCGAATAAACTAGCAAATAAGCGCTGCATTGGTCATCAGACGAGCCAGTGAAGAGCCGATAGGTAAACAAATATGAAAAGTCTGACAATCAAAAGGCATAGCCCGGTCATTGGCCCCACCGAGTTTTTGGCTTCCACCTCCACCGCCTTTCCGACTCGTCAACACTGCCAAAACCCAAAATCGCATGACTGATGCTTGAAACAGCCGAACTCCAGCGATTCAGCAGCCCATTGAGCGAAACAATAAGTCTCTCGTTGCATTCGTCGGAGCCAAATAAAAATGAACAAAACGACTGTAATTCTTAATGGGTGAATACCTAACTAGTTATGGTAACTGTTGGTCGGTTGCTGCTTGGTCGGCCTCAGATTCGGTAACTTCGCGCATGTGGTCGAAATGGAACTGTCTCAGATGCGGAAGTGTCTTATCGGCACCACATAACTGAAAACGAATAGATTCGCACGGAAAGGCATCTGTGCTGTACGGAAAATGCAAATAAACCCGTTTTCTTTGAGGCACGAGCATCGCTTGCCGGCTTCAATCTGGGCAGAAGATGGATCCGCCGTTTCTTGAAAGTCGGATTGCGGCAGCCAAGATCGAGGGTCTTGCGACGGCAGTTAAAGCTAGTTGCTCGTAATCGACCATTACGAAACACTCCCATTTAGGCGTGCATTAACCAACTAGTAGAGTACCGTGACCTGCTCAGAAGTAAAACTTTTATTATACTCGTGCAGGCGCTGTAATTTTTATTCGACGGCTTACTTAATGCGTCTCACTTCGCAGGCTGGCAGTGAACCTCAGCTGTCAGGCGGCGACTAGCCAGTTGTACGTAAAGTCGTAACCACCAGCTACCAGCAGCATACGCAACGTCCCGCACTGAACCGCAGCCTGGGTTGGCCGGCTCTTGCCATTCGGCTGTAATGGCACACAAAAACTGGGCCTGAATAGCCACGCTTGACAAACACCAGTCCAACAGTCCAACGCTAAGGCCAATTGGCAGCGTTGAAGTCTGAGGGGCCGGGTTAATCAACAAGTGCAGCCGCTCAGATTTTCCAAGGGCACTGCAGTCGCTTTCGAGAATCCAACTCGCCAGACCCGCCCGACCAGGGGCACTTATAATTGGGCATCCGAGAACGCTCCGCTCGCAGATACTCGCCTCTGGCTTTTTGTTTTTTTGTTTACCCCAAAGTCGCGCATTTAGCAGCCAAAAACTACGCGAATTCCAGCGCCAGTTGCCTCAGCCACTTCTGTTTTATTTTGTATACTTTATTATCCCACAAACTTAGCACGTCTCTGAAGGCGGCGTGCCATCTGCGAATCTGTTGGCCAGGTGAGTGTGCCTCAACTGGCCAGTGTAAATACGTCTGTGTATTCGCATATTCTGAACGACTTAATTGAGTCGGATGGCCGACCTTTGTGTATTGCGGCAATTCACGGCCGGGCAAAGTTCAGGCTGCTGCCGCCTCCAATTACTTTTGCACTTGGCCAGCCCAACCTGAAACTGGCTCAGACAGGGATGCATCGACCGTTGCACCGTTGGCGTCCTTGGCTCCGTCCAACTGCTTCGGAGGCAGTTCGATTCGGAATCGGGGAAAGGGTTTGTGGCTGAGCTTTTTATTGATTGACGGATATCTGAGAACAAAGCAGCTGCGCCCGTCTGAATACCCAATTATTGGGAATATTATCGCCGTCCCGCATTAGGAATTCAAAGTGGCCCCAAGGGCCGCTCCCGTGGATTCAGCCCCTGCATTTCCCGGATACTAATGGGTAGCTTGTAACCCGACCCAACCCCACCAGAGATGGCTATCCGGTAATGACTAAGCCCTAATCGCTCTGCTAACACAACAAGCACAAACCGGCGCAGCGAGCAAGCACTCAAACTAGAAACTGGAAAACAAACCTCTCTCACTTCAGCAGTTCGGCACGCCAGCATAGAATGCTTTGCTTATTAACAGCGCAGATCCCAGCCAGCCCCCGTTGTGCTCCACCCATGCCCCGTGTGTGTATCTACACAGACGAACTCGCGGAGAGGAGTGCGAGTACATGGCTCGCATTCCAGATGCTACAGCGCCGAGCCAACTTGTTGACTGCTGACTGTTGACTATTGGCTGTCCCACTGGCGAAAAGCGTTCGCCTCTGGATTGCTGGTTGCCTGCGACGTATTTGGCACGGCTTATCGCTGAGGAACCCACTGAACTTTGGCCACCAGTCGCCCTTGTGTAACTGGGAAGCGGATCCGTCGGGTTACTCAGCGCTACACCACAAACTCCCCCGTCGCTCGCAGTGTGGCAACGCTCGACGCGATACGCAGCCAGTAGAACAAAGAAACAAGAAATCATCGCGACGCGAAGCGCAGCTAAGGCAAACAAGTAAAACCCGCTAAGCCCGGGGAAGTGCGTATTAGCAGCCGGGGGCTCCAAAGCTCCAAGACGGAGCCCCAGTGGCGCATGTGGGGCAGCACCGCCAGCAGTGGGCTCCCCAGCACAAAGAAAGCGAAAACGAGCAGCCGCTCACACACACTACTTCTGTTCAGGAAGTGGATACGCTTTCGGTGTGGATGTGAAGGTGGATCGGGATTGGGACAGGCGGTTTTCGGGGTACTTACTGCTGCGGTTTCCCTCCTTGACGCGGTACGTCAGGTTGTGGAAGGCGAGGTCCACCGCCGGCCGCTTGGGCAGATGCTGGAGGGTCTTCGGCTGGGCGGGCACGATCTGGGCCTTGGGCTGCCCCGCTCCGGCGGATCCCAGCCTGTTGTCGTTCAACAGATTCGCGTTATCGTTTTTAGTCATCTCGTCTATCTCGTCAGCTACCGTAACCAGTAACCAGTGGGGGTTAAAAGTAAAATGCAACCACTGCGATGTGTTTATGTGTATGTATTCTGGGTAACTTTGGCACTGACAGCACTTCTGCAGCCCCTGCTGCCCTTCGTTCCCGTTTGGGTTGAAAGTGGGTTGGCGTTTACGTTTACGTTCTCGACTCGATTCCACCACCGTGCGGTGAGAGAAATTTTCCACCCGTGTGCTTGAAACGGAACTGCCGCTTCTCGAATGGCTTGACTTGACTCGCTCGCGCCGCGATCGCAACTGAATCGAGCAACTGCGGCGGTGGAACAGCGCCAGAAAAGTAGCGGCAAAGGCAGAGTGTGCCGTCGCACTCGACTGCGCAGCCCCATGCCCCGTTTCCGTGGGCCAGAGCGGGACGGCACTAGGCGCCAGTTCTGGTTCGGATTCTAGAGAGACAGCGGAGCGCAGAGCGCCTGTTTGGGGGCTCTCCGCTCACCTCTCTTAGGCGCCAGCTGATTCTTCCAAAAAATCTCTGACAAGACCCACCATTTGGAGTATTTTCCTGGCTTCTTAGCCATGGCTTTGCCTTCTACAGATATTGAACAAGCCTTGCGGCCAATCTTCCAGTTGATAATCCTATCAGCCTCTGATGGAGTGCTCTTCGAGTCCAGTTCGTATGATTTTGATCGAGGGTGGAATCCAGTTGCACTACTAATTAAAAACGCCTGCCAAGCAATCGAACTATTGATATTTGCAAGTTAAATTACAAGTTCACGGCCTGGGGCTCGCTCATGACTCATGGGTATTGCTGGGGTTTATCTGAGGGTGCCAATCTATAGCTGATAGGGGTCTCCATTGGGTTGATAAAGCGGTTGTACTTTGGCTCCCCTCGGGTTGTACGGAAAACGAATTTAATGGGCTCCATTTGCGCCATTCAACCGGCAAGGCAACAAGAAATTCCACTGCCATCCGTCCTTCACATCAAGTTTGACAATATGAGCGCTTTTAATAGTCAACTCGGCAGCGTGGGTATGTCACCAGCTCCCTACACTTCATGTGGCATGAGGTCATTTGAGGCGCTCTGTCTACTGGACGTGGGAGGTCCTAGAACTTGGCTCCATTGCGGAGTATAAATTATCTTGTATGCCTTCTGTGGTCAAAATTATCACCAAACGAGCCATTTTATAGTTCAAGTTAATCTCTAAGATTGGATGAGGAGCTTTTGTTTGGTGTTATTTTTGCTTACAAAGTTTAGTTAAACTGGTTTATTCTTGTGCCTAATAGGTTGCAAATTAAAAGCGTAATTGGTCCACAATTGGCCGGAATTTTAGTGCGAGCCCCAATTTACCCGATTTTTCCTGCACCAGTTTCTGTGTTTGGCCCAAGCAAGTGGTTCCAGTTATCCCAAGATTACCAATTTCACCCATGTTATTTCCAGATGACTATTGCTGTGGAATTTTTAAAGCTAGTGTAATTTAATCTCGGGAATCGCCGACCGGTTTTATTAATTTCACTTGTTAATTTGAATTAATTTCTGTTATTCTGCTGCAGTGCATTTTGCTTTAGACCCCACCTGGTTTAACTTACAGGTTATTGTTTTCCAAAAACTGCTTCCAGCTGCAAGTGTTCATGATGCTTTGGATTTAGCAGCCAAAAAAAAAAAACACAAAGCAACAAGTGGCCTTCACAAAAGCCAAAACATGGGCTGTATTGCCAATAGTCCGCGCACTAAGCCTAATTCAACAGTAATGGAGATATTTTTTCGGCTTGTATGGGCAACTAAGCATTTAAATATGCATTTTTCTGTGAGGAAAACGTAGTTTTTTGCGAAACGAAACTAGAGCCGGCCATCCAGTGGAATCGATGCCACGCAACTGGAAAGCCGCATTACGAGTGGCTACGAGTGCTGCAGTCGCGGACGTTGTGAAAATTCGCACAAACACTTTTCTGTTTTGTATATGTGCAAGTTGCCTCTTTTCCCTCGCTTTCCTTGTTATGCCAACCTGAAGCTCGGCCAAAGTTGTGTCAGCCGGCCAAAACAAAAAGCTTGTTTCCCGCACTGGCTTGTTGGCGGAGAACTCGCCAATTGTTGCACTGCGGCAGCTTGCTTTAAGGCCGATACCCCTATAGACTTGTCTGAAAAATATATATTCGGGCTTAGCAATGTAGAAGATTATCGAGGCAATCATTTGTATTCTACAGAGACACAGCCTAAAAGAAGGCAATACTTCGTGTAAGCACTATTAATAAGATTTGGCCTAGTACGCATAATATTTACTCAAAGCAGTTTGATATCTATGAGCCTCAGATTGCTGATACGCAGGCTCTGTGATGTATTGATACTAAGCCAATTAACGTGATTATTTTGGGCTATGTAAGTGCGGCAAAATGGCTTCAACGCAGTAACCAGAAATTGGGGAAACAGCTGATAACTATTGCTTGCATCGGATACATTTAATGGAACACAACGAACTTTGTACTCGGCGTGTATCCAAAACAAAGGGGAAAGGCGCAGTGTGGTGGTTGCTACGAAGAGAGGGAGAGAAATGGAGAGAAAGGGAGAGAGAGAGCGCATGTACATGTAGCTACTCTGCCGTGCAACAGCAAGTTGTTTATGGATCTAAATTTGTTGTAATGCTGTAGTAAGGGGAACCTGAAGCATCTGCTCCAAAAGGGAATAGTACCATTTGTTTTTGGCAGTGAACAAGAGGGGAAGATGCACAATAATAACAATTGAATAAAAACGGTTCTAGGCTCAAAAATGTTTCCTTTTGAAAACTTATCGTGGACTTGAGATTGAACTTTGTAAATATAAATCATGGAAATCTTGTTCCATTTGCTGCGTCTGTATTAATATTCGGAGTCAGCAATATCGACCTCGATATCGGGCTTTCGTAGATCTTTCGTTTGCATAGCGCCTTATCGCACAGGTGTTTTGCCATGAGCATTCGTAAATACATACTTCTGTTTTGCTTTCGGCGTTTGCATGGTTCTGCTCCCCAATGCTTTGTGGGGCGTTTTACAAGGGCCCAGTAAAAATCGTTCTAGTCGCCCGCCGTGCTCGCCGAGAGATGCCTCCGAGTAGCCGATAACCGTTGGGGGCTCCTTGCCCGCTCCCTCCCCTGTTTTTGGACACTCTCTGGGAGGCCGCTGCCGGTCTGCGTCGGCGTCGGAGCGGCAACGCGATAAAGAAAACCCGAGGCGGCGCCGGAACGAAGTGAATCGAAACGAAAAAAAGTGAATGTTGTCGCGCTAACTGTGCTCACAAGCCTCCCAAATCTCGAATTGGTCGGGTGTCCTCAGCAGTAGCTCCGCAGCAACTGAAGAAACAGAAGCAGAAAGCAAAAGTCCCGCAAGCCGAAGACCCCTAAAGACCAGCCCAGCCAGCGACTAACCTGCAGATCACATAACTGTAAAGTGGACAAACGAGCAGTGCACGGTAAGTTGGGCGGGAGACGCGACTGGACTGTGAGGTTGAGGCACCTTTTTACCTTGTCGCCACGAAAGCGCCATTGCAAGGAACACAATTACATAAAATACGTGCGGGCGCCAGCATCCTTGCGCTGCTGCGCATCCCCACACATCCCCACACTCGCGGCCAATACATATCTAACCGTGTCCTTTTGCCCTTCTCGCCGTCTCCTCCAAGGACAAACATGGCATTCCGCGTGGCCGGACTCTTCCTGAAGAAGGAGCTAGTGACTCCCGCGGTGCAGCAGCTGCGGCTGCTGCGCACCGCCAACACGGCCCGCTCCCAGTTCCTGGCCAACTCGCCCAACACCGCGCTGGACAAGAGCATCCTGCAGCGGTACCGCAACCTGGAGACGCCAGCCAACCGCGTGCAGGCCACCTACCTCTGGATTGACGGCACCGGCGAGAACATCCGCCTGAAGGACCGCGTGCTGGACAAGGTGCCCAGCTCCGTGGAGGACCTGCCCGACTGGCAGTACGACGGCAGCTCCACCTACCAGGCCCAAGGCGAGAACTCGGACACCACGCTCAAGCCGCGCGCCATTTACCGCGACCCCTTCAAGCCGGGCAAGAACGACGTGATCGTCCTGTGCGACACCTACAGCGCCAACGGAAAGCCCACGGCCTCCAATAAGCGGGCCGCCTTCCAGGCGGGAGTCGACAGGATCGGCGACCAGGAGCCCTGGTTCGGCATCGAGCAGGAGTACACGCTGCTCGACGTGGATGGTCGTCCGTTCGGCTGGCCGGAGAACGGCTTCCCGGCCCCGCAAGGACCCTACTACTGCGGCGTGGGCGCCGACCGCGTCTACGCCCGCGACCTCGTGGAGGCCCATGCCGTGGCCTGCCTGTACGCGGGAATCGACTTCGCCGGCACCAACGCCGAGGTGATGCCCGCCCAGTGGGAGTACCAGGTGGGGCCGAGCAGCGGCCTGAAGGCGAGCGACGACCTGTGGGTCTCGCGATATATCCTGCAGCGCATCGCCGAGGAGTACGGCGTGGTGGTGACCTTCGACCCCAAGCCGATGGAGGGCCAGTGGAACGGGGCCGGCGCCCATACCAACTTCTCCACGAAGGCGATGCGCGCCGAGGGCGGCATCAAGGCCATCGAGGAGGCCATCGAGAAGCTGAGCCGGCACCACGAGCGCCACATCAAGGCCTACGACCCCAAGGAGGGCAAGGACAACGAGCGGCGCCTGGTGGGCCGCCTGGAGACCTCCAGCATCGACAAGTTCTCGTGGGGCGTGGCCAACCGGGCCGTCAGTGTGCGGGTGCCGCGGGGCGTGGCGACGGCCGGCAAGGGATACTTCGAGGATCGGCGGCCGAGCTCCAACTGCGACCCCTACGCGGTGTGTGGGGCCATCGTGCGCACCTGCCTGCTGAACGAGTAAAGTGTGGAGTGGGAGAGTTATATCCTCTGTATATAGTGTATTACGGAACTCTAGAGCGATCCGATCATTTGGACTATTTCAAGTCGCGTGGAGCAACACTTTGTTAGCTTGTGCAAAAAGACAGGAGTGAGGAGGAGGCGCGAGGAGCGTGCGATTAGCATTTAAGAATGTGGGTGGGTGGCAAGAACCGAACAGAAAGGAATATTCTGCCATACAAATTTTACAAATTATGTATACCTAATCGTTGAGTTAATCTAAATAATAAATAACATGTACCCTACGTTAACGCGCTACCTTAGAGGAAATCGAAAGTAATTCGCCTTTGACTAGATTTTGGCCCGTAGGATTTCCGAGATCAAAAAAGAAAAGAATATCACTGAAATTTGTTGATATATTACTCATTCATATCCACACGCACGTACATATGAACGGCAAATTGTTTGTAGAACTAATTGTTGAGTAAAATTTTAAAGAAAAACATATATATCTCTATATGTAAGAACCGTCGTTGAATCTTTCGCATCTCACTGTTCGCGAGCATTTTACAAATTTCTATATGTACTTATATTATATTATAAATGTCTCCTAGTACAAGCACCCTGAAAATTAAGAATTCCAATGCGATTCAAATAAACATTTCAAGTAAAGGCAAAGTTGTAAACAAAACACATTACTAAAATCTGTTTTCTTTGCTTTTTGGCGAGCTATCAAACGCGTCCCGCTGCAATGGCTGTGAAAATCAGAATTCTGAAATATAGAACAGCTTGTTTGTAAATAAGTGTGACACGGGGGCCAAAAGCGAACCTTGTTTTCAATGGAAACTTTTTCACCAGAACAAGCTGCCTGACACTGAAAGTTTCCGCGGTCTGCCATGTTTTGTTTTACCTACAGATCTGGATGTTAGGGACAAAATGTTTTCGTACAAATCCGATGCATGAGCCAGTTGATAAAAGGGCGGGTGCACTCGGTTAACGAAATGCCCATACAAATCATTAGAATCAAATATTGATTGCCCAGTGCGGTGAACTCAATCGCCTGAAGAGAGCCCTCTTCACTCATTTGCCTCGAATTCCGCATACCTTTGCATACCTATTTTTATTTTTGCAAGTGCAGGACGGGCTCGTGGTTGTTGACATTCTGAGGTGCAGCAGTTTGCGTTGCTTGTTTGCCGAGGCTCTGCTGCGAGCGGATTATGGATTACGGGACATGCAATTGCAACGGGCGAAAGATAAGACGGTCCGCTTCATTAAATACAGTGTTTGGTGCCTATAAGGGACCACCCTTCACCGCTGTACGCATTCCCCTGCCCGAACCCAAACTGTCCAGACGAGTATCTAATATACCCGTTTTTCATTGCAGCTCGTGGGTCCAAAAGGCGGATAGCATGTTCAAAAATCGAAATCAAGACGCCAGCTTGCTATGGCCGCAGAACTTGAGAGTTCCGCACCACCGCCCAAAGACCAGGTTATTGTGACTTAAATCTGGTTTATTGGTATGCAGGAAACGGGTTCACAGATGTCAACATCTTACAATGCAGGTCTAGGAAGATCCAGTTATGCTGCCTAAAACGAGGCGATTTGCATGAAATTAAATGGTATTTGATTTCCAAACTATTGATAACGAAATGTATTTCCAGCGAAGAGCGCAATCTTCCCGGTGAGTCAATTGATAAGTAAGCCCCATAAGAAGTCCAGCATGTAGCTAACTTACCTATATATAATATTTTCCATATTTAGGCAGCTAAGTCGTCTATAGTCTTAATGGTTGTCCAAATCAAAATTATACCCAATCTAATTTGCACACTGATAAAACAAACCAGAGGCGGCTCATCAAACATTAGCATAGAATTTGAATAAAACAGTTAATACGAACGGAGTTTAAAGTCCGAGTCAGCTGATAAGGCAGTCAGGCCACGAATTTGGCCTTCCGGCAGACCGGACAGTGTTTGCCATTATCTTCGCCAGCGTGCCATTTTAACTTGGTCAAATGGCACCGGCTGCGCAGCGTTATCTCGCGGTCATAAATCATACCGCCTGTGGATGGGGAGTATAAAGAATATGTCTCTGCCTTTAGAATTTAATTGATGTAATCAACGTTGGTTTCTCATAACGTGGGCGAATCATTCCACTTATACCTCTGCATGTTTAAGCAAATAAATAAATACATGTATATACGTATTCACTAAGAATGGGCGAGGAAACACGGCTGCGAAGCGTGATACTCGAGTTCCCCGACTCAGAGTCTACAGTGAGCCCCAGAGAAAAATCCCCTGCGATCGACCTCAATCGTCGTCCCTGCGTCGCCAGTCGCGCATTCAAATTTCCAGAAGCCGAAAGTGGGTCAAGAACCCGTTGGTCCTCGCGGCGGGAGAAGGGAGAACTACTGATAGCAACGGATTTACAGCTACATCGAGGCACATCGATGGGCGCAATAAAAGGTGGCAAAACAGAGCAAACCTGTTTATGGAGCGCAGGTGAAGTAATCTTTGCTGGGGGCACTGTTCACTTTTGAGTGTGTTGTTTCAATTGGGCCGAGCAACTGCTTGTTGAGATTACGCTTTACGGCTCTACTTATAGCCCGTCCATAATTGATAGCCCGATCCGAGATATATGGCCAGCAGTCCGGCGACTGCAAGCAGATATCAACACGGGCAGGTCCTGTGCCAGATGTCCAACAGAAAATTGGTCACGTACCGCATAGCTGAAAAGTGTTATTTCTTTGGAGCTTTTCTTCGCTTTATCTATGGCGCGTGTCGATATCGTGGGGGTCTTCCGAAAACGCAGACATATTTATCTAATTCCCCACTGCTCACGCCGTTCGCAGTGTTTTCGTCGTGATGGGCGACATTATTTTATCTGCTGGGTACGATATATATGTAGATACAAAGGCTGGAATGGCTGACCAAATCACCCAAAGGCAGGGTGTTCTATTCTAGTGTTCCTTGGTATCGGAAGATCTTCTGCTTCTAATTTATTGGCCCAATTCCTGTCTCTTGCTTTATTTAGCCAATCCTGACGTTACTTTCCCTGTCTGCCAGCAAATGCGAGTGGCAATATTTGCGTCATCGCCCACACGCGTCTACCAAGTGATCTGCGTTGCGTTCCTTGTCTTTTTTGGCTCGTTGAATCAGACAAAGTTCAGTCCCCCGATCCCTGGGGTAATCGCCACAGCGAACCGATGACGGACATAGCCCCAGCCAAAGGTCGTCCTCTGTGGCACACATTCATGGCGCATTATTTTAATTTGTAATTATTATTAATTGGTTTTTTTTGTCAAAACTGCGATTGTGCTATCTTTTTGGTGACCCGCTTTTATTTGGCAAATGAGATTACAATCACTGCTTCATGCTGAGCTGGAACACATATGTGAATGGGTCACAAGAGGCAGAGATTACATTATTGAGTAAACAAAAGGGCGAAGACTTTGTTTTTGTGCAAGTCGGTTGATAAGGGCTTTTCGATAAGCGGGCAGAAATCATACTGGGAGTTGTTTACCCAGCTTGCACAGGACTGTGCCTAAATGATATAAAGGCTGACAGGCAATTTAAGTGAACTGATTTTATCCATTACGAGGCCACTTTCTTTGTTCGGGGACTTGCAGCCCGTTCGAGTTCGTTAACCCGATGTCCATCTCGCCTTATTCGATTCACTGCTCATTAGCTAGCCCCAAATTATTCGGGAAGCCATAAAAGCTCTGACAGCTACAGTCCTTCCATATTGGCCAGGCCTTGTCTTGGTCGATGATTATAATTAGTCTTGAAAAACCTCAGAGGACCCAAAGGCTCACAAACGTTAGTTTTATTTACAGTTGCCTCGTCATTTTGTTATCATAAAAAAAAGGGGAAAAGAAATACGTATTTACTTTTAAATTAAACGCCTTAAATTGAGTCTTTGGAATTGGAAATGTGTGGTATACTTTTTAGAACGGCCTCTCTTTTTACGGCATACTAACAGGCTGCCGCAGGTATATACAATTAGTGTAGAGTTCTATGATTCTGCTGCATCACTCATTCGACCCACAGGACCTCTTCACAATCTTCCCGGCCATGAAGTAGGTGGACAGCGGCCTCAGCCGCCGACTCCGCGGCACTTCCTCGAACAGTCCGCCTTTCACGGAGAAGGTGTGCTTCGGCTGGTAGAGGAGGCTCAGCAGGGGGTTCTTGGGGCTGACGCGCATGTTGTTCATGGCGTAGGTGCCCTTGACGAGCGGACAACTCAGCGTGTAGTTGCTCTGCTTGAGCATGTTGTCCTTGGCCGGCTTGAAGAGCGGCACCGAGTTGAGGACGTTCTGCAGGTCGCACAGCTTGGTGGAGGCGTTGTAGATGGTGCGCGCCTTCTCCCGGGCGGAGTGCTGCTGGATCAGGATGCGGGAGACGGGCGAGGCTATCTCCTCGTTAATGGTGGTGACCGAGCCGATGCCGGATTGGTTCGAGAACGTCATGTTCACCACGAACCGCGGTCGGTCGTCCGTCCAGTTGGCGTGGGTGAACGTCACATAGTAGCAGCTCTATCCGGCGCATTCAAACTAAGTAGGTAATTTTTTATATTTTTTCAGTACAGACCTCCTTGCTCGATATCCCTGTGAGTTCAAGCAGGACCGTCAAAGCCGTGATGGCCACTACCAATCCCCATCTAGTTCGCATTTCACCCAAGACTAGCGTCCATTAAAATAGCTCACTTTTTGCGAACCCAGCTGAGGGAATTACAAAGCAATTAGCAGCCTCAATCAAATTTCCATTAGCCAATTAGAGTTGGCAATTACGAATCAATTTATTGCCTAGTGCAAAATTTCAAACTTTTGGGCCAGGTTCAAAATCTGGCTTAGTTTGTGGGCTATGCGCTCTGACCCCGGACTCTTCAGCACATCCGGAAGCGGGCGGCTCTCCTCCGCTTCGCTGGGTGCGCCATCGGCCAAAATAAAGCGCGTCATGAATATTGCGTGGGGCACTTGGATGTACGCCACCCGCTTCACCTCCTCTCGGAACCTGTGGAGCAGCAATAAGCATTCAATCGTCTCCGGATCGCTACCTTATCTTACGCCTCGTAAGTGTGAGTCTCCAGTTTAGCTCCCACGCGGCGCAGACAACACTCGAACGCCTCGTAGTAGGCGCTCAACATGTGTTCGAAGTGTATCTCCAAGATAGCCGTATCAACGCTAGATAACAGGAACGAGATTATGTCATGTACCACGGAGTCGTACTGTGCCGTCTGGAAGTCGATGATTTTCAGCCCGTTGGGTGTTCCTGAGGGCTCTGGAGATTGCGAATGAAAAAGGTTTACTTTATCTGTGTAAAGAAAGCTAGCAATAAACACGACTTCGCCATAAAACTGACCGTAGGAGAACATCAGGTTGTTGATCCAGAAATCGCAGTGGATAATGCTGGTGAATGGTCCGTCAGGTCTGTCCGGGTCCGCGGCCAGGAACTCAAAGAACTCGTCCGCTAACTCCGCTACACGAGCCACCAGCTCAGAGTTGTCGTTGGTTGCCCGTCGGACGTCCTCCAGGGTCTCCGCCTTCATCACCTTCTTCCACTCCGGGGCTGCGGCATGCCAATCGAACTTCCTGAAGAAGGGCTGCACCTGATCGCGGAACACTTCGGGCTTGAGCAGTCGCAGGGCGAGGGGCAGGGCGTGGAACTGCGCCATGGAGCGGAGGGCTAGCAGCGTGTGGGGCAGGTCGAAGGGCACCAGCCTCCGGCCGGGCAGGAAGCCGCTCTGGCGCACGTTCTCCAGCACCAGCACGGCGTTCTGATCCACCCTGCCGGAACTGGGAACGAGGGACACGCGAGACCCGAAGTAGCGAGGGAAGCCCTTAAACTGGCTCTCCACTGGGATGCCAGCCTCGTCTTGGAGCGTAGTCAGGGCGGGGGCCAAGACCTTGTAGACGGCAATCTCTGTGGGGCAGGTCCGCTCTGGCTGGAAGAACTGCCAGTACTTGGGGTCCGTGGGAGGCAGCTTTGCCACCAGTTGCTTCTCGAACATCCCGCCTTCGGGACGCTGCAGCTGGGCGTGGATTGCCAGGAGAACGCTTCCGTAGTTGTCGCCCGGCTGTGTCAGGCTGCTCGCCTGATAACTTAGAAGACGGGCCCCCGAAAGGTGTGGTTCAACCACGTCACAAAGGCTACGGATTTCTGGAAACCTGTCCGCCTCCATGTTGTTCAGCTTGCGGAAACTTTGGTTGTGTTATCCCTCAATCGGGAATATAATCTTAACGAGGTTTTAAGGCCTGCTCGAAATCGGCGTGATAAGTTTTTTGATAACAGAATTATTTGCGTGGAAAGATAAGTGAGGAGGTGTTAGTAAGTAAGTTAAGTTATTTATTTCGTCACTGGAAAAACATGATCAGTAAAAAATATTAAACTTCTTTCCTAGTCGCAAAATAGCCTCGAATTTGGTCACAATAGATTTAATTCCAGTATTCTTGGACAGCATCGACAAATCCACGTCTTTAAAGTTTTCGGGAATCGTGCTGCTGTCAGCCAAAATCACTTTCATCATAAAGATAGCATGAGGCAGCTGTAAGTGTGCCACTTCTTGAACCTCTTTCATAAATCTGAAATACAAAATTGTAACACTTAAATATCCCCACTTAAATATCTGCGGAGACTCTTCTTACTTCTCGTGTGTGTAGTTACTGGTGTCCACATTCACTTCCCGTAGGGTCTGAATAAAGAACTTGTAGTACATGCTCAGGAAATTGTAGTAGTTATCCTCCAGGACTTGTACATCCACACTTGAGAACAGCAAAAAGATGACATCGTGCACCAGCGAGCCGTACTGGGCGATTTGAAAGTCCACTATTTTCACCTTGACTGGGGTGCCATCTTCGTCTATCGGAATGATTCAAAGCTTTTAAACCTACGCCGTTCGAACCTTTATGCCCCCTTACTGTATTTCAGCATCATGTTGTTGATCCACAGGTCTCCGTGCACGAGGGTCGTGAAGGGGCCATCGTCCACATCCTTGCTGGCTTGAAAAGCGTCAAACTCGATCAGCAGCTCTTCGACCCGCTTCACGTCCCGCTCCTCGCTGGCCACCGTCCTGATGTCCTGCAGTATCTCAGTGTTCATGAGCTCCTTCTCGGCCGGATCCATGTTGCAGTTCATATCGAACTTCTTGAAGTAGGGCCGGACAAACTGCTCGTACACCTGCGGCTTCTTGACGCGCAGAGCGATCGGCAGGGCGTGGTACCGGGCCAAGTAGTGCAGGACGAGCACGGTTTCAGCCAGGTTGTACGGCCGGTATCTGTTTCCCGGCCGGTAGCCGTGCACCGTGACGTTCTCCTGGACCAGAACGGCATCCCGATCGACTGTCGAGGAGCGGGGGTCTAGCGAGATGCGGGAGCCGTAGTACCGCGGGAAGCCATCGAAGAGTTGCCCGGGCAGGATGCCGGCCTCTAGCTGCAGCTTGTCCAGCTCGGGCGACAGGTACTGGTAGACGGCGTTCTCCGTGATGCAGGTCCGCTCGGGCTGGAAAATCTGCCAGTATAGGTCGTTGGTGAGCGGCGGAAGTTTGGCTATCAGCGGCAACTCCTGGAAAGCGCCGTCTGCGCTCCGGATCTTCGCCTGCACCGCAAGCATAATGCTGCCGTAGTTGTCGCCGGGCTTGGTCAGGTAACGGCTGACGTAAGAGTCCAAAGTGGAGCCCTCCGGCAGATGGGGCTCGATCACCTGTGGCAGGTCCACGACTTTCGGAACTTCCCCCATTGCTGATCACGTTGTGCTGCTACGCACCCGATTTGTGACTGACTGGGTCCGCCGATTCCGGGTGAACGTGCTTTTCTACCTACGGGTTGTGCCTGGTATCGAAGGCATTAAACCCACAAACGTGTGTGCGTCCCTACATGTGGTAGTCTAGTTTATTTGTCAAGTTGCGAGCGACGCTCCGCAAAATATTGGCTCAAGTGGCGTTGATAACGTTTATAGAACCTACTCAGCACTCACTCAACTTGGGTGTATATTCTATTCTTTTTTAATCAAAGTGTATTACAAAACGAATAAATTTACATATTAAAAGTCGAAATGCATTTTTAACTAAACGAAAGACGTAAAATAAAACAAGTATTGAGCCTTTTTTAAAAATTATCTAATTGTGGAATTTCGAATTCCGGGAGTGCCATCGGAAAATACATTTTTTTATTTTATATTGGAGCCGAAAATTTGTTGAAAGCTTTCGAGGACCATTATCCTTAGTTCGAGGGTAAGTCATGGTCGGACCAAAACATTTTCGCCCCCTCAATTGTTTTCGTGACGCTCGCATCCAACGTCCCCTAACTAAATAGTAGTTTTGATTCATATCACCGCTGCGATGCGAGATGAGTTGTGCAAAGCTAGTACTACAAGAACAGCTCAATCAATGGAGGCGGCGATGGCGACGACAACAACAGGCAACATCAGCAAGCGCGGCGCTTAATTAAAATGTCGGCGTTATCAGGATGCCTATGCACCGCGCAAAGTGGACTCACCTCAGTGGCGGGCAAATTCAAAATGCCTTTACTCACCACTCGGAGTCAACATACACCTTTTCATTTTTTACAACACTGCTGCTGTGACAAGACATCGATTTCGAAGATCGAAACATCGATAATAACGTTGGGGCACTACTGCACACCTCTAATTGAAAAACAAGCAAATTGTGTTTTGATAAAACCAAAAATGGATTTGCAGGCGTTGATGCAGCAAATGTACAACGGCACATCGGCCATGCCGATGATGCTCCCGTCCGCGCACATTAACGGCCACGGGTACGGCCCCCCACAGCTGCTGCAGCCCTTTTTGCCCGTTCCCCCTCAGCGGTGCAGTCGGCGACCTTGCTGAGGAGGAACTCGAGGTTGAGGACGAAGAGGAGGACGAGGATCAGCGGACGCTGTTTTGCGCCAATCTGGACGAGCGCGTGACGGAGGAGATCCTCTACGAGGTGTTTCTGCAAGCCGGTCCCATAGAGGGAGTCCGGATACCCACGGACAACACGGGGCGCCAACGAAGCTTTGGGTTTGTCACCTACCAGCGCTTGTGTGCGGTACCCTTTGCCTTGGAGCTTTACCAGGGCCTGGAGTTGTTTCAGAAGAAGATCACCATCAAGCAGCAGGGTGCTGACAGAGCCAAGCAGCCAACTTCCTTTAACCAGAATCGCCTGCGCAACCCGTTCATGATGGAGGCGCCATCACAGGCATCGCCCCAGCGCCATGCTCGGCACAGTTTGCACGGCGCCAAGCCCTACGACCGCAATCCGTTTGGGAAGAACGGAGAGGTACGGCGCCGCAGTGACAGCTCTGTAATGGACCGTAACCGACCAATGAAGCAACCGCAGCAACATCACCAGCACATGCAGGGCGGCAGCCGGAGGTCGGACCAGCGCAACTACAGCAAAGGCAGGTTGCCTTAGAGCATGAGAAAGATTTTAAATAGCTTCTAGGTGTAGCTTAAGAAAAAGATTAAGATAAAGTAAGGGTGTCGTCATGTTCTAGTATTTCCAATGAATGCAGTTACAATTTCGAGCTATAACAATGTTTTTATTGGTTTTTTAGATATAGCCTATAAATACACTGAATAACGTTAGAACGTTCTCAAGTGCTTGTGTTAAATATCTAGTTCAATGCGTGTCCTTATATGCAAGCTTTCAGTGACTGTACAGATCAGATGTCATAGCGATATTAACGTGTGATGCTTCTCAGCGTCTTCTCCACATTCCTGTAAGTGCGCGGGGGTATCACCTCTAGCAGCAGTCGCTGGTAACTATGGTGTTCCGAAAGGGCACGGAACAAGGACTTGGCGTAGCTGCGGGTCTCCAGGCTGCCCTCCTGCAGCAGATTGGCCCCTACCACGAAGAACTTGTCGCGGCTCTCGCGCGCCATGGCGTAGATTCGATCGCTGCCCAGTCGCTCGACCAGTCTGAAAAGCAGTTTCGCGGATGTGGTGCGCACCAGGGCGTTCTGGTGCTGGGCTCCTTTCGACGCCAGGATATTTAATATCTTCAGCGGCTGTGCGTGATCCACCATCGACTCCAGGGCGCGTGTGGCGTCGGCGCGAAGGAAGCGGTTGGTGTCGGCCGTGCGGTGCAGAAGGGCACATACCAGATCGTCGCACTCCTGCTGGAGGCTGTTCGACTTGAGGGAGAACAACTCGGCGGCGGCTTGGCAGGAAGCACGAGCCACCTGGGAGCGCAGGTTCCGGACTGAGCGGGTGAGCTGAATGCAGGTCATATGCATCTGATTGTCCAGTGTGTCGGCATGGTAGCGGATCAGCCGCACCATGCTTTTCAAGCCAGTCATGTTCATCTCCCAGTTGCCCGAGTCCAGCTGGTCGAAAGTCTTTAGCAGGGCCTCGCGGGGCTTGTCAAAGCGCACCATGTTCTGCGGGAAGAGCTCCGCCTGAGACATTTTAATGGCCAGTTTAACGGGTGAGACCCGTCGCTGTGCCCTCAGGAAGTACGATGTCTTGGACTTCTGCTTGAGCGGCGTATGTTGGGCTTTTCCGGGGATGCCCGCTTTTTCCATCTGGGAACCGGACTGGGAGGTGTTGTCCGTAGTGCTCGTGCTGGTGTCCAGGGATCCCTGCTTCGATCCTGGCCTTGCCCCATAAAGCGAGTCCAGGGAAATGCTGCGAGAGTGGATCACTATGTCGTCGTGGGGAGGAACCAGCTTTGGGGCAAACGCATGGACTTCCAATTTGGCAGATTCGCTCGCAGCTTCAGTCTCCTCCTGAAACGGGTCCACCAACGTGGACTCTGGCGGCGTTGCCTCCAGGTCGTTCTGTACTTCCCCGACTACCACAAAACTGTTACTACCCTCAATGTCCTCCTCTATGGGCAGCGATTTCACCGACTGGGCTCTCGAGAGCTGCGGTGTGGTGTCCTCCAGCTGTGTTTTTATGCTCTCCGTTTTGCTGTGGAGGCTATTCTGGCTTCCGTTGAGTTTGAGCGACTCCTCGTGGCGAGCGAGTTCCGTTTCCGTTTCCGTCTCGTCTTCCACTTCGTCCACAACCAGCTCCCCGAAGGCCTCGACAGGATCGTGCTCCAGGCTCAGCACCTCCATCTTGGCGTCGGGACGGAGGCCGCTGGACGAGGAGGATCGCTTGCCAGTCTCACTCTGGCTGCCAAGCGACTTCGCCGAGGCTGTCGACTTTTGCGAATAGCTCGTAGACCTTACGGAGAGAGGAGAGCCTTCTGCCACGTCCTTGTCTGCCGCCACCAAAGGCTCAGCTGCCTTGGCAATTTCCCCATCCCTGTGAAGGGCAGAAAATAAACAGGTTAGTATAAAGCTGGAAAGATTTGTAATCCACTTACAACTCCTCATACCCGGCAAAAACCGTGACTTTTTTAGTGTCGGCAGGTGGTTCGAATACGGCAATAGTTGACTGATAATCGGCTAACTGTCTATCTGTATCAACATTCATCGATTTTACGGACTCTAGAGCTGTGTCGGTGCAGCAGGTGCCGCAGACCGAATTGTGGCCGCAAGGAGCCCCACGTATAGTGGAGTATGCCTGCGCGGCCCTGTGGCAGATGCATGTCTTGACGGAATGGAGAAGGGTACGTGTCTTTCGCAGCAGATCGGACGGCTGCGAGGCGCAGGATAAAACATTCTGCATTTTTAACCCTAGCCCGATTCGATTGGATAATTATCCTGGCTGTTTTCTACTGGACACAACACATACTCCAGCTAACCGCGATTGCCAACCACTTCGAGCCACTCAACTTTGCTGACTGTTTGCAACACTCGTCGCCATTCGTTTTGGCCATTTCCATACCGGGAACCCACTACAAAGCCAAAGTTGCAAACGAAAAACAGGACATTGCGTTTTCCAAGCAGTCACCAATACACAGCAAATGGTTAAAACGACGCCACCCCCGCCCCCCACTGGGCGCCAAGTCAAAGCCACAGAAAGGTCGTGGGATAGTCTGGCGCTAACCAGCAACGGACTTCCAAGCTAAGTGGCCACTGGTCTTCGCGGAGTAGTGGCATTTGCCTTTAGGCGTTCCGGTTTCTGGACAAGGACCTCTTAGTCATCTTCGTGCGCCTTCGTGTTATCGTGGAAAGTTCCGAAGTTGGCAATACAACAAGTTGCCATGTCCCCAAGAATACTTAAGAGGTAATTATTGAAAGCTTGGACAACGAGAGTAGTTACCCTTTCTGCACAATTTTTACCATTATTTTTAAACTTTAAACTTTACAGGAACTAAAAAAAAACCCGGCAAATAACATTAAATCAGGCACTTTAATTGGTAAAAAAAAATTAGTATGCCGAATCGGCAGTGGTCACTTGAAGGTTTGCGGCGACGTTGATCGATGTCCCTTGCCACTTTCTTGAGTTTCACCAGCGCGGTTTCCACTGCGCATTTAAATTATTTAGGTTAAATAACCCGACACCTTTAAGGCTGAAATTCGGTGAGGAGGTGCGTGTGCCGGGCGCAAAACTGAATTCGTTGACGGGAACTCGCTCCTCCCCATGAGTTCCACCCCGGCCGGTGCTCGAATAAATATCTGAGCGGGGTGCTCAAAAATGTAGGTTAACTTTGTGCAAGGGGAAATCCCAGTGTCGACTGAATGGTTTTAATGCCGGTGCCTAAATTGAGATATGAAGTCAACACTTACATCGACTTTGCAGAGCTGGCGTCCTCGTGGTCCGCCGATTGCTGGTTGTCCATGGAAAAGCGGTTCTGCCGCCCCAGCGGCGATTCGATTAATTTGCCCCTTTCGAAATCTAGATACCAATTAAAGTAATTATGTTAACGTGGAAATTGGTCGGGAGATCACCGAGGGGGAACCTGCCTTGAGCTAGTCCTGCGTTGCGCAGCTTCGTAAAAGAGTGCTGGTGGTGGAGCTTCTTGCGCAGCACCTGCTGGGACTTTGGGTTCGTATAACTGACTTTCGGGTACGCCGGTCCTTCCACGGAGAAGGAGTTTGTGCTGCGGTGCATGCCTCGCATAAAGTTGTTAACAAAGTCCGTGTGCTGGCTCATAGCGGGAAACCTGTGGTAACGATTCACCATTATTAAGCCATTTTTTTGTAGTGCCTATAACATAATTGACCTGGAGTTGGCAAATTGACTTCCGGCGCGGGAAGAAAGCTGGATGAAACTGCCCGTTGCACTCCCACTGCTGCAGGTGGTGGTCGTGCTGTCAGTACTTCGTCCATCCATCGAAGTATCGGAGCACGCCTTGGCCACCAACCGCCGATCCACAAAGGACTGATTTCCTACTGGAGAAGCAGAAGGTGATGTAAAGTTTCTGAAACATTAAACAAATAGTCTATACCCCTTACCATTGTTCGTCCTAGCCCCAAAACTTAGTCTTTGCGAAAAGTTCTAGAAGTAAAAAACAATTAGCATTCGTTGTCGGTACAGTGCTTTACACTTACATTTGTGGGGCTAGTCATTTCAAAAGTTTCGGGGGGCGAGTGGAAGGAATGGCGATACAGGCTCTCGTTGGGATGGCTGAAACTGAGAGTGTTCGAATGAGTTCTTATTAAGTTTGTGCTACTGACTTAAAATATTTATAAATTCCAACTTGTATTAACTTTTTCTGATACCCAAAAAATATTTTGCTTCGGTTGGTTGACACACTTTTCACAAATTCCCTGTCGGAACTCAATTGTAATGCATATGTCTTGACATTCGTACCTGTGAAACGCATCTTTTTTGACCAGTGCTTCCGCGCTCTCAACTACGTCCCGCTGACTGGTTGCAGCCCTCATGCGTCGCTTCTTGATGGAGTTGGGCGAGGCGGACCCCTCCCCCAGGCAAATCCAGTCCACATCCGCTCCGGAACGCATGGATCTCGGCTGATCGGTCTGGTTAGAGGCGAACAGAACCCCACTGTCAGGCGTCACAATGGGCAGCTGCAGGCGCGAGAGGCGCGCACTGGCCGCCTCCAACACAAGGGGTCCGAGCTCCACGCCTGCGGCCATTTCCGAGACGATGGCGAGGACCTTCTTCGTCGACGAAAGGTCGGCCAGGACGGCGACCACCTCCAGGGCAGCCTGTCGCACTCGGCGTTTGCGATTGAGCAAGGAGTAGACGGCCTGGGTCGTCAGGAGGTTGATGTCGAAACAGGTGCCCGGGAAGGTCATCAGTGCAAAGATGGACATCCGGAGCGCATGGTCCCGGAACTGCGGTTAGTGGGGATGAGTTTAAGTTCAATTTCTTAAAAAAAAAAACCCTTGCCTTCGAACTCTTTGCGTGCAGGAAGTCCGGCGAGGTCAGCTTGGCCACAATGGTCCCAGCGGGAAGACGCTGCATCAGGGCCTTGCAAGCTCTGTTCGCTCCAGCGTTGCCCTGTCGACAAAGGCCCGTCAGGATCTGCGGTGTGCGCTCCTCTAAGTTGTCCAACGGCAGACGTGAGATCAGGTTGACCAACAGCTCTCGCTTCAGCTCCGCCACCTCCAGGTGGCGCTCCGATGATAGAAGGGTTCGCAGCAGACTGTCAAGGTGCGGCTGCACCAGGGCCAAACTCCTCGAGGAGCTCAGTGCGACCTCCAGTTCGGCGAAGCCCATCAGACGGTTGCGCCAGTCCTGCGAAAAGCGCCAGGAAAAATGAATAATTGCTAAGTACACTTTGTCGTGGCTAGTGTTTTATGGCCTATTTGCGCTAATTTGGCGAATTCTGCATAAATATGTATGCCACAGAAATTATTTGTAAAGGCCAGTTTCAACGACTAAATGTGCAATTTATGGCATAAATGGTATTCTATTAAATTTTTATACTCGTGCCGAGGCTATTATAACTTCTGACAGAAGTTTGCAACGCAGTGAAGGAGAAGAAATTGTAACGTCGTTGTTTTTATCACACTAGCAGGATTTTTGGAGTGTTGAGTCATTTAATACATAATGCATACATAATACATTAAATACATAAAAGTCGGACTACTTTTTATGTGGCTGCCATAGAAAATATAAAAAAATCTGTATGAAATTAGTGAACCAAAATTATAACATCGTTGTTTTTCAGGAGCTTTAAAATGGAGGGAAAGGCATTTTACTTAAAATGACACTTTGAAATTGGAATTGAAATTTCAAACTGACTTGTGAAGCTTATTGACTATCTGGTTAAGCTTAGTGCTCTTACCCTTAAACCTGCTTCAAATAAGTAATATTAAAGGAGTGAAGCTTTTGAATTTTTTTGGCGGGCCAGGTCTGGGTAAGGACCGAGGAGCCAGTGGTCGGCAATCGCGTACCGCCCTGCTTGTATTTGGTACGCGCTATAATTTCGGTTAATGTAATTTATTTTGTGCCCGGACTGACCCAGTTCTTGTCACGCTCTGCTCCCTCCTCTCCCAACGTCCAGCGTCTTCATCAAACATCGTTCAGAAATGGTGGTCCTGCCATTTTATCGTCGCATACGAGTTGCAAGCTTTGCGAAAGTTATTGTTCTGACTCTTGTTTTTGTGCTTGGCGCTATGAAAATCGCGTGCAGTTAAATGATTGACCGGTCAGCTACGCCACTGCCGGGTCTCTTTGCTACAGCTGCAGCTCCCCAACAAAACAATCCAATCCATGCAACATGCAACTGTTACCGGAATCAGAAAGTTTTTGTGCACCACTCAAAAAGTTGGTTGTGATAAGAGGCATATCTGAGGCATACAGCAACTGCCTCCTGCCTTACATCACGTTTTATTCTGCTGACGCACTTTTCAGAAATTATCAGAAAATATAACTATTTTGGAGTTCCAAAACTTGCAATAAACCTTTTAGCTAGTAGAAATAGTTGCATAGAAGACGTATTTTATTATTTTCAAGTTTGGTTACTTGCTCTAGCTTCCAACGAACGTTATTCAACTTGTTCGACAACTACAAATTTTCACAACTATTTTTCTTTCGACCCTATACGTCAAAAAATTAATAGGTCATTGGTACAAAAGCTTGGCTGAAGCCGGCATTGTTTTCTATAGTCACCCATATGATTGCTGGCCAGAAGGGGAGGGAGGAGGAGCTTATCGGTGAAATTTTCATTAATAAGCGAGGGGTCGCCGGTGTAAGCGGTGTAATAGCGATTGTAATGGCAACACCGGCTGGGGTGGAGTGATGCGTGTCTGGTCCGCAATAAAGCCGGGCGGCTGCCATTATGAAGGCAGAAATATGAACGCATATGAAATTGTACATATCCTAGTGACCCAGTTAGGACCCGAAGCGCTCGGCGACCCGGAACCCGCGCTGGGGTAGCGTGTGCTTTAATTTCATTGCTTTATTTTTGGTCGCAGAAAGTAGCCCAGGCGAGGATTCGGATAGAGGAGTGCAATTACACGGGGACTGCTAAATGTCGGCCACTAATTTTGCTGCAATTACGGCGATTTGGCTGGTAAGCGTGCCAGGGAACTTACCCCAGATCGCAGATCCATCAGCGTCTTTATGTTGACAATGTCCAGGTCCTCCCAGGACTTGGGCGTCGCCGGCGACTCGGCAGACACTGCAGAGGCGGCTCTGGTACCCTGCGGCTGTGTAGGCGAGGCAGAGGGATTGCCGGCTGCAGGAATGGCCCTCCCATCCCCCAAGTCCTCAGACCGGCGGAGGGATCGCGGCGAGGGATCCCGCTGCAGGTTGTGCAACACCTCGATTTGCTTGTGCGGCACTTTGGGGCTGACGATGTTGCTCCCTGTCGGGCTGGAACTGCGGCTTCTGAATGCCGGCGAGCGGGGTGATGGCGATGGCCTGTCCTCGGCTTCTTGTCGCTGGCGGGGATTGCTGGACTGCGAAGGCAGATCAAAGGTCGCGTCGTTCTGATGCCGCGGTGACTGCGAGCTGAAGGGTCGGGCCTGCAGCAGGGGCTTGGTGTTGTCCGAAGGGATCTCCACGACGAGTGCCGTCGTCCTGTCGTTGCTGGGCGGTCTTGGTGCAACCAGGTCGGGCTGCTCCTCCACTGGCGAGGTCGTGGGAGAGGGCGAAGCATCCTCCAAGCTCAAGGTGGCAGCACTCTGGGCGGCCGCAGCAGGGCTCCGAAAGTGGGTCGTGGAAGAGGCGGCGTCGCTGTCGGGAGTCCGCATCTTGACAATCTCCCCGCCGAAAGTAACGCGCTTCAGCGCGCGGGACGGCGTACTTGGTTCGGAAACACTCCCAGGCTTGACGGTGTGCGGCTCATCCAACTCCGAATCACTTATGACCTGCACAATGCCTGCCCCAGTATTGAGCTCGTGGCGGCTGTTGGCGCTGGACAGGAGGGCGTGGCACACTAGATTTGCAGACTCCTCGTCCTTGGAGCAGCTTCTGGCCGGACTGTCCGAACCCTCTGTCTCGGTGTCCGCCTCTAGGATGCGCATGGTCACTGTGTCGTCGTTGATCTTGATCTCGGTTTCCATTATGACTTTTCCCTTCTCTGGACAGTTGGACTGCGACTGGATCGAGGAATCCAAGCTCTGCAAGGCGCTGCTGCTTCTCCAACTTTGTTCACGCGGAAGGGCCCGCCAGGCCCCCGTTTTCAGCTCGCCTGCGTTTTTCTTTGGTTTGCCGGAGACCCCGTAGACCTGGCATAGTCGAAAGTATTTCGCTAGGGCATCGCCGCGACCCACGCCACTCATAATGTCCTCGAACTCGTGAACCCCCAAAAGCTCCCTGATCTTGGTTAGGACGTTCACTGTGATTTCCTGCTGGGCCAACTGGTCCATGTGCTGCGCCACCCGGTCCAGTGTGCTCTGGGCGATGAGGTGTCGCTGGGGAGTGTGCATCGTTGATTGCAGGAGGGCGGGAAGGGACAGCAGCACTCCGCAGCTGGGGCGACCCATGAGGCCGGACTGCAGCTGCAGCTGGGCCTGCTTCGTAAGTCCGGCGTCGAGGACCTCGAGCATGACCGCCTCCGGGCTGGCGGTCTCGGCCAGGTAGACCCGCAGGCAGTCGAGGGCCCCCTTGCGCACAGTTGGCGCCTGGTGGCCCAGGTTCTCGACCAGCAGCCCGATGAGCTGCTGCCGCTCCATGTAGCCGTCGGCTTCGTCTTGCATCACCACCAGAACGTCGACGAATACGCGCAGGGCGTGCTGGCGCACCTGCCATTCCGGATCCTGCAGCCGCTCGCGAAACTCGGCGAAGAGGGCGCTGGGGCAAATGGTTTCCGGTAGGCGGCGGGTGCGCAGGATGTGCTCCCACAACGGCGTCAGCTGCACGGCCCCGATCGGGGCCTCCGCCCGGCGCATGGTTTTTATCAGAGAGGTCTGCTCCAGCAAACCCCCACTGCCCACTGACTGATTGTTATTGCTGTCCTTGACTTCACTGCCGGCTCCACTCACGTAGGCGACACTTTCGCTGTCCTCGCTGTTGGCTTGCACTTGGGCACTTTTCGCAGTTGTTAGAGGGAGCGACACATCACTTGTGCTATCCTTGCGTTCCAAAATTCGACGAAAGAACATGCTTGGCCGCGGACCGTCTCTGACTGCGATTATCTAACTAAGAGGCTCCGGAGCATTCACTGGGTCCTAATTTTTAATTGTCACGCAGGCTCACATCCGGTCGAAAAATTCCTGCCACTACCTTCAGCCTTTTTTCATTTTCTGCGAGTCTTACCAACTTGTCTGACCATAACAAAACCGTACGACTCGGTAGCAACGAATGCCGAATTTGACCGCTTGCTAACCACTTTTGTAGCCAAAAGTTGGTTGCTAGAAGTTGGCTGTTGTGAGCACCACCAACTAAGCCAAAAAACAACTTCAACTGCGCATGTCCGCTCGCTCTCATGCTTTGTTACCAATTGTTAAACACCAGACATGAAGACCGTAAGCCCGGCTTAATTTAATTAAACTTACTAAGCTTACTAAGCCCACACAATTAAATATGTGTTATACAGAATATAAATTTAAAATAATTTACAAAGGTGCTAATCCTAAATATATTTAATGGGCTTTCGGAGCATTTAACAAACATTTCAGAAACTTGAATACGCGCCTTTGCGAATATAACTTTGTAATTTAATATAATATAATATAATATAATGTAAAAATAATAATAATATAATAGGGTTTAATGATAATAAGTAGGTTCCTATTTATTAAGGAGATAATAAAATTGAAATGAAATAAAATGTCTTTGGATATTTACCAGATGCACGCTACTATGAATTATGTTCGCCTGGTGTCTGAAATCTCATCATACAATCGATAATAATTTAATAATAATAATTAAATAATTTTTAAAATGATTTAAATCGCGTTTAAATTGGAGAAGATATGGAATCTGGAAGTGCTGAAAAGTCCACGCAAAAGAACATTATCCAAAACTTGGAAAAATCTGACATGAACAGTGGTCAAAATATTGATCAGCAATGAAAATTTTGAAAATGCAGTTTCTTAATGATTAAGAGCTAAATTGCGAATTTATCGGTGTCAATTTATCAATTTTTTTGAGAAAACGGTTAAACAGGGCCGGCGGAAGGTGTATACCGGGTGTTGAGCACTCCACACGCCAAATCTTAGCGGGTGTGGAATTCAACACCCCAAAATGCTTGACTTGTAGAAAAAAATTTATTTATATCCATTATTATCAGTTGAATGTATGATTCAAAACTGTTTCTCCGGCCCTGCATATAGAGTATATCGAAGAAAAACGAAGAGAAATCCCGCCTTTACCACGGCCCAATTAAATCAGTTTCTATTTAAATAGATAGATAGTAACTCTCCCAAATACTTCCCAAGTTAAGCTTTTTCCAACTTAATGTAAAAACTACTTAAATAATTATGAGATTATCATAAATAAATCTTTTCAGATTGGTACTTACTCAGTTAGCTCCTTGATCTGCACTGCAATCTTTCGTCTTCTTGAAGTAAGATGATCACCGCAACCACTTTATTCGCAACATTAACACTTAACACTTTACCCTGAAATTAAATAAGAAAAAAAAATAATAATAAATAATTTGTTACAAATAATAATAGTTAGAATTATTTTGTTAGTAAAAAAAGGTATTTACCTCTTTGGGTTTTTTATTCACTGCATCTTGAAGTTCACTCCAAGCAGAACGGAATAGTCATCACTGTAATGAAAAGAAGCATTCCAAAATATTAGTTAAATTATTTTATACAAATCGGTTGTTTAAAAAATACATACCCCAATGAGGTGATGCACTGCATCCTGGAGTGGAGTTCAATAAGATAACCACTGCAACCACTTTATCCGCAACATGTACACTTTACACTTTACCCTGAAATTAAATAAGAAAAAAAAATAATAATAAATAATTTGTAACAAATAATAATAGTTAGAATAAATTTGTTAGTAAAAAAGGTATTAGTAAAAAAGGTATTTACCTCTTTGGGTTATTGATTCACTGCATCTTGAAGTACACTCCAAGTAGAAAGGTATAGTCATCACCTGTAATGAAAAGAAGCATTCCAAAATATTAGTTAAATTATTTTATACAAATCGGTTGTTTAAAAAATACATACCCCAATGAGGTGATGCACTGCATCCTGGAGTGGAGTTCAATAGAAGATCACGCCATTCATAATTGATCCTGCAGCCTGTTGTCCAGTCCATTTATGTGGTGTCAGCATAATATATATTTCCGGTAACCGCATTCTTACAACTATTACTATATATACCTATACTATATATATTTATATTATATGTCGCTACTTGTTTACAATTATTAATTGTGTTTGATTTTCATGTACTTCAAGTTCAATATTTGATAAAATTTACCTTTCAAATTTCTTTCATGTTCTTGAAAACTTTCAGATCTTTATCTGTTTCTTTTAGTTTCTTTGTCAAAATATTTATGATTTTTTAAAATATATAACTTAATTATTTATTGTCTAAAGGATGTACTCACTGCGTAATAACTTTGGTGCAGTGCATCCTGATGTCGAACTTCAAGTTACAAGTTGGATGGTGTCACCAATTATTTTCTGCAATCAGCCAAATACACAACCAAAAACCTGAAAAAAAAAATATAAAAAAATTGAATTAATTGACTGCATTTTTTTTACAAAAGCCACGTCATCACATAATTAAAAAAAACTGCAACTCACCTTTTCAGGTTTGGATGCCCTGCATCCTAGAGTCCACTACATGCAGGAAGGGATCGGGCACCTTTAAGTTCATGCCAAGTCAGGTCATGATGCAGTGCATCCTAGGAGGAGTCGACCCCTGGTGCACTGCATCCGGGAGTGGACTCCAGTAGGTGGAGTCGACCCAAGATGCACTGCATCCGGGAGTGGATTCCAGTAGGAGGAGTCGACCCATGGTGCACTGCATCCGGGAGTGGACTCCAGTAGGAGGAGTCGACCCATGATGCACTGCATCCGGGAGTGGACTCCAGTAGGAGGAGTTGGCCAGATACTCTCTCCCACTCTGGAACCACGTCACTAACACACACGCACACACACACACTTCCAGAGACCGGAAAAAGTTTCTTAGAGAAACTGCCGGTCATCCCGGAGAACTGAGAAATTGACCAAAATCAAGGGGTATCCCACTACGAATCAGCCAGAACCACTTGGGAATTATAGGTGCGAGAAAACGAAAAAAATAATTAATTATCATTGTCGCTGACGTGGCCATATTAATTTAATTAACATTTAGTTAACATTACATTTACATTATATTAAATTAACATTATTTTAACATTAAATTAACATTACATTAATATTAAATGGATTTTAATTAACATTTTACATTTAAAATAGTTTTTTTTACCTGTTGCATTTTGATTGATTGGTGTTGTTGTTTTATTAAAATTTATACTTACCTATATTATGTCAACAGTGTTTCCCTCATCATGATTTGGAATGATTTTGAAACAAAAGGGGCGGGGGGGGGGATATTGAAAATTTGTGAGGTCATGACCCCACTCAAAACTGTTTCTCCGGCCCTGCGGTTAAAGATAAAAAGCTGAAATTTTTAACTTTATTTGGAAACATATTTATTTTGCGAAAAAAAATTCGAAATCGAAAAAATCAAAAAAGGGGTGGGAGGGGGCGTTCCTCAGTGGCGGCATGTCGGCGAAAAGGTGTACCGCTTACGGAAGTGATTCAGCCAAAACGGGTAATCGGAAACACAAAAACCAAAAGGATTCTTAAAGTGTACAGTACTGTGCATAAAATGAACTAGGATCAGAAAAAAAAAAATGAAAATTGCAAAAGTTATTAGCTTTAGAAAAAAATTTACGATTTTCTCCCTTTTTTTCTCATTAATTATTTTCTCAAATAAACTGTTTTCTATATTTTTTGATAATCCTAGTTCATTAGTTAAAGGAAACAATTAGGAAAATTTAAAAGAAAATTTGATGACGATTGGCTAACGCCTTCAATTACTTCCGTAAGGTCCGAAAACGTGGTTCCGAGATAAGCGCGTTTAAATTTGTTGCCTCCAAATGGCCGGTGCTCGACATGTGCCCCATGTAAAGGCCTGTAACTCTTGTATTTTTTCAAATTTTGATCTGAAATTTGTTAAGCACATTCTTAAAACATATACGAAAAGCCAAAAAAAAAATCGATTTTTTTTCGCCACAAGGTGAGAACCTGCCTTAAATGATTTTTGTGTGTTGTTTGGGCTTAATATATAATAACAAAAACTTCAGGAAGTATATAGGTATCATAAAATTTTATAGGTGAACTTTAACCAAACTGCATGAATTGTAAACCAACAAAACTTTTACAACTGCTTATTTTCAGATGTTTCTCCGTCTTCTGGGTTGGGTCCAAACAATTCGTCAGGACTGAAAGAAACATCTGAAATATCTTTTTCGGCACCAACCATCTGAGCCATGAAATCGTCTAAGCGCTCTAGGGACGCGATTGCTTCCTGGGATTCTTCGTCTTCCAAGTAATGACACCTATCGGCGCCAGAGTGCGAGTGCTCATGGGGGGCTGCCTGCTGGCCGGAGCTCTGATCAGGTCGGCTGTAGCTTCCGTACAACTCGCGCAACGTGGTGCGAGTGAGATTGAACTCGCGCATTCCAAAGCTCATCTTCTGGCCGCCCTCGCCGGCTTCGCGCCGGCTGGTCTTCCGGTCATCATGGGCCAGTTGCTCGGCCTCCGTCCGCGGCATCGCCCCACTTTCCGCAGAGCTGTGGCGGGAGGACCAAGAGCTGGAGGCGCGGGAGCGCTTGATGATTTGACGGCACTTGTTCGTTATTCCCCCAACGATCTCGGACACGAGGGCTGTGGCGCCCAGAAAGTAGCCAAGCGCCATAAGCAAAAACATGCCCTCCGTATCCGCTGTGGTCAACTGGCGCTCCTCCTGGATTATTTCCCTGAGAGAGTTCGATGAACTGGCCTGCAGCAGACGACCTGAAGCCGAGCGCTGCATAACCCAGCTGACCTCGTTGTTGATTTTGGCTATAAGACCGCTCTGTTGGGCCAGCAAAATCATCGAGTCGATCTTGCGCTTGTACACGGACTCTCGCGGGAATAGAAATCCTATTTGAAAGAGGGCGAAACACTCCTCACTCAGATGGAGCGCCGATCGGCGCGATATATTTCTGGCAAAAGACAAAAATTAATTTTAGATTTCAGATTCAAATACCAGACCGATCTTCCTTACTCGTCTGAGAAATTTGACTGAACCAGGTACTCAAGCTGAGCCTTTGATCCCAGAAAGGCGTAGTTCCAAAAGAAGCTTTGCGTTACGTTGCCAATGCCCTCCTCTAGGGTCCCGACGAACTCCATCTTCTTGTATAGCCTGGACGTCGGAGTGTGGGTGGAGTTCTGGAACCACGTCTCCCAGCCCCCATTGTCTGCACAGTGAGTAAGTTCCCAATGTACGAATGCGATCGAAATGTGTCTGGCTTGACATTAACTCACCCAGTGTTCCCACCCGGAAAAACAAGCCCAGCAAGTCCAGCACGGAGTCGACGGTGTCGGGAAACGCTGGCAGCGTTACAAACGCAATGATGGAGCCAGTGTAGCAGGAGGTAATAATGATTGTGAAGAGCCAATACGCGCCAATCAGGAGACGGGTGGAAATCTTTTGCGTGTTGCTCCACGAGTATTTTCCGGTAAAGGTGAAGGCGTTTGTGAACATCCCGAAGACGTACCAAAACATGTTCTCCACCTCTCCCCAGTTGCCCATCAAGTGGCTAAGAGTTAATCGGTCGGTGAAGACAATCGGAAATATCCCTCCCAGGTACACGCAAATCAGAGCCACCCAGACGGGCCACTGGAAGGGACCCATGATGGCTCTGTATTTTGGCAGTGCCTTCGAGGCGAGTGTTATGAAGGCTGCACAGTCGCGCGAGTGTCCCACCGACATGTCGGAGTCCCGCAGCCTCTCCTCAGTTATGTAAATACCGGACATTCCTATGTCTACGGCCTTCTTCACAATCAGCTCCTGTATGTTGTCGACTACTCCACGCTTAAGGGTCTGCGCTGGGGTTTCGTTGATATCCACCGAAAAGTTCAGGCGCTTCGAAATCATGCTCAGCAGCCGGAACTCGATGCCATCCCAGCGTAACTGGCTCATCCCGGAGGAGTCCAGAGTGCGAATGCGGAAAATGAAGGGCGGCTGGTTGGCGGCCGAAATCTGAAACCGGTGCCCTGCGAAACCATACTGAAACTTCGGTGGGAAGAGATTGACGTGCGGCCGGGACAGGGCGCCCTTTATCCAGCTGGTAAGAACTATGGGCGTATTGGAGCCGAGGCCATCAGCGTACAGTTTGTGGGTGTACAGTACGTAGGGACGCTCCTGTGGTTTAGTTCAGTCTATTTTATGGACGCATATTCGTATTTTTTATTCAACACTCGATACTCACGCGCATTGGATCGGCCATAAGAGACTCGCCAATTACCAACAAATTAACAATGTTCGAGGACAACTCTGATGACAGAAAATCCCGTAGTTTCCATTGTGTGGACCTCGAAACAAGCACTACGCGACTATCCGTTTGCGGACCTAGGATCCTCCGCGTCATTAATGGGTCCGAAAGAAAGAGAATGTAGCTTTTGCAGTTGCTATCAATATGGCTTGTAAACCGGGAATTTTTTGCTTCATAGTCAGCGTTTATTTCGCCATGGTAAAAAGTAATAGGGATAGTCTGCCAAATGGTAAAAAAAACGGTTATTCTGTTTCCTACAAACCGAGTTATTTTTCTTGAATGCTCTCCACTCCACTCTCATTTTTTTACATTCAGCCTCAGTGAATGGCTGGACTTACCTTGAACAAATTCTCAAGAATCAGACCGTCTGATTTTTCTACAAAACTGTCATAATAAATAACCGGTGGGCATTTGCTTAGGTACTCCTTGGCGATTTTATTCACAAGGCCCACCAAAGAATTCGTCTGATCGAAGTTGTACGAATTAACGTGAAACTTGTTTGCCAAGAGCTCCGCTCGTGGCTTTGGGTTGCCATAGAATGTGGGGTCAACACGGCGCTTTTCACGTAATTGATCAGAATTTTCAGCACTGCAGCTTCTCGGGCCGTAGGTTTCTTCATTTAACTGATACCGTTTGATGAGCCGTGCGCTGACGCACTTTGATTCGCAATCCACTCCGGTGATAGCCCATGAAGCCATCAATAAAACCAAAACTACCGAAGCTTCCCACATTGCTAGTGGAAGTTCTGAGCTCGATGTGTTTTCAGTTCTGAACATGTAGTCCTTTTTATACTCCTTTACAAATCATGGTTGCACGCTAGGGTTCATCACCTCATCAAATTATATAGCACTCAATATTGTTGTGAGCACGAAAATATTAATTGTAACACCTGCAGCAAATGCTTTTTATAGGGCGTATACCCTTTTATACTTCAATAATGGAGCTCAATTTAAATATTACATTTTATTACACACTTGCATACATTCGTAAAAGTATATTCTTTATTTTTTACACAGATTAGCACAAAATACTTAATTCACTCGTTTCGTCAATAAGCTCTCTTATATTGCGTCCTGCTGTAAATAGTTTAGCTTTCCATTTGTATATGCCCTTAAAATATATTCAGCTTGACCTATTCGATTATCATCTCCTATTATTGCATTTTGGATCCCCTTAATACTTTCGCATATATATATGCCTTAAATGGTAAATAGGCTTGAACATCGTTTCAATGAACTGAATTTATTTTTTTTTTAAAGCACGGCTAAGTATTGGCAATCTTTTCGACTTATTTATATATTTCTTGCTCATGTTCCTCTTTTTGTATATTCACTGATTGACTGCCCTTGGGTATGCCTTAGCTACGACTAAGAATTAAACTATATCAATAAACTGTCGCCTACTGCATTAAATTTAAAAATATGAATGTTAAGGAATGGTTCGGGGGTGGCAGAAAATGGTCTGATAAAACAGTACTAAAGTAGAAGTTTGAGTGAGTGTTTTTTTTTTCATCTTAAAAAAAACTCAGAAAGATTTCGATATACATGGAATAAGGGATGATGTTTTCGAAAAGTTGTGTGTACATCTAAAAGTATATAAATTCATCTGTAACTCTTTATCACAAGTGAAACAAAAAAGTACATTAGGCTAATCTCTAAATGCTTTCCGTGGCTAAAACCAAGGACTCGGTGCATCCAAATCCTACTATTATTCGACAGAAAGACGAGGTGCACCAAGCACGCAATTTGTTAAACTTAGTTTTCTATTGTCCTATGCCTAATTGATTTACGTTTACAAACGTCCTGCTGGGATTGCGTGTGCAACTTCAAGAATATTCGTATACGTAAAAATCTATAGGAATTTACAGACATAGGTATTGAGTATTTAAGAGGGAATAAATAATTTGTAGTAACATGCTCCAAAAAATTATCTATGTTCGTTGTTTCTCTCTAAGAAATTAGCTAAAAGTTTTAAATTAGTTAAACAAAATTAACGAGTGAATTTCGTATTTTGGGCTTCAATAAAGGGTGGCTTTTTAATTTCGGCGTCTCAGTGAATGGAGTGTTCCTTCTTGCCTACTGCGAGCCTAAGATCCCAATCCCCAAAGTGTTGGGCGATGCTGAGTCTTATTGCGCCGGTTCGTCAACTTCATTGTCGATGCGGGAAGATCGGATTCCGGATTTTCCAGTCCATGGGTAAATGTCCGGGCAAGGCTGACACGTTTTCATGTATCGAACGCCGGACTTGTGCCACAGGTTGCACACTTTGGGGTTGTTGCAACGTTTCGGCCGATCCTAGCAAGTAGACAATTTCAATAAGGCCGCGAACCAATTATTCATGTACTGTGAACACTTGCCGAATAATCGCATTGAAACGGCTGGAACGAGTTGATGCGAGATGTCGGTGTTGGGTCTCGCACCCACTGCAGAGCCTGCCAGTTTGTTATGATCCACACGTCCTGCATCGCGTTGATGGCGTCGAGGAACTTGATAAAGCCCTCTTTGTGGTGGGGCTGTGTGAACCAGGCAGCGTGGTAAAACAGTCCGAAAGGAGCTCTGTAATTAAACGTTATTTATTGGCCAAAAGTCAATTGTGAATGTTTATCAAGAAGCCCTGCGTACCTGTTCGTGGTGTAGTGGCGCTCAAAGTTCTTCATGATCATCTTGGTCACACCTTCCGCATCGCTGGGGTTCGAGCAGGCGTCGCCCATCGAGCAGCGACCACCGTTCAGGTCCTGCCACATAACCATGGGTACTTGCCACACGCCCGGGTACGAGCGGGTGGGGCAGGGGGAATCATGCAGTCGTGGAATATCTTGTAGTCCAGGGTGTAGGGCCAGGAGGGCGGTCGGTTCTCGTAGACAGGCATGGAGGAGTCGTAGGTGAAGTTCGAGTCGTACAGCATTTTGTACATTTTGTTCCCGCCCACTGAGAGGAAGGGTGCGCGCATGCCCCGCACGTCCGACAACTTGACGCCTCCGTACGCAGCAAGGATCTCCCGCTGTCCAGCTATTTCACGGGTCCACTTTTTCTGCGAGAACTGCTCTCCGAAGCTGTGACTGTATTCAAATGGGTTTGCGGTTATTATACGCAGATGCGTTTCATTTTCGTTAGTTAAGCGGTGTGGTTTGTAAAACATTTAAAATGGTATGTAGGTGCAGTGTGGCTGAGTTGGCTAATTGGCTAACTAAATAACTACTGTGCTTAGGCGATGCCTCTACTAGTTGTCATTGCAGTGCGTTCTGTGGCGAGGTCGGGATCGAGCTCCATCTACTTACGAAACTGTATGGGAGGCCATTTCGTGTCCATCGGCGTAGAGATTCTGCACCTGGCTGTAGTCAGTCCATTCGTGGGAGACGTAAAAGGTGGCTGTGATGGGGCAGCCGTTGGGATTGACGCGACCCTTCTCGAAGAGGTCGGTGTACAACTGCTTGTTCAGGTCATTTACGGAATCATCAAAGGTCAAGAGAACGATCTGAGGTATGCTTTCAACGGGAAGGTCGCCTAGCAATGCAGATGAAATGCGGGTGATGAAATGTCGGAAAATCACAGAGCAGTGATAGAGCAAGCTAGAAACAGGTGCTGACTATGACCTGGAGGCGTTTGGCGGGATGTAACCTTTGCTGATGGGAAGCGCCTTCACTTTCTAACGCAACTTACGAAACAGTGTGGGAGGCCATTTCATGCCCGTCTGAGTACAGATCCTGTACCATGCCGTAGTCGGTCCACTCGTGCGATAGGTAGAAGGTCCCCCGCCAAGGACAACCGTTGGGGTTCTTCCGCGACATATTGTTAAAGAGTTCCTCGTAAAGATCGATATTTATAGTATTGACGGCATCGTCAAATGTCATCAGTACGATTTGTGGTGTCTCCGAGGCGCTTAGGCCGCCTACACATTTGTTACCATTAACTTCAGTATTTATAATCAGCGCCTTGGCCCGCCGTTACCTTCTCTAAAATAAGCTTTGCCTAGTCAGGATCGTACTTACCAGGTATTTCCTTGCCTCCACAATAACAGTCTGGCAACAGGCAGACGTCCTTCCTGCACTTGGCTGCAGTTTTGTCGGGCGTTGGCTGTGGGTAAATGGGATCCGGGCGGGTCGGTGGGTACCGATATATATCCACAAACTCTTGGGCCTTTGACACAATGGTGCCCGACGGCTTCAGTGTGGGACGAGTTCGGCTTAAATAAAAATATTTCATTTTTACTATGTCACAATATTTTTAAATACTTGCTTACGGTGGGTGGGTTCCGCGGTTTGGCGTAGATGGGACGTCTCGGTCTTGGTTGGCGTAAATGGCACTACCCCGGTTTCTGTTGTTGTTTCTAAATATATTGTTTGTACATTGGTTAAGAATAAAATGAATTGAGGCAAGATGAAGTCAATAAAGAGTTGCTCTACTCAAATAAAATTTTAGTTTTCACTGACATTACATGTTGGTGCTACACAAATAGGCAAAAAATATGCATGAACGCAAGGTTAGTTGTCCCATACAAGTTATATGTTATTTTGCAGTGTACTCTACAAATTTTTCCCATTACCTTATATAAGACCAAGTAAACCTTCACCGGAAGAACAATCAAAATTTAATTGTCCAATTTGCTGTAAATATTTTTGTAGTGAGAACCAAAAAGTTTTGTAGCATACTTGTGTCACGTGTGAGGGCTTGACGGTAAGTTTAGGCTGAGAAAAGACGAAGATGTTTATTTTATAGGAACCTCAGTACCTCAAATAACAAGACAAAGGATTCAAGCTATACTAAAAATAGTCGAATTTTATAATTAGGAACATCTCCAGAATCAAAACGATAGGGGCCTACATCTAAAATTGGCAGACGGCTTTGAGATATAGGTTAACACTGAGCTTCAAACGCTGAGTTGTTGGTGGCGACTAAATTTCTGCTCGGTAAAATGTGCGAAACAATTTTGTAAATTTTTTATGTTGCATATTAAATACGGGATGCTTATTTTAGTTAATTTAACTGGGGAGGCTGAACAATCTTTGTTTTCACCACGCGATCTCTATTTAATGCATTTTTAGTTTCTGTAAATAGGAAATCTTGCAAACCAATCTATCTTGCAATAATTATATTCTTACGTTATAAAATTATATAGTGGATGGTTTTAAAATTATTTTTTTTAGAACTCTAAGATCTCTAACTTCTTAGTTCTCACTTTGCGATCTGCGTCACAGTATATTATCTCTAATTTTTTAGCCAATTGATGTGTACAGTTAAACAGAAAATAATATTTAAAAACAAGTTGTTTGGGATTCATTACGGGCCACCACCAGTATGATAACCGTAATCGGTTAACGGAAATGCTAATAGAAAACTTCTACAAATCGTTTACCAAAGTGTTGCTTGCAACATTTTACCCAGCAGCTGAAATTTAGTAAGTTCTAATGTCAGAGGATTCAGTGAAGTTGGACATTACTATTACTGTGATAGTTTATACAGAAGTACTTAAAATCGAACTCTGTTCAACAGGCGTTGGTTGTTTAGCACAGATACTGCGGCTCGACAGGAAGCCAACAATCAACACCAACCAAGTGAGGGTGTCTATAGATACGTAGATTAGAGGTAGGTGAATGTGAGTGGTATGAGAGTCTAAAGAAAGCTTGAGAGCAGTACAGTACGATACAGTACAGTGTTGAGTGGGAGGCTATATGGTTGGTTGTGTTCAAAAACAAATTACGGTGATTCAAATAGAGAATAAGTAAGGAGCTAAACGAGTAAGAAGAGTAGAGTGGTGACTGGGGTCAACTGAACTTAGAAGCAATCGGTACGGGTACGGGTACGGGTATCTATACCTTGAGGGGATCTCGTTGCACTTGGCGCTCAGCGTGCTATCAGAGCACTTCACCGATGCTGGGGCTACGGCGCCATGGTGGCTGCTGCTGCTTGTTTGGTGTTGGTGGATCTTATTGTTGGGGGCGAAGCCGAATTGGAGCTTTTGGGCCTTGCCCGCCGGCACTGCTGGCTGAGAGGTCGAGGGGCTAGAGCCGAGGGCAGCGGCGGCAATCGACGACTTTATGACACTGTTAACCCTCGAGGCGCGCGCAGTGGGCAGTGCAAACGGGGAGGGTGTGGCTGTGGCTGTGGCGGTGGCGGTGGTGATGACGGGGTTCGGGGAGTCTGACGGGGCTTTCGGGGTTCTAGCGGTGCTAACTTCGGGAGGGGTCAGGGTGGTTCTTGCGGTGGGGGTGGGATCGGTGCTCAATAAACTAGAAGTGGGGGCAAAGAGGTACTCTTTGGACTGGCTTGCTACTTGTCGCATTGGAGCGGTGGGTTGGAAGTTCGCTGCCGTGGGTCGGGTGGAGGGCAGTAGGGCAACTGGCGCTGGCACTGGTGTGGGACGCGTCTTTGTCGGGATTGACTTTATTGTTGTGGCTGCCGATCCCTCGCTGGGCAAGTACAGCTGCTTGACCTCGTCCACCGCCGCCTTTGTCTCAGGCAGCGAGTACTCATCGACGAACTGGGAGGTTCCGCTCTCGTTGCTGCCGCTGCTGCTGTCACTCTCGGCAAGGAATTGCCTCAGCTGCTCGATCACGTTGGCGGCTCGGTACTTCTGCTCCCGTCCCGAGCCAGATGCAATGTAGCCGGCGTTCTGAAGGCTCTCCGCCAGCGTGCGCTCCGCCGTCGGCTGCCTGTACTTGTTGGAGTAGAGGAACTTGACGGTCGGGCGGTCTGTTATCGCCACCACGTGCTCGGTGGAGCTGAAGGCTATCCCAGTCCCGGCCTCTTCTATGCTGTTCTGCTGCCTGGTCTCCAGCGGCTGGCTGATCAAGGGCTCAGCCCGCGGCTCGTCTGGGACGCTGGCTTCATTTTCGATGGGCTTGCGCTTGAGCGACTTGCTCGGAACATCGTGTTCGTTATAAGCTGCATCCTTCGCCTGCAACGCGGCTTTGTAGGCTTCGTATTTTTCCTGCGGCTTAGCTGGGGGCTCGCCAACCGAAGTGCGCTGACCGTTAATGACCCGGACGCGCTGGGGCTTGCGTTTCGGGTACGCACTGCTATCGTAGCCGGGGGCCGGCCTGAACTTGGGCGCATAAGTCGTCGGCTCGTCCACGCTGTCCACGAGGGCGTTCAAGGTGGCCGCTGTGTAGCGGGAGCGACCGCGGGGACGGACTGAGGACTGCGCCAGGCGGATGGGCAAGGAGGCGACTACTGTGGAAACCGTGGTTGGAGCAGGAGGAGCAGTAGCCACTTCTGGAGGCGGTGCCTCCGTGGTGCTGGTTGTGGTCGTCGTCGTAGTGGTGGTTCGCACCATGCTCGGCGCAGGTCGCTGTGGACTGAATGTGCTGAGAATAGCGTCGCTCACGCTGAAGTTGCGAGCGTTTCCCGTCGCCATTGTGGCCAGGACATCTTGGCTGCTGTTTCTGACGGCTTTGGTGATGAACAGATTCTTTGGTGGCTTCGGCGTGGTCTGGAGGAAGGGCGGGAAGGCAGGTGCGTTCGTATACCGCGGTCTAGCGGTCGTCCGCAGTTGGTGGTGTACGTTCTGACGATCGTCCTGCAGCAGATTCTCGAGGCTTTTGTAAGGGGAGACAAAACGCGTTGCAGGGTTGGCAGTCACGCGGTTCAGATTATCTTTGAAGTGATTGGCGCGGACCGCATAAGTTGGCCCCGAAACTATATACCGCTCGGTAGTGGGAGCGGGCAGGGGCTTAAGTGTTGAAGTTGTTTTAAAGGTGTTGTTCGAGGCAGTAGTATCATCGAGCGCTGTAGGAGTTGATGTGCTCGAACTGGCAACTGCACTCGTGGTGGGACTCTGGGTTGGCCTGTAATAAGCTTGTTGAATGGTGGGCCTTCCATTGCGCCATATCCGAAGGGGTGGCGCATAAGTTGTGGGAATAATCTCCACGAACTCCTCAGATATCTTAGCCGGCGTCGCCGGGGTGGTAGTGCTTGTGGTGGAAAGCAGAGCCTTGTCTGCGGAATTCGACTCGGATGCATTACCCTCGCTTTGATTCTGCTCTACGTGCAAACTGAAACCATGGGACCCAGTTTGCAGACTGTATTTAATTGGTTTACTGGGTCGCGTCGTACTCGCGCTCTCCATCTGTTCCGACGGTGGTACCATCGATTCACTGCTAGTGGGAGCTCGAAAGCTCTGTGGGGCCACATCGGACGTAATGTAGGTTTGAATGCGTTTGCGTAGTGGCTCCGGCTCCCTCGAGCTCGACTCCAACGAGTAGGCTCGATAGGGGACGTCCCGGCTCACAAGCTTGTCTTGCACCGAGTTCAGCAGGTTGCCACGTGGACTGGTGCCGTAGGCGGCGGCATTGATGAAGTCGAGGAACTTTGGCGAGGTGCTGGTTTCAAAGGAGCGGCTCCTTGGGGGCTCGGCCGTCTGCACGTTGACATTCTGGCTCTCGTCAAAGACCGTCTCCACGTGCTCCAGTTGGTTGCTGGCTGGGCTCTCCTCCACCAGCGGCCAATGCGTCGTCGAGGACGGGGGGGTTGGGGAGGCAGTTTGGGTGGGGACTTGGTCTGCAAGCGGGATTGTTGGCTGGCGATTGGGCTTTGAGTTTTTCTGAAGTTGAAGGTAGCCGGTGGCGTTTGCTTGGGGCTGGATGTTTGAGACGAAGCTAACCAACGACTTGGCGAGATTTTGCAGCTTTGATTTGAGAAAGGGATTGGAACTATAGGTCGAGGGATTCGGAGGAGGTGTGGAACTGGGCGTGGTGGGTGCCTGGCTGGGAGTCTGTGTTGTGGATGTGGTTGTGGTTGTCTTTGATTTGTTGGGTACATGTTGTCTATTTGGCTTTTTTGCATGCGCTTTCGAGCTGTTGAAGAGACGTGTATTTTAATAAGTAATCACATGGGTGTTAGTAAATTATTGTTTTTTGGGTAGGGGAGCCTATTTGCCTAGCCTTTTGGTTCTCAGTTTTCAAAATTCATTTTAGTTTGTGGTGGACTGCCAGCTGCGACAGTTGAAAATTACGAATAGATACATGCTCATGCGTACTTATTTTTCGCGACACCTAACGGTTATCTTATGAGTAGTCATGCTTTGAATACGATTAATTAATCACATTGCAGAAGAAAACAGAAAGACAGAAGGTGGCACATATGTTCAAACAGTCAGCAGAGATTCAGGTCTTTGGCACGATGCAACACGAAGCGATTTCACTGATGCTGTAGATATCAGTAGCATGTTAAAAAACTGCCTAAACATGTCGGGTGTAGTTGTGTGTTCTGTATAGTGTGATCTTTCAAAGCCAATTTTTCAAACTGCACTTGTATGACGGAATGAGAGCTTAAAGACTAGCAATAGTAATGAAGCCAGCTAATGACTGAGTTGCAGTTGCGTTAGAGGGCGACTGCCAGGGAGACTTCACTTAAGACAGTCTTTTAGGGCGCTATCGCAATGGCTAGTGAAAATACCTTGCTGGTTTTTCTGTTGTCGTTGGTGGAGGTGGTGTGGTGGTTGTTGTACTTGTAGTTTTTGTTGTTGTTGTGGACTTTGTGGCCTTGGAAGTTTGTGTGGTGGTGAAGGAACTCTTGGTCGGACTCCTACTAGTCCCCGAAGTCGGTTTGGTGTTCTGCGAGCGTGTCGGTAGCACCGTTGTGCTCCTAACGGAGGAACCCACTACATTCGCGACCAGGTCGTAGTCATCCGCACTTGCTTGGGGCCTCGTCTTGGGTCTGGTCAACGGGCCCTCGCCCTGGTTGTAGTCCTCTGCCGACCCGAAGGCGTACTCCGCGGAGCTGGAGTAGCTGTAGTCGGCCAGCCCGAGTTCCGGAACATCGGGAGTGGTGAGGGTGTCGTAGTAGGTGCGGGCATCCGGACGGGGGGCAGACGTCGGCGGGGGCGGTGCGCTCGAGGGGGTCGCCCGGGAGTCCAGTCTTTGGATGGCCACCTGTTCCGGCCTGGTAGATAAAGTGTATTGTGGTTGGGTGTATACGTATTGGTCTGGCGGTTGTGACGGAATTTTGATGCAGTGGGGAGTCTTTTGTGACTGTGTAGTTGTTTTTTTTTTTGTATTTTGTGGGGCTCTAACTATTTTCGGGAAGCGAGATTGAGAGGACTGCTGGTGCAGGTGGGCTAATTTGCTCTGCAAAACTGACTGTTTTTGGCTGGGTGAGGTATTTGGGTGAATTGCTTTCCTTGTGAAGTCCCCAGCTTGAGTTACGACGCAATTTAAGGCCAGAAGTGAATGCTACTTACCTCTGGGGCGGCGGCGTCGGCTGACCGTACACATTCTCCTGCTCGATCTAAAAATACAGTTCAATTCACCATTTTGTATAACTTGGATAGGCATTTGTACAGAGGCAACTTGTATCTGAATGTCGGTGTGTAATTATTCTAATCGATATCGAAGAAGTTGGTCATAAATGGGATTCCCAGATCGCCCTCGAACTTCTTCTTTGGCTCTCACCTGCGCATTAATGTCCTCGTCGTAATCGGTGGTGTAGGTCAAGGCGGGCTGCTTGCCGTAGGAAGGCTTTTGGGGGGCGTCGGGGTAGCCGCGAGCTCGAGGGGGCGGTAGGTGGAGTGCGGCTGCTGCTGCCGCACGGCGGGCTGGTACTGGGGGGCAGCCGGCGGCTGCTGCTCCTGTTGCTGCTGGTACTCTATATCCCTATATAAATCGATATCGTCGTCGTAAACAGAATAATAGGATGAATCATAGGGATGCGATGGGGCTTGTGCCTGCTGCTGATGTTGTTGTTGTTGTTGTTGTTGCGGTTGCGCTTGTTGGAATGGTGTTGGCTGTAGCTGTTGCTGCTGTTGCTGTTGCGGTTGTTGGTAACCGCCCCCGTGGTTAAATATGGATGCATTGTAGTAGTTACGATTGAGTTCTAACTGTGGCGATGGAGATTGTGGCGTGGGCTGTACAAATATATTAGCGGGTGGCGGCGCCCCTAGCGATGACGGTGAGGATGACTCAACTCTGTACACGTTGTTGTTTCAGTTGTTGAAAATAGTTTGGTGTAAAGGAAGTGTTGTGTGAGTAACGAAGATTATTTACATTGGCGAAAATTCCCGTCAATTAAGTGTGTAATTTATGGAGAGGCAATTGTGACAAGTTCAAAACAGGGGAGAAAAATGTAAAACGAGATCAAAAACAATTCAATTAATCAAACAAAATAATGAGTACCACAGATGAGCAGATGGCGGATATGAATGGGGTTAGCAGGAAATTAGCTCGGGTTAGCGTTTGGGTTTTAGTTATAGTTATAGTTTTAGTTATAGTTATAGTTAGAGTTAAGGTAACCACGTCCAGAACATTTGTTTAGTCAACTGTACAGCTTTGGTAAGTTCGATCCTTGCGATCAAAACGTAGACGTATAAACAGTATTGTCGCCAAGTGGGAGGGCAGGCGTTGTGTATTAGCTATATGTACATAGAACGCTTCGATTCTTGTATTCACTGGTTTGATTTCTTGTGTATCTGTGTAGCGCCACAATGTAACTCAACTAACAGGGATTTTTCGGCTCGAATAGTACCTGTGTCTGTCTGCGCCTTGGCCGCCATGTATAGAGTTCAGTTGCAGGCCCCCCACGTTACTCTGCTTGCTGGAGCCCAAGCCGCTGTCGGAGTGGTTCTTCGGGGCGGAGACTTGTGGTTCCTGGGCCGGAGACATCGTCACCCACTTTTGTTGACCTCGAGTGCGGGGTCGCGTTGTGTAGCGTGCTCGCGTCGTCGGCGGCGCCGCCGTGCTGGAGGAAACTGATCCCGGATTTGAAGTCGGACGCGGGCCGCGTGGAGTCGTGGAAACTTGGGTGGTGGGCAGCCGGTTGAGGGTTGAGTTGAAGTCCGGCAGCTGGGGCAGGCGCTGCTTGAGCTCCTGGAATATGTCGCTGGGGAAGCTGATAAATGACGGCACGCCGGCCTCGGAACTTGAGTGGTTCAACTGCGAGAAGTTTGGGAACGGGCGGCGAGTTGTCGTCGCCTCCAGGAAGCCTGTCTGGAAGTTAGGCCGCACTTTGCCCAGCGACTCAGTGACGGCCGAAGCCAACTGTGGGCGGGGAGGGGCCATTGTCTCCGACATGGGCATGTAGGGGGGCATTTGGGACGGAGGCTGCACATCCTCGTCCTCCTCGTAATCCTCGTCATAGTAGTCGACGCCCTCGAGAGTCGTGCTGGGCGGCGGCAATCGCTCAGTGCTGGTCGATGTGCTGGAGGCGGCACTTTGGCCGTGAGCCTGCTTGTTGAGTTGGTTTTGAATGCCCTTGATGAAGCTCTCGTACCCCTTGAGAGCCCTCGTGGTGGTCGGCGTGGCAGGCGTGGGTATGGTCGGCTTGGATCTCAGGCGCGACTTGGCTGACGCTGGACTCGGCGTGGTCGGAGTCGCTTTAGTTGTGCTGGTACTCGTACTTGCACTTCCTGCGACAGGACGACGAACGACCAGCGCGTTGCGCAGGCTTTCGTTTCCGTCGCTGCTGACCTGCTTGAAGAACTTGATGAGCGGATTTACGGCTGGGTGGACGGTGGCCAGGTCGCTGGCCTTTAGGTTGGCCATGAACTCGTGGATGTTGAACTGGAAGTTGGCCGGCTTGGACTTGGGCGTAGTCGCGGCCAGGTCGCGCATCGGCGCCTCTGTGCTGCTGACGGACTTGGTGAAAGTCTGATAGGATTCCGGCATGGTGCTGTTGCTGGCGTAGCTGATGCCCACGGGCAAGCTTGAGAAGTCGCGGAACGGAATCTGCTGCAGACTATTGGGCCTGTTGTAGGCCAAGTTCGGAGCGGAAACCACGTTAATGCTCTGGGTGACCTGCAGTGGCGTGACAGGCGGCCTCACTTTCACCGCAGCGTGCCCGATCTGATTTGGCTTGACCGTGCTGAAGACGCCCTTCATCTTCTGGTTGGCCACAACGTTGTACTGGAAGTAGTTGCTCTCGGTCGTGCTGCGCTGCGGTTCGGTGGACCCAATGCTGTACTGAGATACCAACTTGCCCTGGTAGTTGGCCGTATGGGGGCTATGGGGGGTATGGGGGACCTGGTCCGGCTGCTGGTTGTTGAAGAACCCGCCTACGGTGCTGTACTGGGCGTTCGACGTGACCTGATGTGCTGGCTTCGAGGGGTCTGCGGGGGAGTAGTAGGCAAAGGGGGTCTTCGGGGTGGTGCTGGCTGTGGGCAAGGCGTTGCTTCCCGGAGTGGCAGGACTCACAGGCTGGTTGTCTAGGTGGAAGTAGGCAAAGTTCTCTGCCTGCAGGTGCTTGCGCCGCTCTTTCAGTTCCTTGAGCTGCTGAATCAAGAAGGGCAGCAGGTCGCCCGGGCTCGAGTGCTGCTGTTGGTTGTTGGTGGGCCGTGGACTGCTGGGCCCGGCGCTCGCCGCTCCATAGTAGCTGCCTGCTATGGGCCGAAAGTCGTCCTCCAGTGGCGGCGGGGGCAACGACAGATTGTACCCGGTGTACACCACCTTGGGCTTCTGCTGGCCCAGTGGACCAACTGCTGCCGGGGCCACCTGCTGCTGTTGGTGCACGTACGCCTGGTAACCGGGGCTCAGCTGGTTGTAGTTTTGGTGGCCGAAGGACGGCTGGGCATGGGCTGGGTTCGGCGGAGTGAGGTATGGGTTGTAGCTGCCGAAGCTGTAGCCCGTTTGCGGGGGGTATTGGGGGGAGGGGGGTGCGTCGATGGCACGGTAGTTTTGTCCCGGCCACTTCGACGAGCTGTGCGAATGTGGAATGGGTCGCAGCTGACGCGGCCGTCGCTTCGACTCTCCCGTGGCCGCATCCTCCCGATCCGCATCTCCTTCTTCTCCCTCTTCTGGCTCGTCACCTTCGGCGGAGCTCTGCTCGTAGCTAAACTTCATATCGGTCTTATCTTTGGGCTGACTGATCTTCGAGGAATATTTTTGCGGCTTGGTGACAGACGGCGCCGCCCCGTCGAAGCTTTCTTGTGAATCGTTTGAGTTGTTGGCGGTATCGCCACCTACCGAAAGTGAGTTTTGGATATCGGGCTCCACCACTTCACTGGAGGTATTTGAGTCGACAGAACCCTCTGTTTCAATGAGCTCTGAGGTCTTATTTTCCACGACTTGCTCGCTGAGGTCGCGGCGTTTGCGCCGCATGTCTCTATCGAGTCGGTTGCTGGACAGTTCGTATTCGAGCGTCTGGTCGTCGTCCAAGTTTTCGCTGTTTGTGTACAGTGTTTTCCGAAGGCGGTACGGTTGTCCGGAGTTAAAGGTCGGATTGTGGTTGTGTCGGTGTACGTTGGAGCAAGATAAAGAGATAGTGCAGTATGCGTTGTATGAGAGAAAAGAGCATGTAACATGATGTTGCATAGAATTTGGATTTGGTTTAGCGTAGGTAAAGTGGTGGTATCAATTCAGAAGCGACGATATGTGAAAACTGCTTGCAGCGGGGATGAGTCCTTACCTGTAGGCCGTTCCAAAGGCATACGATCCAATTTTGCCAGCTGGCGGAATCGCGTTGATACTCGCCTGGTGGATAATGCCGTCGCGATCGCGCTGCACCTGGCTGACGGTACTCGGCTGGCCACGATAAACCCTCTGCTGGCGATCGGACTCCTCTTCTTCAACGGGCGGGAGCGTCTCCTGGGCATCGGCATATAGCTAAAGGTTGGTATAAAAGTTTTAGTTTGCATTCGGTTCGGACCTCATCTCAAGTAAAAATGTATTAAATTTATATAATTCAAAAGTGCCCATAATATGATTTATTTCTCTTAACCCGTTCCTCGGATTTCCCCCAAAAGTTACCTTTGCAATGTCTTCTTGGGAGTCGACCAGCAGCTTTGGTTGACCCCGCGACGTGATCACTGGGTTGGGGGCCACTCGGAGCTCCGGTGGTGGGGGCGGAATGTGTTGCACCTGCGCCTGAATCACCTGCGGCGGAGAGCGGTGGTATTGTGGCGCCACCGTGGGCGCCTTCTGGGAGCCGCCCGGACCGCTGAAGGCGGCCCCGAAGCGAACCCGGCTGGGCACGTGCTGCTGCTGCTGCTGCTGCGCCTGGGAGTGCGTCTGGCTCTGGCTCTGGCTACGTGCGGAGCTAGGCTCCGAGGATGTGTCCACCAGCTCACAGCCCACGTTGCGGGGCCAGTCGCAGGTCTGCAGCTCGTGCGAGTACATCAGGCCGCCCGTGCAGCTCTCGAGCAGGGCTCCTCCGAAGACGCACACGTAGTACTGGGTGCAGTCCGAGGGGTGGGGGTAGTAGCCGAACTCCTCGGGGCAGTCGAAGCTAAGGCCATTGGCGTTGGTGGGCTTGGGGTTCGTGCCGAAGCTGCGGGAGCTGGTGACGCGAGACGCTCGTTTGCTCTGGGCATCTGAAGATCCTAAAATAGAAGGCAGACAAAAATAACTATTGATTATTTGAAACACGAGCTTTGCAAAGAGGACTTGCCACGGATATTTACCAAAAACCCACTTCAATGTTTTATAGTACCGTAAAATGAATATCCGATTGTCTTGCAGTTGTAAGACTCAAAGCAACAGTGGAATGCGGTCAATGACTGCAGCGAGCGCCGCCTTAAAGTGCACAGGCGGTCTGCATGTCTGCGCAGACAATTGACAACTTTTTGCTTACCCCCTGCATTGTTGTTCTGTAGCTTGGCCTTCTCAAACTCTGCCAAATGCCGCTTGCTTGAAAAACTTATCCTAATTCATAACAACAGTGGCTGATTTCAAAGGTAAAAATCGTATGCGGTAGAAGTAACTGCAAAATTTATATGATTGTGAATAACTTTTCTTCGATTCTTTTTCCAGAAAGTATTTTTTTTCTTCGTCATCTTTGTGTATGCGTACGCAAACAAAAACTGTAATCGCAGGTTATAAAGTTCAGTTTAAATATTGGCTTAACGGACCATTCAAAGTTTGTTACCCTCAAATTACTGTACATCCAAATGCGGGTCTCAATAATATACTTTTGCCCGTTATGACAATTGCCACTTGCAGCATCCAAATCAAAACAATTAGGGCCAAACCCTCCTTTTGTCGTTAAAGCGATTTTATTTGAATCCGTAACAAATAATGAGTGGCAGTTCGCTGGCAAGCAAGTTTTTATAATAAAAACGTGCCGTTATCAGCCCGTTTTATGCTTCAAAAAGGTAAATGAACACAAGAGACAAAGAATATGTACATAAGCATTTTTTATTCTGGAAATTTGCGTTGGAACAATGAGGACAAACTGATATTTGTTTCTAAAAAAAAATCCGTTTAGTATACAAATTGTAAACTTCTGACTGAAGTTCAAATACCCTGTCCAAGGGTATAAAAGTTGACCTCAAACCGCGTTGCCCAAGACGGAATTAGTTTGGCCTCTCGTCGGGAAAATCAGCAGCCAGGTGAAACCGTCGAACAATTGGCTCAATTTGAATTCAATTGAAATTAATGCTCTCCAGGTGAAGCCGAGTAAGGCTGTTCCAAGGCAACCGCGCAACCAATCGCATTGATTATGTGGGGAAATATTTGTTTTATTACTTGACGGTACTCAATGGATTGGACAAGCCTAACACGCGCTAACACGTTTCATAACAAATTGAAATTAAAATCTTTTAAATGTTCGCAAATGATTGCTATTTCAAAACTAAAATGTATATTTGAAAGTAGCAAATAGCATCTAAAATCAAGCGTCATCTAATAATATCTAAATTTAGTTTCTTAGTCAAGAAAACAAGTGCTGGAAATATAAAATTGTTATGTTTACTTTTTGATACAACATTTTAGGGTAAAAGTATTTTTGTTACTTTTGATAAACCGTTTTTTTTTAGCACTATATAACATTACTTTTACAATAAATCAGTTCATAAAAAAGAAAAAAAAAGGGCGGTTTTCGGACTGGGGGACTCATTGTAATTGGGCGCAGATGATTTGCAATTCACAACGCTTGGCCGAACGTCTCCCACTGAGCCTGAGTGTTCGCGAAGTCGACAAGCAAAGAGTCGAAAACAAGCTTGAGCGGCATTTCAATGCACTGCCGTTATCTCGTTTTCTCGGGTGTGTGGCAAATCAGATATAGAATATTTGAATAAATCTCCAATGGCTTTTAGGTAGTGCTCTCGTACAAAATAGTGTCAAGGCTCTGGGATGGCGTCTAGTTGGTATGCAGCGTAGAGGGTACGATCCACAAATTGTGCAATTACCGCGCAAAAACTTCGCACTTCAGAGCCTGTCGGCGGAGCCCCACGGCGAATACCAGCGTAGTTGGGCTACATTGACCCAGTCAGGGCAACTGATATACGGCGGTGGCGCACAATGAAAGCAAATCACGTGCCAATGGTAATTGACCATGCAAGAGCCCAGACCTGCCATCAGCTTTGATGACATTTGTATTAGGCAGCCCACACTTGGCAGGCCCGTCTCCGATTGTTTGCTGCTGGCCGGCAACGAACCAGCTTGTCATTGCGTTTGTGTCGTCGCCGCCAGAGCTCTGCAGTTGGACTTTCCGCTCCACTAAACAATGCGACTATGTACGCTCGGACGGTGCGAGCGCAGCGCAGCCAACGTTGTGGCTAATGCCGAGCGGGCAAAGGCTTAGCTAAAGCCGAAGCTAGGCTCAGGCTGAAGCCCGACTTGACTAGACGGCTTTGTTGTTATGCAACGAGCAGTAATTCGACCATAAGGCTGATTGGTTTTGGTTCGGCTTGCTATTCGGTTTGTTTTATTTTCCCCTGCTTCACTTGTTAGTGTAAGAGCACAGCGAATTAACGTCTTTGCTTGGAACCGAAGGACCATCATATGACTTGATATCCGTACCGCAGCTAAGGCAGAAGCACCTTGCCCCCTAACTTTTCCGCCAGTGACACAATGGGAAACGTAACGAAAGCCGTAAAGTTACGAGCTTTGCTTTTACAGGTGTTGCGCTCAAAGTGCAGTCGACCAACCACTTTTCAGCCATAAAACGCGGGCTGATGAGCAACTTGACTTTAGTGTCATTCGGAAGCGGCAATAAAACATGCCGTTAACGGCAGTTGACCCAGCTACCGTCTTCGTTTATATTGTGAATAGCGGGAGGTTTTTAATGTAAATCAATACAATTTTCGTATCTCAAGCCGATGAATATTTATAGGCGGACCGCAGGGGTGCCAAGTTATGTTAAGTCTTAGTTACGGAGTTTACACCCAGAAGAGGCGACGATGGTGGCTCGCATTGATTAGGCGTTTTCGTGCACAAGGCGTTAATTTATGCAAAGCACTACTTGTTTACTGTCTCACTGACGCGGTGCCACTATTAACTATTAACGATGTGTGATGATACGCATACGTCGGCTGCGTCAGCGGTGTGTCACCATTGTTCGGCCCAATTGCCATTAGGCCGCAAGATAGCTTGGCGAGGTAGCATTTCAACACTGCCTCCGACTTATGCGGGCCATAAAATTGGCAACCGCGGATAGCAATGCCAAATTTAGACAAATGGCGCGAACCATTGCACTAATTGCCACCTCGTTTGGATGCAGACCCAAAATCTGATTTATGTCGACCGTAATGAGCTTGGTGACCACGTTGGAATGGGCATTGGAGGTTGTTAGGACAGGTATAATAGGGTCTTCGAATTAGTCTGCTTACACGCGTTCGGAAAACCTGAAAAGGGTATTTGTTTCTTTGTGTGCCTTTTAACCAAGTCGCCGTCAGATCGACCTCCTTTTTCACGTTTAAACTTTTAATCAAGCGAAGCTGGGCAACAGAAAGCACCCGACAAGTTCGTTGCCTAAGTCTTTCGATTGGCAGGGTGCGGTGCGCAATTAAACGCACGCTCAGCACTCCCGCAAGACGGAAATAAATGATTGTCTGACTAGCGGCTTTCGTTTGTTTCATTTTCGATCGAGTGCACAAATCAATGGAAGGGGCGACCCGTTAAACCTCAAGAGCTGCGGTGGCCAAAGTGACCACGTCAATCGTTCGTTGCGTTGCGAGGTCTCTCCCAACACGAAAAGTAGACAGTCTGTCTACAAATACATACATTCATTTGACTTCAATGCTTACGCGCAGGAAGCAGCCAGCGATCAGCAGCAGAGGAATCAGTTTCGATTCCAGTCGAGCTTTTCCTTTCTAAAAAAAACAGCTGCATTTCCTGCCAGCAGACTGTGTGCATAAAGCGACTTGCGAGTTGAGCCCCCTTGTTTTAAGTTTATTGGCAATGCGTTTCAAATGCCGTTTGATATATTGCTATAAATAATCAAAGTCTAAGGAGGTGTAGCTATACCTATTCACTACGTCCATTACTGGTGATTTAGATTTGCCTGTACTGCTGGGCTCTGCAAAGAAAAACTAAGAAATCTCTCAGAAAGAGTCCATTGCTGTTCGGGCATAGCGAATGTTTTTATGCTATCGGAGTTAGGCAATTGCTATCTCAGCGTTCGGAGGCATGACAGATTTAGGGGACTCGGGTAGTCAAAGATAACAAGAAATAAAAATGAAATAATCGCCATCAGCAGTGTACCCATTTTCAAGAGTAGGTACCACAAAACAGGAAATATGCCACACTTACTCTTGCCTCATGACTCTTGCCCGGTTGCTTTCCTTTTCGAAGCTGTGGGCCACATTCAAATACTAAGTGGGGCTCCGGCCTCAAGCGCTTTTCGGCTATTATGCAACTAGTCTATCGACTGGCTTTTTGTTGCCACACATACAAACGACAATGTACATTTGACTGGTACTCTGTAACGGCTTGCTTTTCCTCCGAACTCTTTTGGGGGAAGGACCCTCAAATTTGCTGCCCAAGAAAAAGCTTTGAAGGAAGAGCTGCTCCTAGTACCACCGCAAGCTAGAAACAGTTCTACTTTTTGGAGTCTGGTATGCAGTTTTGCTCGAACTGCATACATCTTAAAAGGCAAAAAACATATTTGGTTGCTGGTCGAGCCAGTGTTCAGTAAAAGCATAACTTCACAACAGATTGTTGTTAAGCTCCTTCATTTGATTGGCATAGCCACATGGACAAGTTGTCATTTGACTTTCGGGGCACGCAACATAGCTGACTGGCCAGTTTGTGAACTCGTTAAGACGCTTGTGGCACACAATTTGATCAGCCGGGCCACTTTTCAAAATGTTAATTGGCCGCACGCCTGTTGCTCCCGATGGCTAGCAAAGTTGCCTTCTATCTTGTCTGCTTTAACATCCAGAGGGTGTGCACGTCTTTAATATTATATATAAGAGTCGAAACCCATTCAAGCGAACCAATTTTGGGTCTAGAAAAAACTCCACCACATTTCTGGCCATAGTTACATTTGCATGTAACTTGTTCAAAAGTGAATGCTGGCCAGCATTGGCGACAAAGGCTTAAGAAAACCGCGCAAAAGTGGGTCAGACCGAGGCTGTTGCATAACTATTGGACACACAGC